GAAAAAATGCTTCAACTTTAGGTCATTTTCAAAGGAATTTACAGGATATGAGGAAAATGACGCATTTTATGACGTCATAATGCATTGACTAGATGTGACATTACGTCACAATTAATAAATACGTGGTCACCAACAGTCCAAGTGATAAATACTGCATTTGCAACCTAAACTGAGCAGTTTTTCATTTTCAGAAATTCTCAGGGTCAAATAAGGCCCAAAGTGGCTCTACCTCTTTGCAGCTCTCAACCGGCTAGTAGTGGTGTCTCCATATGAGTGAAATATTCTCCAAAAAGACATTAAACTACAAGTTTACAATCAATCAACCAATCAATCAATCGATTGTCTCTATAGGTACATGTACTTGTAATGAGATACCTGTGTAAAAGTGTAAAGTTTCGAAAGGGCTCGTATATGTCCTTAACTTGTATTATATTCTCAGTTTACGTTAATTATATATTTTTTCATGTCAAAAATTTTTTTAATTCATTCATTCTACCCTCTACCTTCTAAATAAATGGTGAAGTTTTACTTGATGTTTTATTTTAACGATAAACATAATGATACTCTTCCAACCTCAACTTTTTACTTCTCTCTCTCTCGCTCTCTCTCTCTTAACTTTTTTGTTATGTAAAAAAAAATATACGCATAATTATCATTGAACTGAATGTTCAGCTGTATTTTGCTTATCAATGATTATTAGTGCTTCGGACTTAAACACGTGTTTTTATGACAAAGTGAGTTAAACATTTCAAATAATGTTATTGTTCTCACCTCATTACATATGTCCGCCATAGAACATGTAAAATATATCAATTTTATTATATATCTGATATGACCCCCCCCCCCCTTAAAAATACATTTTAGTGATCTGTCTTCCGAGGGGGCTGCATCTTGTTCCATTCTTTGATATTATTTTTCAAGCGCAAAACTGATAAAGCATACTATCAAAAATGATGACGGGGGGCGGGGGGGGGGGGGGATGCAACGTTCAAGAATACCTTGTAAAATACACTGTGTAAAAGATATATAGGAAGGAAAGAGGTTCAAAGTTTGTTTTGTTTTATGTTTTTAATCTGCTCCATGGAAGTTGCTGTTTCACATTATACAAAATGAAATAATGAATAACTGTCAGATTTTTTTCAATTTATGACAATGATCAATCGATTGGCTTGCGTGATAATTTTATGCATAATCGCCTTCGGTTATTCCTTAAATAAACCGTGTGGGACATGTACCTTTCTCTCCTTGTTTACTACAGGGTGAATTAATGTACAAATATTTAGCTCATCTATGTACCAACCGATATACCTACACATCTCAATTTTTTTTGTGAAATTTCACCTCTCGTATACAACGTCATGAAGAAGAACGATAACACAAAACCTTGACATTGTGAAAATGTGAAGGTTATATGTAACACGTGTAAATCATCGTTGGAAATTCGGTCTGTTCAATACGCGTATCACGTAGATAATAGTAACATATCTGCATGTATTAGAACAAAACTCTACATTTTTTTTCAGGAAACCTGACATAATTATGATAACATGAATTTACTTCGAATTCGCTGTTGGAATATTGTTTTTAAAAATAAAATAAGAAAGACAAGAAGGCCAAAAGCCGGCGAGCCACACCGACATGCACACTAACTGCAGAATTGAATGTAGTTTTATGGTGACGGTGGTCCATTCCATTTTTTTCCCCAGACCAGTGAGCATAGGTCTTCAGCTACATGCACACTAAATCATTTTCTATAACAACGGCAATTATAATCATTTTAGTCGTTTCCAAATTTGGTCAGGCACGTAGCATCGTTTTTGAATGTGGGGGGGGGGGGGGGCGGAGAAAAAATATATTTTACTTACCTGAAAAATTTTACAAGCAAAAAAAAAAAAAAAAAAACGGAAAATTAAAAGTTGCCCAAACTCGAAAATCCTATTCCGTGGGGGAAGGGGGTAGTGGTCAACTTTTTCAAAGCAAAATTACTTTCGCTTCCATTTTTTTCCCTACACTTCCTTGATATCACTATACTATGTTACAAAGTGGGGTGGGGGGAGGGACAACCATCCTTTTAATGAACATTTTCTATAGTAGAGGTAATGTTGGGGAAAAAGTGCCCCCCCCCCCCCCGTTGCTACGTCCTGTTGGTTATTACGACCGTCTTTAGAACTTCAGCGCTGAATCGCAGCGATAAACTACTGCATACGGAACGCATTTTGCCCGAGAATACTGTCAATAAATTTTTGTTATACCTTTTACTATTTATTTACATGCATGTATCTTGTACTGCCTTCCGTGATGTAAACTTCATTCCGTCACAGTTTATCACCAACGAATGCGACATTAAGATCCGCCTATTATGTGACGTAAGCGGTCTAACATTTCATCGACAGGTCCAACATCTCACTCTGCAGTCAAACATCGATTTTTTTTATTCACACTCAGTAAAACATTATATATGTTAGATTTTTTTCATATAGATTTGTACAGGAACAAATTCTTAATGGTATAACAACATAATTCTTTTCTTTCAACATTTTAACTATACGGTATACGGCTTATATCTTTGAATAAATCTTATAAAAATGTTTTAATAAACATTGGTATAACCAAGCAATACAAATAACGACTTATTTTTATAATGGTAGGGGAAACACATTTTTAAATGTGATCATTTGTCATCTAATAATCAATGTCATTTATTGATGTGTTGTCAAATTCACAATTTCTCAGTTCTTCTGACCGTAAACTAATATAATCTTACTGGAAAATATAACCCTGGAAAAAAGGACGGTGTGGGTTTTTTTTGGTCAAAAAATTACATATCCTTTAGAAATATCAAAATTTGCCGAAATTCGCCGAAAGGAGCAAGACAAAATTAGTCCAGATGACGATTTTTATTTATTTTTTTAAAAATCAAAACAACAAATGATTAAGGTAGAGTAGAGATAATTTTGTGCTGAATCGCTGTGCGAGTGTCCAAAGTCAGTTATACGTTGTTGAAAAGTAAAATTACTCGCAACGGTAGAAATTGAAATTCAACGAGCAAAATAATTGACTGAGGATCATTCTTCTTCATCGTTGCTCAATCTTCAATGTTGTGTTTTGAAATCAGTTGTTTATAAAATTTTAAACTCATATTAACAATATCAGTTTCAATAAAAATTTATCAATACGATGATATCTCGTTATTTTAAGAAAAGTGTATTGAGGCAGAAGGAGAAAAGATAGAGAAGCAATGACGTTGCCATTAAGCAATTTAAAGGGCGACATATAGAGCAGGGTCATCCACTAACGATGAAATAGTTAAATGTTTAAAGAATCAAGTTGATTTTTTCAACATTTACAAGTACAGTTTTTTTAATATTTAAAGTTCTTTAAAATATTGTAGCGGTATGAATCTCATGGTATCAGTCCGCGAACACATGAAAACTCTCCAAATGCACAACTTTTCTCTAAACACGATTCTTTTACAAAATCAAATCCAAACATACCAATTGATTCATAGATTTGCTATTAATTATGGAAAATGAATCTAGTAAGTATCGTATGCTATATCAGTGTAGAACAAAAATATCGCGTTACGTTTGTGAATGAAATTTAATGAACGTTCAAAATGAAAAATGCATGCTAGCTGGATTTATTTTGAAATATCCTGTATCCCATTCTTGTTTATGACGTCGCATAAATCAACGTCAAAATATCGCAACGTTAACGTAAACAATGCTACCTTTACAGCTATGTAAAACATAAATAAAGCTCTGTACAGGTATATATTGATAATTTCATAAAAATATACACTCTTTAGAAGAACTTAGAGGAATATTGATATTTTTGACACGGGGCCGAATTTTGCGACAAGTGAACCAGGTTCTTTGGTTTGAGGACTTAATGCTGATTACAATCATGCATACAATTTGACTGCTTGATGTCAAGGAGGAAGGAAGAATATTTGTAAAGATTGCATTAATTTTAGTGGTTTTTGCCCTACCTCTTAGGCCCCGGGGGGAGCTTAAAGATGCTTTATGCAATAAATTGGTTGTAATTGGTTGACTGATGGCAGAGAAGAAACTGAAAAAGTTCAAATGTTAATGCACGACGCACGACGATGGACGAAAACGGATAGCTATATGTCACTCAGGTGACTTAAAAATGCAAAAAGCTAAAGCGTGCTTTTCTCATTAAAACTTCGTCATTTTTTGTCGTCGTTTTCGTGTTCGTAAACTTTTCACATTTTCATCTTCTTCTCAAGAACGACTGAAAGTATTTTTTTCCAATTTGACTGGGTAAAGGGGATTTAAATTTGTTCAAATGAAGAGGAATGCTTTCTTCCAATGGGAGATAATTCTGATTTCGTGAAAAATTATTGGCATCATTTAAAAATCCTCTCAAAAACCTTTGTGCTTGAAATTGTGAAACTTATGTTAAATCACTTCCCCCCAGGAGAATAGAGGGGCCGTAACAAAGGATCATATTTTTACAAACAATATAAATAACATACCAATAAATATTTTCATGTAAAATGTGATATTTACTATGATCTTCAATATATATATGATGATATGCTTACTTCAGATCAAACCTAAATAAAAAGTCACCTTCGTCTAAAATATCGCTAGAAACTTTTGTGTGTTTTATTTTGAAAGGAAAATCAATCTATGTATATATTGATTGATATTGCAATCTAAAACAAAACGAGTTTTACACGTTTTTTTGAATGCCACAGTTTAAGAATTTACTACATGAGTTATATCCTTGACCTCAGTTACACAACCTTTTTGATAGATTTTTGTATTAATGTTACTATTGCCCCCGAGCCCTATAAATCCTTTTCGTGAGGTATACTGACCGGACTGTACTATAGTGACACTGGATGTGACCATAGTTCAAGTATGTCAACAGGTTTCACATAGTTCTTGTCTGCATCTACAATACAGGGTAATTAGATTTTTTAAAGATCGATCCTTATTGCCTTTACATCTTTTATACTTTTATTGCAGTCAGTCAGTTTGATTCTTGGAGCACATGCTAAGATGTACTCTATGTGGATACAATTTTGTTTGTACGACTTTGGGCAAATGGCAGTCATAGTCACAGCATTGTGTTTGTTGGTCTTTTTTCTATTGAAAAGGACAAGGGACTATCAGGTTAGTTATTGGCTAGTTTTCACTTGTCTAAAGTATCATATCACTAATCAATTGTTTGTGGAAATGGAACGCTTGTACGTAAAATGCATACATATGTACCAAATAAATGTATCTTACATACTATAGGTTTTCAAATAAATCACTTGTTATTCTCTAGTACGCTAATTCTTGGTTCAAAACCATAGCAGTTAAGCTATGTTACAACGCACTATGAAAAATTACGCACTTTGAAAAAAAGCGGGAGGGGGGTAAGCCCCCACTTATTTTGGTAAGATATATACATCGTATAAGCTTGAAAATGCAGCTTACCCTTTTTGGGTTTTTTGCTCCCCTCCCCCGTTTGTTACCGACACCTATGTATTGGAGAGATAAAGATTTGGACTGAGGGATCTTATAACCGTCTTCTCCTCTTTTCGACGGGAGTAAATCAATTCTTTTTTGAGGTTAGGTTTAGGTTAGTTTTTTATTAAAGATAAATATCAAATAAAATCTTTCCATTACGAAATTATGAATTTTTTTTCAAAGTGCGTTAAGTGTGTAATTGGTAAAATATATTGATGTAGACTCTTAACGCACTTTAAAATTATTTTTGAAAGTGCGTCGAGTTGGTCCCAAATTTAACGCACTTTGAAAATTTTTTTCAAAGTGCGTTGATTCTGTCCCAATTTTAACGCACTTTGAAAAAAATTTTACTTAAAATGCGTAATTTTTTCAAAGTACGTTGCCAAATAGCTGAAAGCCAAACTCAGCAATATTAATGCTTCAGTTAGTAAATCATTAAAAACTATCTATGGGAATAAAAAATGAATGAAATTACGAAGAAAAAATTCCAAACAAGATTATAACAATATTAATGTATAAAACAAAACACCAACAAAAGTCGAGTCTTATGGGTCAATTTTGCGCTTTTACTGATACTCATAATTAAACGAGTCAGGTAGAATAAATTTATATAACCTTTTTAACTATTTTATTTACAGTTATTTTCAACGACGAGAAATGTCAATAAAACAACGTCATCAAAGTACAAGTCTACTCCAGAAACCACAAATCTTGCCCGGGTTGCAAGACTAATCCTTGGTCCATGCACAGATCTGTTGCGTGATATTCTCAGAAGAAAAATTCCACCGTCCAATTTATCAAAAACTGTCAAAACTTGGATTGATGATCTAAAAAAGAAAAAACAGAATAGTCCTCTAAATAAACAACAAATTGATCTTATCTTTCCCCTACCAAATAAACAATATGGGGGAGATTATTCAGATTTTGATATTACTTTGTTGTACATTCTTCTACGTAACGTGTGTAAAATAACTCCACACATACAAGGTTGGGGAGAAATTCCCGATCCCTCAGACAAAAGTTTATCTGCCAACACAGAAAGAATCAGACTATCTAGAAACAAGTACTATGGACATGCAGCAGATTTCTCTCTTTCAGATTCAGATTTTAAACGGGAATGGCAAAACATTTACAATATTACTGTTGAGTTAGAGCAAAATCTGGGGACTTCCACTGTTTACCAAGATGCTGTGAACGATATAAAAACATGTTCCATGGATCCGGAAATAGAGGCCAAATACATTGATAAGCTTTTACTTATTGATGAATTGTGCAAAACGGTTAAAAGTCACACAGGTGAGTTTAAGTTTAATTAGGTAAACATTGTCTGTATTCCTTCGATCGTACATATTCGTTTATTTTTACGTTCCATATCCTAGGAAGGATATCAAGGAAGACTGAAAAAAATTCGATCAATTGGATTGCAATTCTAAGCTTTGACCAAACATATAAATATTTTAATTAAAATGCCAACTTTGAAAACATTTTTTTTATTACTGGACATCAATTGGTCAAGCTGATTGAATTACTTTAGAAGTACTCTTTTCCGCGTGGTATTAATTTACGCTATGTACGCGGTTACAAATTTTCCTTAGAAGTTTGTCCCAGCGTACTTAATATACTGTAAGGCATATAGTGACAGTCTAAGAAATCCGCGTAATTTCTACCCGTGGATTAAACAGAAATTGAGATTACGCGGAATTATGACCCCGTGGAAAAAAGTACGTCTACAGTACTTTAATGGGTAGTCATACTTATCAGTCAGATATGATGTTGAAAATGCATATTACATATTAGAAAAAAAAATCACCCTTACTCCTGTTCAACGGAAACTACTAATGATTACATGGTTATAGTGAGCAATAAGCATTCTACTTAAATTTGAAAGATAATGATACCAGGATCGTTCAGAACTCATACCCTAAATATAGAACTAATAGACATCGACAAAAATGTAATTTAGAAAAAAAATAGGGAAAGATATCGAACAAAGAATTTCTTGTCTTTCAATAAAAGCAGTACAAAAAACACAAATAAAATTTTAAGTGATTTATCTTCAAAATTTGTTTTAGAAAATTACCAAGTGTTAAAAGGACCTAATCTGCGAAACTAAATACTGAAGAATAGTTTTATCCACTGCTTTACAATATGAGTTAACAACAGATATTGAATGATAGAAGGCTCTTAGGTTTTTTTTCTCTCGAAAATACCAATAATTTGAATGCACTATTATTTTCTTGATTATCATATGACCATCATTCATGAAAATTCATTCTAGTAATAATATTAAATTTTGTTATAGCTTTAAACATTTAAGTGATAAGTAGCTAAATAAAAATATATCAGTATATTTTGGTACCACCAGTTGCAAGGAAAAACACAACATTTGTGTCTAACATGGAATTGTCAGAAGTCTTGGTTCCTTTTATGTAGTATTAAGTAATCTCTGTTGCATTCCTTATAGCCCTGTATTCAAAAAATGTAATTAAATAATGACATTGAGCTTGGAGTTGTAATCTTTTTTTTAAATTAAGAACTCTATAAATTGAAAGCTAAATTTTTTTCCGATTTTTTTTTCAGATAAAATCGAGGAACTACAGTATGTTATCCCGCCAAATGTTAAGGGTTTGTACATATGTACACAGCATACATTTATTTAAGAAGAAAAATATTAGAAAAATATGCTTTTTATGATGTTTAAGATGTTTAGTTAATTTGAATTAAAAAGAAGCCGAAATCTTAGGTTTTAAGCATATCTCTTTAACATTTGAAATTTTGGTGTTTAACAACATGCATTTTGATATCTCTCATTCCTCATTTGGCACCTGATTTGAATAATGGTGTTTTCGTCCTAATCGTGTTTCGTTGATATTAACTGAATTGATGAGAATGATCATATTCTCTTTTTTTTTTACCTTAAACATTGACGTGCTTGGGGTTAACTTTTCTGTATTTTACCCGAGGTATTAGACATGGATGAAGAATCAAAGCTTAAAAGATAAATAAAAAAATCTTCTATTGATTTACTGACTTATAAAAAGAATTGTTGTTAATTTGTTAACTTAATTATCTTGTTCCCGATTATAATTTGACAACTTAATTATCTTGTCATGAATTGTAATTTCTAAACTAAGTAATCTTGTTCTTCGCGAACTAAATTTTCTTGCCCTTGATCATGGAAATTGTAATTTTTTAACTGCTTAGTGTAATCTAAATTATCTTGACATTTAGCTATATCCTACTATTAGGAATATTTGTGTCGAAGTGATTTTGAAACAACTGAGCAATGTTTTCTTGTTAAAAAAAGACTTGAAAATAACAACTTAAGTCATTTTTATATAAGTAAATTGAATAAGTCGAACCGCAATTTGTTGTAAATTTTCATAATAATTGAATTTTGCGTGATAAAAATGTGTATAGATTAATATATATGGGAACAAAAAGATAAAATTTATAACATCATAGAAAGTTTATAATTTTTAAATATTTTAGAAACAGGCCAAAAAATATATATCAATCGAGACACCAATTTTGGGAGCTGATTTTATCAACTCTCCATAACAGTTACCAAGACCAAACAGTGTTTCGACCTAATCACTTCTCTGAGAGAAAAAAAATCATCAAGGAAAAATTCCCGCAAAAAAAATGATCAAAATATTTTATGAAATACATTCTGAAGACATTGTTTATCAATAGAGGCAAAAAACATTTTTCAATTTCATTACATTTGAAAACATTTAAAATTTATAGTATTTGTAGTTGTAAATTTCCAAAACTCAGCCACAGTTCGGAAGAGTTCAATAATCTAGTATGCGCGATATAAATTAAGACACGGGGTCAGTGATGTAAAAGAGTTCTTTGCTGTTTGGCTGATAAATGTTCCGAATTTCAAAGTATGGAAAAATCATAATCGCTCACTTTCACATCCGGAAGTGACCTTATTACCGAAAATTTATTCAAAGGCTCAATCATTTATCACACATAAGATTTTCAAGAACTTTGACGAAGACATACACATTTTTTTTCAAAGTGCGTTATTATGATCGATTTCAACGCACTTTGAAAAGAAATTTATTTTTTCAAAGTGCGTTGATTAGGTCTAAAATTTAACGCACTTTGGAAAAAATTTTCAAAGTGCGTAACTTTTAAAAGTGCGTTGTAACAGTGCTCTCCCAGTACAGTCGTAGACTTATGAAAACATCTCGAGGAAACCAAAATAGACCAAGATTGCACAAGAAACTGCTACCAAATAATTTGACTCTTTCGTCCCATAGCAGACAATATATTAAAATATCAATTTGACACAATTTATCAACAAACTTACATGAGGCCAATAAAAGTTGGATTAATAAATAAATATACATTTAAAATCATGATTATATACAGTGAATTATACATGTATCAACTAATTTAAACGTAGTAGGTATCTGCTATGTTTACAAACATGTACATGTATGCACTTGACTAATCATTCTCTAATACATGTATGTGTAGTTCTACAGCCGCAGATAAAATCTCCTACTGCAGCAGAAATGACCTTAATTAACATATGATTTAGCTGCCTTTTACCTTTATGTCCAGAATAATGATGTTACTAGTATACACAGGATTGATTTTTCTAGGTGGTTCATTAATGAAGTTTGCTTATTATCCCCTTCCGGTTGGTATTGGTATTATTAACGTAGTACAATCCTCAGGCTTACAAAACTAGCAGTTAAGTAATCAAAAAACTCTTAAAAGTATCTCTGAGTCCACGAAGGTATGTAAATTTATCCACGGTATTTCTATAAAGTTAAAGATTAAAGTTAATCATATCATGTAGGGAAAATTGTCAAGTTTCCAATATTTTTGCAGAAAAAGCAAATTGGAATATCAGCAATGCATTTTCTAATTGCAAGTGATCAACAAATATATTTTAGGTTAAAGTACGATAGGTATCCAGGCATTCAGTGATATTGTCATGATTTTTATACTCAATTGGTATTTTTGTCTTCTATTTCCGTGATGTATTCTATAATACGTTGCGTCAAAGGCATTTGAAATCATTGCAAGACACCACAAATCACAAAATGTCATATCATGCTAATAAGCATTGGTGTATATAAGACTGGATTCAAGGGTATCTAAGGCTGGATTCATGAAAATCTTATTCCTCTAAAACTGTATCAATTTTTTTGTAGGATTAAGAAAATTATGGTAGATAGTCCTGCAAATTTAACACATGAATCATGCAGTAACTTGGCTCAAAAAAACCACATAGATATTGTCAATCAGAAACTCAAGCATCTTTTGGATTTCAACTAAAGAGTACTTGTGTGTGCAATCAGAATGTGTTTTAACAAAATAATTTTGCAAATGACCTATGACCAGGTAAGTAAATTTACGAGTTCCATTTTTACTGAAAAAGTAGCTGTCAATGATATAAAAAAGCGTGGACTTTAATTTATCGTGGGGAATGATTGTGCATTAAGTTGAGAAGAAGTTTGGTAAAATCTTGTGATTCCGAAAGTTCTTTGGAATTTTTGTGTATCCAAATCTGATTCACACCACGTCTTGAATATATTGTTGCACAGTATTCTTGAAATTTTCCTTCACTACTAGGAGTAACGAAAAAGGTTTGTCTTAACATTTACTTGAACCTGCAATGTATTTTTGTTTGCAAGGGTTTTTATAAAGTATCGGAATCCAAAATATATTGAAGTTAAAATTCATTTTTGCTCTGTGGAATATTAAAAATATTCAAAACTGACACATGATTTTGAAAAATTTCTTTCTTAAGTCAAATGCCATCTGAGGATTTTCTTAACTAATTGGTAAGCTATTATTTGCACCAAAAATGCTCGATGGATTTTTGCGTTTTTTCTCGATCGAGAAAGAGCACATGGCGGGTGCAACCGGTCGATAGGAAATTTGCACTCCTCCTTTACACCTGATCCCATCTCTGATGTTTTAGAGGTTCGTGTTTGCATTGCTCCTAATTTGTTTTGTTTGTATGGACTTTTGAGTGTGAATACTGTTCGTTATATACATGCATATATCCATCTGGTTACAGATTAATTATTAATTTAATTCTAGAGAGCTGTTAGATTAGCTCTGATCAAGCAGATGTAAACTATATTTCTGGCTTTGAGGCTGGAGAATTAAAGGTCTGATCTCACTTGGAGTGGCAATTGATAGTCTGTCAAATTTAAATACATTGTGACTGGTTGGCAAACATTTTAAGAAATAATTAATTTGGATGAAGTTATCAAGATAAATTGATATTATATACTACATTTACTATGATTATCTTTTTCTTTTTTTTAAAATTATAAATCAATAATCAATTCCAAGAAGTTATATAACATAAAAAGATACTGTAATATATAGTTGCAATATTTTTCCCCCTCAATTCAATATTAAAAAAATTTCTACATAAGTATTAGTATTGATGCTTTGTAGGACTGTGGCTTAATTAATCATTCATAAAAGGAATACAATGAGTAATTAATTTTTTTCATTCTATGTTCAATCAAATTATGATCACCTCTCAGATACTTACACAGGGGTATTTTGCAGAGGTCCAGTTGTGCATGTATGTACTTGCAGTACTTTGTATTGTATGTAACATCCCAATATACTGTGGATCACTAAATTTTCGCGACACCTTATTTTCGCGAGAAAGTCATTGACTCTTTATTAGCGAGACATAATTTTCACGAATTGTTGTTTTTCTCTATACAATCGTAAGGAATACTTTTAAAAGCCAGAATTTCGCGAACTCATTGTCTTGCGTTAATACGCAAAAATTTAGTTCCTGCAAATAAAACGTGATTTACAGTTGTCAAGTGACCAGTACTAGTAATGCCCATGGCCCTTTTCGTATATTTTAGCAAATAAATGCTTTCTTTGTTTGTTGTTACTGGAATGAACGGTCGCAGAAAAAATACATAACCCGCGGGTTATGTAATTTTTTTTCTGCAATAGCTGCGACCGTTCATTTCAGTAATAACAAACAAAGAAAGCATTTTATTGTTTATATTTATATCTGTTTAAATAATCAATTAAAGTAGGATTAAAAAGATTAATTATTGTATTGATGATGCGAACGTCTTTATACGTTTCATTGATGGAACAGCCACTGATTAAGAAATCTGTACAGGCGACATGCCTACTGTAGTTTATGCAGTGATGAACGCAATGGGGTTTCTTAAGAAATAAAGGAGAAAATATTCAGTGGATGTAAATATTTCAAGGTAAAGAGCAGGATCCATGTTGGGCCTTATTTGGCCCTGAGAATATCCGAAAAATCGAAACCGCTCAGTTTAGGTTGCAACTGTAGTATTTATTACTTGGAGTGTTGATGACCATGTATCTATTAATTGTGACGTAATTATTCACATAGTCAATTGATTATGACGTCATCAAATGCGTCATTTTGCTCATATTGTGTAAATTCCTTTGAAAATGGCCTAAAATTGAGGAATTCTTTCAATATTTCATATAAAGCACAACCTCTGATCCAAAATATGCAAATACTTAATGAAAGCTCTGTTTCTGAAGATCAAAAAACATGTTTTATTTTTTAGATCGTGGGCTGTGCTCATATTTAAATTCTTTGCTGAAGGTAGCCAAATAAGCATATTTTCTGCAAATTTCAAGAACATTGCAATTTATCAAAGCCTGTTTTCAAATATTTGGATTCTCAAAACGAAATTCCATTATACAACATGAATGCACCAAGTGTCTACTTTATTTTGACATATAAAATGGAAAAGAGGGTGATGGTTAATTATTTGATATAAGTACAGGGCCATTTATGCATAACTTGGCTCTACCTCTTTGTGCTCTTAAATTCATATTTTATCAAAGGTATTATCAAAGATGGGTATAATATATTTCAGATCTTCATGAAAGACAATTAAAACAATGGAGAGAAGAAGATAAGGTTTACAGTGAAACTCACAATTTCCAAGAAATGCTGAACAAAGTCAGGAGACAACCTTATATGACATTTGTTGGAGTCCAAGGGTCCGGAAAATCATCAACGATTCATCACATAGCCCTTATACTCCAGAAGGAAGAGTACGAGGTTGTACCAATTATAGACATCAGGAAGATTGAAGATTATTCTGACTCCCGTCATCCTCAGGTTTTTGTCATTGATGATGTGGTAGGTGTTTTAGGTCTGCAAAAACAAAAGTTAGAATTATTGATAGACTATGAAAAAAGAATTTCAGATCCTTCCAATAGAAATACAAAAGTATTAATGTCATGCAGGGAAGCCGTGTTTAATGAATGTTACAAATCATTTTTTTTCTCAAATGAAAAAAACACGATTAAGATGCATAGTTCCGACAATGCATTGAATGATGAAGATAAAAAAGCGATCCTTCAGAAACATGGGTTAGAAAGAGATTTGTTGTCCCCTGCATTACTGGGAGAAACATTGGGTATGTTTCCTCTGTTGTGTAAACTATACTCTAAAGGGAAGAAATTTAGTAACAATGTTGAAAGGTTCTTTACATGTCCAGCTGAATGTATTTTAGAACAATTTAATGAAATGCAAAGGCAAAATAGTTTATGCTATGCCACATTGGTCTTGTGCATGTTGAATGATAATAAACTATCAAAAGAAACATTGAAAAACACAGGGAACAACGTTTTCCGGGAAATGAAATCAAAAGTACTAGATAGTTGTGAAGTTGAAAGTTACACTGATACATTTAAATTTGTAAAAGCATTGGCAGCTATGGAGGGAACATACACAAAACTCTGTGGTACTGAGTATACATTTATTCATGACTCTTTATTTGAAAACCTTGCATATCATTTCGGTTCTCAGTTTCCAGATCTTGTTTTGCAATACATAAGCAGTAATTACATTGCTAATAATGTTAAAGTACAAGAATGTAAAAAAGAGTCAAAGGTTGAAGATAATCATCATGAGAATGAAAAAATCAGTTGTGAGGAGCATGAAACATTAAAATGTGAAAGAAGCCAGGATTCTTTTGATCTCTGTCTTAGGTTAAGAGAGGATCAGTATCCAATGTTAGCCGAGCGCTTGTACAGAGATATTGAAAATATGGAGCTGTATGATGTTTTTATGAATGATGTTTTGAAACACCCCCGTATTTGTCAGGCTTTTATTGAGGTGTTAAAGACAAAGTCCTACAAAGAGCTAAAGTCTTTGTTTCTGTCAGAACAGAAAGACGTGTCCAAGGTAGTGAGTAAAGTAGCTGATGGGTTGAGCTTGGAGTGGCGCAGACAGAATGTGCTGCTGAATGTGAGAGTTACAAGAAGTAATCCATACTGTGTGAGGGTTATCAGTTGGGTGGTATACTACGGCCACACTCCGATCTTACAATATATCTTAAAACAAACTGATTTACACAAAGAAACAGAGATTGAACTTTTTAGGAATGTATTTTGCTCAAAGGTAATCTATGAAGCACAAATGAGTGGATTTAACAATAAAATAGATAATGCAACGGACAAATCATGTTTATGGAACTCCATTAGCAATACAAGAAATCAAAAACAGATTGTGTCCGAACAAGACCGCTTATTTCTATTGAGTTGTTATAGTGGAGATTTAGAGATTGTCAGACTATTAATCAAATATGTCGATATACAAAATATAAATAACAATACGCAATGTATATTTTATAATACACCACTGACAGCTGCGTGTGAGGGTGGACATATGAGTGTAGTGAAGGAGCTTTTAGAAGCCGGATCTGATATCAATCAGAAAGGTAAGTATGATTCGCCACTGACAGTAGCATGTGAGGGTGGACATTTTAGTTTAGTGATGGAGTTAATAGAAGCCGGAGCTGATATCAATCAACAAGGGGGATATGATAATAATACACCACTGACAGCAGCATGTGAGGGTGGGTATGTGAGAATTGTAAAGGAGCTAATAGAAAAGGGGGCAGATATTAATCAACAGGGTGAGTATAATACACCTCTGACAGCAGCATGTATGTTTGGATATATGAGTGTAGCGAAAGAGCTAATAAAAGGTGGAGCAGATGTCAATCAACAAGGTAAGTATCATACACCTCTGACAGCAGCATGTGAGGGTGGATATTTGAGAGTAGTGAAGGAGCTTATAGAAGCTGGTGCTGATATCAATCCTCAAGATGGGTATAATACACCATTGACAGCAGCATGTGAGGGTGGATATTTGAGTGTAGTGAAGGAGCTAATAGAAGCTGGAGCTGATATCAATAAACAAAATAAGTATAATACGCCACTAATAGCAACATGTGGAAATGAACATGTGAGTATAGAAAAAGATCTTATAGAAGCTGGAGCTATTATCGGCCATCAAGAAAACTATAATGCACCACTGACAGCAGCATGTGAGGGTGGGCATATTAGTGTAGTGAAAGAGCTGATAGAAGCAGGAGCTGAAATCAATCAACAAGGTAAAAATGATACTCCATTGATAGCAGCATGTAAGGGTGGGCATATTAGCGTAGTTAAGAAGCTTATAGAAGAAGGAGCTGATATCAATCTGCAAGGTGTGTTTGATACACCACTGACAGCAGCATGTGAGAATGGGTATATAGGTGTAGTGAAAGAGCTGATAGAAGCAGGAGCTGATATCAATCAGCAGGGTGAGAATGATACACCTCTGATAGCAGCATGTGAGGGTGGACATATGAGTGTAGTGAAAGAACTGATAGAAGCAGGAGCTGATATTAATCAACAAGATTATATTGATACATCATTGATAGTAGCATGTAAAATCGGAGATGTGAGTGTAGTGAAGGTGCTAATTGAAGTCGGAGCGAATATCAATCAGCAAAATTGGTGTAATACACCACTGACAGCAGCATGTCAGGGTGGACATATTAGTGTATTGAAGGAGCTTATAGAAGCAGGAGCTGATATCAATCAGGACGGTGAGTATGATACACCACTTACAGCATCATGTAAAGGTGGACATATAAGTGTAGTAAAGGAGCTTATAGAAGCCGGAGCTGATGTCAATCTACAAAGTAAGATTGATACACCACTTAAAGCAGCATGTAGGATAGGGCATATAGTCGTAGTGAAGGAGCTAATAGATGCCGGAGCTGATATAAATGCACAAAGTGAGGATGATACACCACTGATAGCAGCGTGTGAGGGTGGATATATGAATATAGTGAAGGTGCTTATAGAAGCCGGAGCAGATGTCAATCAACAAGGTGAGTTTGATACACCATTGACAGTAACATGTGAGGGTGGATATATGAGTGTAGTGAAGGAGCTTATAGAAGCCGGAGCTGATGTTAATCAACAAGGAGTAATTAATACACCACTGACAGCAGCATATGAAGGTGGACATATAAGTGTAGTGAAGGAGCTACTTAACGCAGGTGCTGATACCAATCAAAAAGGTAAGTTTGATACACCAGTGACAGCAACATGTAAGGAATGATTTATGAGTGTCGTGAACGAGCTTCTTGGGACAGGAGCTGGTCTTAATGAACAAAGTACACCACTGACAGCATCATGTCGGGTGGACATATGAGTAGCTACAATAGAAGCAAACTTATATCATTAAGGTTTGTCAGATACTTACTCCACAGGTAACAGCTGATGAGGGTGAGAGGGGTAAATGTTATGAAGATTTACTAGAGGTATGGTATTCGAAGGAAGTGCTACAGGCTGGGGCTAATTATCATTTACAGGAGTTTTAGTGCATATATAAGGGTGGATATATACATCTTTCATACCAATTAGTAGTCCTCTATTTACAAACTGAATTGACGACGGATTCCTTTCCGCTATTTCCCGATCATGACAAGGAACCAGGCTAGGGGTAATGTTAATTGTAATGGTAATGAATGACAATTATATGAACGTACAGTAATGCTAGTAAATGTAATCCATCAATTCATAAAATCCAGTGTAATGCTGACATTACATAGCATTACAAAGCAATATTTTGTATTTACCTATTTTTTTTTAAAAAGAAATTAAAATATACAAAGGTGATGAAAATTATCTTTTTATTTACTTATTTTCATTATTATTATTATTATTATTATTATTATTATTATTATTATTTTGCAAATGATAAAATTTAATTCAAAAATTTAACCTATTTGGATATTTCTGCTGTCTCTATTTAAATATACTTTTTATTCTGTTGAAAGTATACGTACCGTTACATTTAAGTTTTCAAAATTATTTCAGATAAGAATTGATTACAAAGAATTTTATGGTAGTCTATTTTTTTTAAAATCGCATATGAGATATACACTAATTAATGTACACCGAAACTAATAATTATCACCTTTTGCATAGCTAGAATGTCACAAAAACACACCGTCTTTGCCTCCGTATTTAGGTAACAATGAAAACAATGCATTGTTTGGAGAAATGCTCAAAATTACCAATCCTTTCTCCTGACTGTGATTTTAAAACATTAATTAAGCTGGTCTAGCTTGTACCGACCATGAAAAATACATACGGAGTATATATATCTAAACTGTTTCGATATGCAAGAGAATGTTCTACGTATGAACAATTTCTAATACAAGGTAAATTATTGACAAGCAAGTTGACAAAACAAGAATATCAGCAGTCTCGTTTAAAGTCATCATTTCATAAGTTCTATGGTCGATAAAATGACCTTGTCAGCAAATACAGTTTATCATTGAGTCAAATAATGACTGAGATTTTTCATACTAATTGATAGTCCATTATTTATACACTGAATTGACGACGGATTTTTCCGTTATTCCTGATCATGACAAGGAGCACACGGCGGGTGTGACCGGTCGGCAGGGGATGCTCACTCCTCCATGGCACTTGATCCCACCTCTGATGTTTCGCAAGTCCGTGTTTGCTCTGCTCCTATTTTGTATTGTTTTATGGACTTTGATATTGAACACTGTTCGTTATCTCCATATCCTTCATTGTACCAAAAGAAAATATAAGACATTCAGGCATTCTGTGCTTAGCAGGTCAAAATGTATATCCTGTCTACTTTTTGAAAAAAGTTTGTCAATGCATTTATTATTTTCACAAGGTACTTATCAAAATAGCCTTTATGCTTTATTATTAGATATTTTAGGCAGGGGTTAAATAGCCCCAAAAGTACATTGTAAAATATTGCTTCATGACATCGATAGTTATACAAAAGGTGGATATTGTGCATGTGTTATATAACTACCAATTTAAAAGTTTGAACTTTCTGTGAATGTGAGTTATTGGCAGTGCAATATATGCAAAAACTTGAAATCAAATTTGAGTGATCTTTTATCATGTTAAGTATTAAAGGGGGTGAATACATGCTTATGAAAACCAACATTGCACTTTTTAAAAAATATATTTCTAGTTTTAAAAACATAAAAGAAAGAAAAGTAATGTTGTAATGATAATGCATTTATTTATTAAAGTAAAAGTAATAAAATGCATTGATTTAAGAAAATAGAGTAATGGTTATGGTAATTTAATGCCCAAATTGTTGAAGTAATGGTAATGTAATACTTTACTAAAATAAAATCTTTACTCTTTACTTAAATTGTAATATTTACTCAATAGTTCTAAGTATTGAAGATTAAAATTTTGAGTTTTATCTATAACATCTTTTGTTAACACTGATTGTTGGACATAGTTTTAGATGGATATTCTCCCGGATTTGTTGGTGTTATTATTAGGGTAAGGTTCAGAGAATATGATTCTGTGATACTCTAACATTGGCAGTCAGTAAAGGTCAAGCAAGACGAATGTTGAGTAAGTTTATAGGATAAGTGATACTTATTTAGTAATCTTTGCATATGGGCAAATTAGTGCTAATTGTATTGAGGAATGTGCAAGTCAGTAAAAGAGAGATAAGTGAACTTGGACAAGGTTAAAATGATGGTGGAATTAGTCTTGATGTCTGGGTTAGATGTTGAGAGTGTGTCGGTTCTAGAGAGGACATGGTGACTTTTAAATAAGTTTAGAAAAATCAAAGAATTGTTTGACTACCAAAAACGTACTGAGAGGAAGATAGTGCGAAATAAAGAAAAGAAACGTGAGAGTTGATAGATATTCATTAGAAAAAAAGTTTCTCCGTAAAATTTACATTAAATATTTTGGAAAAAAGAGCATATATCCTGACTTAATTCTCAAGCTCTTTAAAAGGAGTCTTGAAGTTTTGATTTGTTAATATTTATAGGCATGCAGATTTGCATTGTTTCAGTAAGAGGTTGTTTTGATCTGTGTTTATTCAGTATGTGTTGTTGTAAATCATATAAATTGCCCAACTCTCCAGGTTAAAAACATGTTTAGTTGCACTATCATTTTGAATCATTCTGCATATGGGGAATAATTTTAGTCACATTTGTCAATGAGTGGAGAATGTCATTATTTACAAATTATTAAATTTTACTTGTTCATCCTTGACATACATAAAGATAAGAATCCAATATTTGATAAAATATTTCACTTTTTTTAAATTCTTGATGTTATGCGACAGTTGTTAGGTTAAAAATCAAGTTCATATCATATGAGAGTTGCTGCAAAATTATGTGAATGCTCAGTTACACTTTATCTTTAAGGTTTTATCCCGGATTGTCTCTAATGGTTTTTATCTTGAAATATTGTATATTAATGTGTTAATATGATGCATGATATATTATTGAATTTGTTTAAAATGAAAAAAATTAATGAAATGAAAAAAGGCAGATTTTAAGAATAAATCTTTAAAAGAGTCAAAAGATTTGTTAATATATTTTTCTTATGAAGTCACACTATAAAAACATTAAAAACGATGCTTATCATTCATTTTACTTTAAGGTACATATACATCAGTTTTTGAGCATTATTTTTTGTCTATTGATAGGTTTTTTAATTGAACTTGAACGTGTCATTGTATATTCAGAAATATATTCAGACATACATTTAGATCATCTGGTGTTTTTCAACTTTTGTCGAAATGGTTAGATATTATTTTATATAACTGTCTATATATACCTATACTTCATGGTATGTAAAACTGTAAATGTATTATATTCAGCATGTACGATATTTGGCGGAAATTGATTTTTGAAGTTGTTGTTGATTTGATTTGATTTAGCTTATCTCTTAATTTTTTTTTCAATTTGTATATTACTGCAAGACATTTTGCAAGTGTATTTGAATAAGCACGACTTTCTTTCCGCCGAAAGCACTAGAAACGATAAATAGCTAAATGTTATAAGTTTACAGTATGTTGCTCAATTCAATTGTTACAGTTTTCAATGGATATTTTGTTAATCAAATCAGTGGACAATTTGTGATCGATTAGAGTAATGTTGTTTCAAGTAATATTCAATTTGTACCTCATATGAATTTTACTCTTATTTTGAGTAAGTAATAAACTTACTGTAATGTCCATCTTCTTTAATTTTAGCTCTTTTAGTCGAAGAGCTTGTGCGATAATAAGGTGTCCATCGTCCACCCGTCCGTCTAGCTGTCTGTCTGTCCGTCTGTAAACAATACAATAGAAATTTCTTTGAAATATTTCAAAATGCTACTCCTCCTACAGTTTTGGTCTGATTTCAATATAATTGGCACCACACTAAGATACCACACTAAGATATGCTATTTAGCGGTTCTTGATTTGGATGAACGGTGTTGCCATGGTTATTAATAATAGATATTTCTTTGAAATATTTTCAAAATGCCACTCCTCCTACAGTTTTGATTTGCTAGCAATAAATCTTTGCCTAGAAAAAATATCTTAACCAACGATAATTTTTTAAAGTCTGGAGTTTTGCTGTCGCAGAGTTTCATCTTTCAATGCTATTTTTCTCTTCCTTTTTTTTATAAGTTTAAACCGGTAGAGCGACAGTCTCGTCAGAGATTCTGGTCTTTCTTTTCAGGCTGAAGATCACAACTTACAAATAAACATCCAATATTGCTTCCAATCTTTTTAATATCAAGAATCTATGATGTCTAAATATCAAACATTTGAAACATAATCCTCCAATTGAAACTTGTTCGTGTTCTTCCTGACCCTACAACAATAGTCCTTCTGAACACGTCATTTCTGGTGATGTAAAAACAATTATCAATGAGAATATTAAATCACTGATTTTAAAAGGGAAAAAATTAGAGAACGCTGATCTTTCAGGAGAAGTCCTATTCTTTTTTAAATATGAATTCTGTTGAAAATCACACCAGACAACTGGCTTAACATAAAAGACCTTGACAGTTCGTCAGAGTGGATAAAATATGTGGAGATAACAAACAGTAATCGAGCACAAAATGCCATTTAACAATACACAATAGGAGCACATCAAACACGGATCTCCAGAACATAAGAGTGTGGGATAAGGTGCCATAGAAGAATGAGCATCTGCTGCCGAACGGTCACACCCGCCGTGCAATACCTGTCATGTTCGGGAGAAAACGGAAATATCAGCTGAAAAATCAGTGTGTATAAAACGTCAGTCAGTATTTTACTTAATGATAGATTGTATTTGCTGACAAGGTAATTGTATCGACCATAGAACTTACGAAATGAAGACTTTAATAAGAGACTGCTGATATTCTTATTTCATCAACTTGTTTGTCAATAACTTATCTTGTTTTAGAGATTGTTCGTACATAGCAATGCTCTTCCATATCGAATCAACTGATCGAGAGATATAAACTCCGTATACAGGTGATGAAGGTATTTTTCTGCATAAATAAGGGAAGTTGACGATTGAAAAGTTAAAGTCATCATCTTTATTATCATGAAGCTTTATTGTTAGATTACCAATTCAGAAAATGCATTGAATGATGATGACAAAAAGCGATTCTTCAGAAACACAGCTTGGATAAAGATTTATTGTCCCCTACATTACTGAGAGAAGTATCTGCAATTTTTCCTCTTTTGTTTAAACTATACTCAAAAGAGAAGAAATTTAGAAACAATGTTGAACGGTTTTTTACCATCCCGCTAGATACTTTTCAGAGGAATTCGACAAAATGCATGAACAAAATAGATTACATTATGCTACGTTGGTCTTATGCCTGTTAAATGACAATAAATTATCAGAAGAAATAATAAAAGACACAGAGAATAAGGCTTTTTGTGAAATGAAATTAAAAGCATTGAATAGCTGTAAAGTTAGAAGTTACACGCACGTTTTTGAATTTGTTGATGCATTATCAGTAATGGGGGGGACATATACTAAACTCTGTGGTTCTGAGTATACCTTTATTCATGACTCAATGTTTGAAATCATTACATATCATTTTGGTTCTCAATTCCCAAATCTCATTTTACAATTTATGAGTAGTAATTATATTGCTAACTATGTAAAGATTCAAAAAGATGAAATGCTTAAATTAGAGAATGAAAATAAACAAGCGAGGGAAAATGTTGCAGTCGATAGTGGAGATAAAAATGAAAAACCACTGCTTGTGAAAGTTCACAAAACGGGGAGAAGGGAGTATTAAGTGCTGAAAACAGTAATAAAATGCAGTCATTCGATCTCTGTATAAGGTTAGGAGAGGAGCAATGTTCTATGTTAGCAGAGCGTTTATTCAGAGATATAGAAAATGTGGAACTTTATGATGTTTATATTAATAATGTTTTAAAACACACTAAGGTATGTGAGGCTTTTATTGAGGTATTAAAAAAAAAGTCCTACACAGAGTTAAAATCTTTATTTCTGTCTGTGCAGAAAGACGTGTCTAAGGTAGTGAGTAAAGGGGAGCGTGTGAGGGAGGAAAGTAGAAAGAGGGATATAAGGAGCAAGGAGTGGTTCAGACAGTGATTGTTGGTTAATGAGGATTTTATAAAAGGAAGAACATTCAGTGTGAAGGTTATCAGTTGGATGGTTTACTACGGACACAATCAGATCCTAAAATATATTTTAAAAGAAACCGAGAGTGAACTATTTTTGAATTCTTTTAATCCTGATTCAAACAATTCATCAAAACATGGGGAAATGAGCTTTGGAGCAAATAATTCAACAAATGTATGGCCATTCAGCTTCTTTGACATTGACATTGATGGATCTATTTCTGAACAACAACGTTTATTGTTGCTGAGTTGTTACAATGGAAATTTAGAAATTGTAAGAATATTTATTGAATATCTGAAAAGAAATTCAATTGACACGTGGTCTCAATATTTGAATTCTGATAAAATGACTGATGATACACCACTTAAAGCTGCATGCGAGAGTGGACATCTGAATGTTGTAAAGGAGCTGATAGAGGCAGGGGCTGATGTTAATTCACACGAAGAATATGGAACGCCATTGACTCTTGCATGTAAGTATGGATATATGACGATCGTAAAGGAGCTGCTAAGGGCAGGTGCTAATATTAATCCACTAACTGAGTTTGATACACCACTTACATGTGCATGTAAAAATGGACATGTGGATTTAGTGAATGATCTGTTGGGGGCAGGTGCTAATGTCAATTACCAAGGTAAACGTAAAACACCACTGATAGCGGCGTGTAGGGGTGGACATCTGAATGTAGTAAAGGAGCTGCTAAGGACAGGAGCCGAAGTTAATCTAAACGGTGAGTTTGCTACACCACTGACAACGGCATGTAAATGTGGACATATAAATTTAGTGAGGGAGCTGCTAGGGAAAGGGGCTGATGTAAATCCAGAAGGTGTATTTGATTCACCGCTGATAGAAGCATGTAGGGGTGGATATTTTGTTGAACTTTTTGGTATAGATGCATCTAAGGGCGAATATTTTTGTTTAGTGAAGGAGTTACTTTGGGCAGGTCCTGATGTAAATCGACAAGATGAATTTGATACACCATTAACAGCAGCATGTGGGGGTGGACATATGAGTATAGTGAAGGAGCTGCTCGGTGCCGGAGCTGATGTTAATCTACAAGGTAAAGATGATACTCCGTTGACAGCAGCATGTAATTTTGGAGATGAGAGTATAGTGAAGGAATTAATCGGGGCTGGAGCTGATGTGAATTTAAAAGGTGATAATGATACGCCGTTGACAGCAGCATGTACGGGTGGACATGAGAGTATTGTGAATGAGCTGCTAATGGCAGGGGCTCATGTTAATTCACACAGTGAACTTACTACACCGCTTACAGCAGCAATTAATGGTGGATATGTGAATTTAGTTGAGGAACTGATAAAGATAGGGGCCGATGTTAATCTACACAATAATATTGATATACCTCTGATAGCAGCAATTAATGGTGGATATATAAGTATAATGACGGACCTGATAAAAGCAGGGGCTAATGTTAACGTTGAGGGTGGGTTTAAGAAACCGCTGACTGAAGCATGTAAAGGTGGACATTTGAGCGCAGTAAAGCAGCTGCTAGAGGCAGGAGCTGATGTTAATCTGAAAAGTGAGCTTCATACACCACTTATATCAGCATGTCGTGGTGGATATTTGAGTATAGTAAATGAATTGCTAAAGGCAGGAGCAGCTGTCAATCTACAAGGAGATGATGATTCACCACTGACAGCAGCATCTGAAAAAGGACATATAGATATAGTGAAAGAGCTGCTTAAGGCAAGAGCTGACATCAATTCAAAAGGCCAATTTTATAAACTACCGATAAGAGTAAATGAAGACATTTATATGAGTTTAAGAAAGAAGTGTCTTGAGGCAGGATCGGATTTCATTCTGAAATATGCATATTATAAACCATTGATTGCAGCATGTGACGTTGGAAAGCTATTAAAGGCAGGAGCTGATGTTAATCCACAAGGTCGACGTGATACACCACTGAAAGCAGCATGTCGTGGTGGACATCTGAATGTAGTTAAAGAGCTGCTAAAAACAGGGGCTGATGTCAATCAGCATGTTTTTGATGATACAGCACTGACAGACGTATGTGAAGGTGGACATCTGAATGTAGTAAAGGAGTTGCTAAGGACAGGAGCCGATGTTAATCAACAATGTAAAAGTGCCACACCATTATCAGCAGCGTGTGGTAGTGGACATATCAGTGTTGTAAGCGAGTTGTTAGAGGCAGGGGCTGATGTCAATCTACCAGATAGGTGTGATACACCACTGATTGCAGCGTGTGGTCGTGGACATGTGAGTGTAGTAAATGAGTTACTACAGAAAGGGGCTGATGTCAATTTAAAAGGTGAATATGATACACCACTGACAGCAGCATGTAAGTAATGGATATATGCCGAATACTGTTCTATATGTAAAATTATCAGACTGTTTGAGGCCCGTTAGGGCCGAAAACTGTCTGATAATTTTACATATAGAATAGTATGAGGCATATATCTTACTTAAAACATTGCCATTTAAATGTCCAAAAATTACCTGTAGGAGTCCGATAATAACACAATGGGAGTTTAGGCATCAATTGTATTTTACCCGTCTAATAAGTGGACAAAAGAAAAGAGACAGATAAAGAGTGAGTGAGCTGTTGTTTCATTTCATTCATTCAATGGCAGTCGTTTAGATAAGCAGGACAGGGGTCCGGTGGGGAAGGATTTCCTTTTTTATTTTGGAACATTTTTATTTATTTTGTGCATAATTTTTTTTTGGGGGTGAAATTACCACTGTCACCATGGAAAGTAACATGCGAATTTTCATCCTGAAGTTTTAGTTTATAGAATGGAAATTCTCAGCTTTTACAAGTGCAGCCATTTAGAAACAATCCTTATAAAAGAAATAAATTTGCCGATTTTTTCTCAAAAATGGATTTAAATTCGATTATACAAAGTGCTGTATCAAAAACACTTAAAAGATGGGAATAATTAATTTTGAAGATGGTTTAAACTCGATTTTTTCATGGATTTTCTAGTTTGTAGCAACTTAATTTCCTTGCGATTGCTTTCCCTAATTTTTTTCCTTTTTTTTTGGAGGGGATGGGGGGTGGTCGGGGGTTGGTGGAAATATTTAACTTATTCCACTCTTCTTTTTGTTTTTAAATACCGTCCGATTTTGATATCATTGCCGTCTGATAATATATTATCAGACTGGTAATTATTATTATCGGACGGCTACAGGTAAATTTTTAGACTGCAAGAACAAAGGCATGACGTCACAGCAATGTTTTAAGAATGGATATATGAATATAGCGAGTAAGCTGCTAAAGGCAGGGGGCGATGTTAATATGCAGGATAAGGAAGGCAGAAACCCTATTTATACAGTTGTTTGTCAAAATAAAAATTTTATTCCTGCTGTCATACGAATGTTCAATTATTACAGTGCAGACGCAACTATCAGTAATAAATACGGTATTTCAGCACTCTATATTGCCCTTATTAGAAATAAAATGTGTGTTGTAAAACAGTTATTAGAAAACAAAAATGAAAGTCAGTTAGCTAGACTGAGGTTACATTTGTTTGAGTGTTTGGTAGATATAAGACACAGTGACGTCATGACTGATAGTAAGGATGACGTAGTGGTGACACGGAGAAGAGTGTGGCGTATGGAGACACTGGGAGAATTACATATTGCAGTCCTAGAAAGTGAGTGTAAGGTTCTAAAACATCTTTTAGATATGGGTCTTGATGTCAATCAGGTGATACAGTCCTATGATGAGTTTGAAGTGAGACCCCTGTTGAAAGCAGTGATTGATATGTCTTTCAAACATCGTTTGAATAGGGTGAGGTTCCTCCTGGAGTCGGGGGCGGATGTCAATTTCAGAGTGAGGTACGAAGATTATGATTCTGTGGTAGACAAAGAGGGTGTGTCTGTTCTAGAGTGGATACGACGAAGAATGATTGAGTACAGTAAGAATTAGTGGGGTAAAGATGAATTGACAGAGGACAAAACATTTCTTAATGAGGTGAAAAAACATGTGAGGCGACACTCTGTGTAACAAATATATACAAATTAGTGGATAAGGTGAGGTTTCTCCTAGAGTCGCGGTGGATGTCATTGTCAGGGTGAGGTACAGAGAGTATGATTCTGTGTTAGACAGCGAGTATAATTCTGTGTTAGACAGAGAGGGCGTGTCTGTTATAGAGAGAATATGGCGAAATATGTGTTGGTTCAGATATGATGATAATATGGTCTGAAGAAGTGAATGGATAAGCTACAAGATAATGTTCAATGCTGTGAAGAAACACATGAGGAGTTACTCTAGGTAAAATGTGTTTAGGCCTCCATATCCTTCCAGTATAATTTTTTTCTATTTATGATTATAATAAAAACATAAACCATTAATATTAAGTACATTGGTAATTTTATAATATAGGGGGCTCTACCAATGTTTTATTTACTAGTGTTCCAATATACAGTGTGTTTTATAGAATAAACATTAAAATGTTTAACTGTGTATGAATGAGATTCATTTCTTCTGTAAACTTAATTCATTTTAATATACTAGTTTGATTGGTAAACTTCAAGCTTTGTATATTTATTGCAAGATAGACGGGTTTTTACTTACGAAGAAAGGATATGTATTAAAACTTTCAAAGTACTTGTAAAAATAAAAATAGTGTACTTGAATGTTGGAAATTTTTGCTACAAAATGTCGACCTCAAAAATATTTTTGAGAGACTTCCTATACAAAAACTTGACATAAGGTGATTAGTACAATTTGAACAGGATTCAAACTACATAAAGCTTAAATGTTGCAAATGTTACATCGATAAGCTTTGTTCCACTTGTGGTCTTTCAAGGTCAATCAATAAAATATAATCTTGAAACAAAGTGAGATTCACCATGCATGATGTCTTGAAACATGTGTCAAACTTTAGGAAAAAGAAATATTTTCCTGTAGCAAAAAATAATCATAAAGTCATATAAATGTAATAATCAGTGGTGTGATCAGGTACCATGGAGGAGTGAGCATCCTCTGCCGACTGGTCGCACCCCATGGTATATTGCTGCATAAGTAAGGGAAATTGCGATAGAAAAGTTAAAGTCATCACACTTATCAGTTTATCCAGAACGTTTGTTTGGAAGATTTTATTGTGTCTTGTTTTATAAACAATACATAAATTATCATATTATCCGACATCTTATTACTTGGAATGTCAATGTTTCATTTAGTTGCATGTTTTATCGTTAATTTGTCCCCTATTACTTTCTTGGAAGGCGTGCACCCGACATTTTCAGGAAGGGAATACTACCAAGGCCCTCGGGTGTGGGATTCTTCCATCCATGCTGCTCCACGAAATCCTTTTTCTGTGAATTAAACACCATATATGCTCTGAATTCTATGGAATTTCCCACTCCGTTGTATTTTCTGAGAAAAGAGCCATTGCGCCCTTCCTTGTCTCTGCAGTACCAGTGTGCTTTGTATTTGTAGTAAACATCAGAACCAAAACGTCGGACTGATGTAGAGTCTTCCTGCCACTTCTTCCAAACTGAACTTGCATCTATAATTTATAACAGTGCAATACTTATTCATATGTAAGTTATATAAGCTTTAATGTTTCAATTAATAAACACCATACATAACTTTAAAAAAAAATATTCTCACTTACAACCTTATCTGCATAAAAATCCAATACTTATATCATGATACTGACATTTACTACACTCTAGTGATAAAATGCGATGTACATACTAAAACAGATCTGATTAAGTCTTTTTGGTAATTATTAAAGCCAATAATTTAATGTTTAAAATTCATTGAAAAATATCCATGTTTCAAGATAATATTGCTTAAATCATTTCCACCTTAAATCCTGAGACGAATTGAGTAAAATTTGCCAGATTTTGCATGAAAAAAAACCCGGACAATTTCGTGGAAATGCATGTATTCTTTCAGCATCATTAAGCATTATTTCTCTCTTACACTTGGTAACATATATATTGTTTTACAATATTTGATGACATATTATCATAATATTTACCTTGATTTTAACCAAAGGATAACAATGAAGTGGATTTTTCTGTCTGTGCATTTGATGTTTTGGAAAGAAATTATTGAAAAAGGTAACAATTTATTATCATAACCATTTAACGAATGGTGGTCTTGTCACAAGGATTGTATATTTGAAATATGATAGCTATAGCCCTACATGTAACTTTTCAAAAGTTATGGACAAGGTTAAAATTTTTTTCTGATAGTAATCGATCTTAAAATATCTATAAACGAACTGTGAGAAAGGTATATACACGAACTATTGGAAATATCAGCGCTGGGATCAGGTGCCAAGGAGGAGTGAGTATTCCCTGATGATGATTTAACCAGCCTGAGCCCTATGTAATGATCATTTCAAATTATGTGTAGCATGTGTCATTTTAACATACTAGTACATGATACAAATTGTTGAATTTTGAATAATTTGAGAGAAATTATTACCATGTCTCCAGTAGAAAATTACTTCTTGAATAAGAATGTTGACAATTGGAAAGCTAAAATAATTTCGTTTGTCATTTAATTTTTTTTGTTCGCGGGGATACTCATTCCTTCATGGCACCTTATCCTTTCTCTGATGTTTTAGAGGTCCGTGCTTGCTCTGCTTCTGATTTTATCGTTTAGTAGACATTTAAACTTGAATGAAATATATGGAGGTCTGGAAAAAAATTCAAGCTCTAAAGTCCATTCAAACCATACAAATCAGGAGCAGAGCAAACACGGACCTCTAAAACATCAGGTGGATCAGGTGGATGAGTAGCATACCTGCCGACCGGTCAAACCCACCGTGTGCTCCTTGTCGTGACCCCCCAAAAATTCAAGAAAAATTTACGTATCTTTAAAATCAAATTACTGAATCTAACTGAAATTAAAGAATGACTTTCGTTGAATTAATCAACTTTAGTCATCGGGAAACATACGGAGATAACGAACAATATTCAACATCAAAAGTCCACAAAACAGGAGCAGAGCAAACACGGGTCTCCAAAACATCAGAGGGACCGGTCACACCCGCTGTTTATTCCTTGTCAATATAATAAATATTGTTCCCATATATTCATTGGTAATAAATCATCCACATCCAAATTAGAAACAGATTTTTCAGACTCTGTGGTATCTTTTATTTCAAGTTCATTAGGATATGATGAGTCGAGGTATAAATGTATTGTTAATTGATAAAAAGTTCGTCAATACACATGTATCTATTGAAGTTGAAGACCCAAGAAAATGAACTAATCTTCTTTTAATGTAAAAGATTCTTTTTTAAATTCTGTTTAAGATTATGTTAAATTATTCAAACATTTTTTTCTTTTCTTTAATTCTTTATTTTATTTATTATTATTTTTTTTTGTTTGTTTTTGTTTTGTTTTTGGTTGAAAAGATCCTACAATCAAAAAAATCAAAACATCTAAGCTACCTGAAAAAATCTTTTCATACCTGTCATTTCTACCTTTGTGTCCCTGGAAGTCAAACTTAAATCAGAAGTACTTCTCCGATATGAACTGGTGTCTTGGAAGGTGAAAATGATATTAATGTAAAGAAGAATTAAATTTCAGTTATTTAAAGGAAAGAGAGAGGGCGGGGTTATTTTTAAATTTGTTTTTCTCATTATTTTTTTTTTTAACTGTGCGGACAATTTTGTGTCCTTGCTCATAAAAAGGCGGAAAAAGGCATGTGACCTAAGGGAAAATTAAAATTCTTTTTCTATAAGGATGGAACTCTTTAGAAACTAAATTAAACCGAATGCTTACAGATAGGAAGTGTATAATCAGGTTTTCCTAATAATTCCTTCTCTTGTCTGATATTTAATATAAAGAGAATTTGTATCTTTGAAACGCCGAAATTTTGCCCGCTAACATCCTATGATATCAGGAAGATACAAATTTCCGTTTTAGGAATTCCATCCATTATTTCATCGAAATTCATAGCTACTTGCAATGGGAAATTTTTCAAAAGATTTTAATTAAATGTCTAAATACTCGAATAAGAGTAACAGGGAAACTGTGTTTGTTCTTTTCACAATTTGGATATTCTTTATTTTCTTCTCATTTCATGCAAAAGAGAAAAGGTATAAAATTGTTGGGATTTTGAGAAATCTTGCATATAAACAATACTTTTATTCATTTTTTATGCAACTGATATCTAAACTTTCAGTACGAGACCATACAATAAAAGAAGGAAATCAACAACAGCTTTAAAGCTAGTTGAAGAAATTGATGTATTTGTCTTAAACAAGAAATTACAGTTCCCTTGATACAAATATGCTGTTACATGATTAATAAAAAAAAATATTGTTACTGTGCAAGGTTTGCAAGATTTTCTGCGCAATGTTGGGGACGTATTTCTCCCCTTTTAGAACTAGACATCTAATTGCAACTTGATTTTATAACCTTTATTCCCTAATACAAGACACATCTTTAAAACATCCACTTTGTGTTATCAATCTCCTAACTCTTTATTGTCGTCTCGACAGACCGGTAAACTCGTTCGATTTGAATTTTCTGTCATCTGACTAAAAAGAAGGTTAATAAGTCATACAATAAAATATGGAGAAAACCAAAGTCTTCAAGCAACTTGCAGAACCCATCATAATAGAGGCCCTGGGTTTTGGAAATTTAATACATCATTATTAGGAGATGAAGATTTTGTGCTGAAAACAAAAGAACTTATCAATTGTTTAAAAGAGAAGTATACGGATTTAAATAACCATCAATTAAAATGGGACACAATTAAATGTGAACTAAGAGGGTTTATTGTTAAATATTCAAAATTAAAGGCAAGGAAAAATAGGCAGGAAGAGGAAAACATTTTCAAAAGAATTAAATGAACAAAATGAAATACTATCGGCAAATCCATCTGAAGAAAATATAGTTTTATTAAATGAAATCAAAGAAAAATTAAATGTATTAACAGACATAAAAACTAGAGGAATAATATTGAGATCTCAAACAAAATGGTGTGAAGAGGGAGAAAAATCTACAAAATATTTCTTGTCTTTAGAAAAAAGAAATTACAGAAATAAATGTATAGATAAGTTAGTAGTTAATGATAAAATTATTTGCGATAAAAATAAAATTCTCAAGGAAGAGGAAAGTTTCTTTGAAAATCTTTATTCAACTAACTTGGAAAAAAATAATTATCAAAAACACATTAGTCACTTTGTGAATGGTAAAAATATTCCAAAACTTACTAAAGAAGATTCTCTAACATGCCAAGGTTCAATAAGTAAAGATGAATGTGAAAATATCTTAAAAGAATTTAAACCAAATAAATCTCCAGGAAGTGATGGACTTCAGTTTGAATTCTATAAGTACTTTTGGCCTGAAATAGAAGATCTGGTAATAAACAGTTTAAATGAAAGCTATCAACAATTATCTCTCTCTCCAGATCAAAGAAAGGGAATAATTACTCTCGTGCAAAAAAAAAAAATAAAAATAGAACTTTATTAAAGAATTGGAGACCAATATCATTACTGAATTTTGATTATAAAATATTAGGTAAAGTTCTTGCAAGTAGAATTAAAAATCTACTGCCTAACATAGTTGGTGCTGATCAAACAGGTTACATTGAAAATAGATACATAGGAGAAAATATACTGAAAGGAAAAAGAAACGCAGGGTAAACTTTTGAGGTGAATTAAATTTGTTTTTCTTAAAATAATTTTCAGTTTTCCTATCTACCTTTGAAAATCATCTTTCAAAAAGATAAAACCAAGTTCTCATATGATTTTGTCTAATTATTAATGAGTTATTGAAGCTCAAATGACGATACCCCCAAAAGTGAAAATCGAAAACTCTCATTATCTTCAATGTCTTTCTCGTGCAATTGTCAGAGTGTTGTTTCTTCTTTGCATGGAATTTCATCAGAGTGTTTATCTTTCAAACCCTGGCTATATTTAGCATGGGTAACCACGCAAAAAATAAGTCAAACGGCGCGCGCATGCGCCAGTGAGAGGAATACAACAGTAAGTTGACTGGCTCAAAAAACCAAATTGCGGAACTGTTTTCTTTCAAATTTCGTATGAATGTAATGATTATAATCGTCTACTCTATAAATGGCTGTTTTTGTGGTAGTAAGGTGGCGATTTAAGAGATGGCAGGACGAATAACCCGCTCGTAACATGGCTCTGTTTCGCGTTATCGTCATCGTCACGGTTGATTGAAAACCATTCCAGACCCTCTCTGACAACGGGTAAAAAGTTTTATGGGGGAAAATTTACAAGAGACTGCTTAGTAAACCGTTGTTGCCTTTTTCCTTAAGTAGGCAGTTTGAAATGAAGACCCCATTGAACTTCCGTAAACTGTGCCAAGATTGCAATAAATTCATAATGTGTCCTAATATTGAAAAACGATGTGCATACCTCATATGCATCAAATAATGCAACAAGATTTGTTGACAAACTCGTCGTTATCAAATTACACGTGTTTTGGGCTTGTTAGCGTTTCCCTACGTGACGTCATAAATTTTATGGTTGAGTAATTCTGAATACTGATTTTGATGCACAGTAACTAAATTTCCCTTCTGACCAATTTTCGTAATTCTCGGTCATGTGATCAAATTTTTATCGAAAATTATGCTACCCTGCGTTTCTTTTTCCTTTCAGTATATAAGAACTATTGCAGATCTTATTAATTACACAAGTATAAAAAATATCCCTGGACTTATTTTGTTAGTAGATTTTGAAAAAGCTTTTGATACAGTTGAATGGTTATATTTAGATAAAGTTTTAGAAACTTTTGGATTTGGCAAAGGGTTACGACAATGGGTACACATTTTATATTCAGATATAACAAGTTGCTTAATTAATAATGGATATTCCTCCTCCTTTTTCAAGATAACTCGAGGTGTTAGACAAGGATGTCCTTTATCACCCTATTTATCTATCTTATGCGTTGAATTATTGGCTATTGCAATTAGATCAAATAAAAACATTCATGGTATAAGAATTGGTGAAACAGAATTCAAAATTAGTCAGCTAGCAGATGACACTACTTGTTTCTTAAGTGATGAAAAATCAGGCTTTGAAGTATTGAGAATCATTCAAAATTTTAAATATTGCTCTGGTTTAAAGATCAATCTTAATAAAACAGAGGCCATATGGATTGGTAGCTGTAGGAATTATCCACCAGGCAGCTTACCTGTACAATGGTCCAGTGGTTTATTCTTTACGCTTGGAATTTGGTTTAGTGTACATGGGGAACATGACTGTTTAGTAAAAAATTTCAATTCCAAATTAGATGAAATTAAAGCAATTCTAAACCTCTGGAAAATGAGGAATTTAACTCTGATAGGAAGGATCTTCATTACAAAAACACTAGCAATTCCTAAAGTTATTTATCAAGCTACTGTGTTACCAATTTCTAATGAGATTATAAAAGAAGTAAATAAAATGATATCAACTTTTATATGGAATAGTGACAAACCAAAAGTTAAATTAACTGTAGCATGTCAAAAAATAAATAAGGGTGGACTTAATGTTCCAAACTTTGAAAATCAGATTAAGACACTTAGACTAAATTGGATTAAAAGAATTAAAAGAATGTATTGTTCTGATAATCACCACCCAAAATGGTTCATGATTTTTCAAGCTTATTTTGAAGATATTACAATACCACAATTTTATAGAGACATTTTAAATTGTTGGAAGGAATTTAGAACCTATGATAATGTTTGTGTAGAACCTAAAATATTTAAGGAAATTCTATGGTTTAATGATAAAATCAAGATCAACAAAACACCCATCTTCTGGAAAAAATTGTATAAATGTGGAATACTTTTTGTAAATGACATTATTGGTGAAAATAGAGTTTTTTTAAGTCATGAAGAAATAGTCCAGCTTTATGGTATAAACATTTCCTTTTTGGACTACATGTCTATTAGAATGGCAATATCATATGAATGGCGAAAATTTTTAAGGGAAAAGCAAAAACCTGATTTCAATAGAAATACATTAACACTTTCTATAGATGATAAGAAATGTCCAATTTCAAAAATACAATGTAAAAATTATTACTGGACCATAACAGAACAATTGATTGAACAACCAACTTGTATTAAAAAATGGGAAAATATATTTGATATTAACATAACAGAATCTGACATGAAGAATATGTTTTCCATTTCTTTTTTATGTAATAATGAAACTTATTTGCAATCTTTTAATTATAAATTAATTCATAGATTTATAGCACATGGAAAATTATTATATAATATGGGTATAAGTGAATCACCATCATGCAAAACATGTAAGGAAATTGACACAATAGAACATAGGTTTTATCTTTGTGAAAGTACTTAATCATTTTGGAATGAATTTTTGACTTGGTGGAATAGTTTGAATTTATGCTTAATCCAAGATATTTCATGTCAAAATGTGATATTTGGAATTTATACAAATTCTTATAATACAGTTCTGAATTATTGTTTACTGCTAGCAAAATACTATGTTTATACTGTTAGAAATGCACAAGAGAATTGTCAATGTAACAGGAACTTTATGGTTTTCCAAAAAATTTTAAAGGAAAAATTATATGTTAAAAAATTTCTATATTGTACGAAGGGAAAATTAGAAGATTTTTACATTGAATGGCAAGAATTATTGGATAAACTGGAAAACTGATCTATATTATAATCTTTTTTTTTCTCTTTTCACAAGTTAGAGCCCAAACCATTTTCAATTGTTATTTTAGATAATCTAAAGTCTATATACCTATTAGAAATATTGATTATATATTCTCACTGCAATGTTACATGTATGTATTTTATCTTAATTTGTAAAATGTAAGAGCCAATAAAAAAAAAAAAAAAAAACTTGCAGAACTGCACAGCACGTACAGATCTTGTATATAATGCAAATGTGGTGCCATTTACTGCACGAAATTCTCTGCACAATGTTGGGGATGTATCCCTATACTTTTGGCATTGTACAACCAATATTGGAACTTCCTTAAATAACCTCCATTCCCTAATACAAGACATATTCTTTTAAGCCGACCTCTATGTTTTATCCACCTCTTGGTCCTTTATTGTTTCTACAGACCAGTTAACTTGACAATGAAGGGTTAGAAAGTGGAGAAAACATACAAGTTGGTCATAGAGTAGTGGTACGTCTAGAATTAGGGAGTGAAAGGTAGTTGGTTGGCCAGTGCTGAAAATAGGAGAAATTCTCCAAAACTTTGTGCCGTAACTAAATTGCACAATATTGGCATTACAAGATCATATTTGCAATAAAACCTTAATTAGCGTTACATCATAATGGTCAAAGACTAAAATATGATATAAAATCGAAATGCTAGTGTTCTTAAGCTTAAATCACAGCTTATCAAGCTTAAATTAGGTCATTCAAACAATACAAATACAAAATCCTATGCAGTCTGGGTTTTTTTCTTAATGATTGAATGATTTAGAACTTGCTGACAAGGACATTTTATCGAACACGATAGAACTTGAGAAATTGTGACCATAAACGATACTCTTCATAATCTAGTTTCATCCAACTGTTTGTCAATATAGCAATCCTCGATTAAGAGTTTTTTCGTAGATAGAGCATGCAGTTGTGTATCGATCAAAGGAGATGGGTGAACATTACGAGAGATAAGCCCATAGTGCAACAAACATGAAGGTGAAAAATTAAATCTCAATTTTATCAAAATATTCTTTAATATTTCATCTAACATTAAAGTATACTTTATGTAAAATCTCTACAACTTGCACAAATCTCATGAAAATTGAAGTTATTTGCTTATGAAATATAATACACACACGAAAGAGGACAAAACGAGTCATTATTTCACACTATAACACTATTTTTCGTTATGAGTGGGTCTTCTCTCCATTTTTTTGAAAGGTAATCCTTAAAGTTTGCATAAAAACATACATATTTTGATTTCCAAATTTATGGAGCAATGACCCACTATACCTAAAAAATTTAAGTTTATGACATAACTTTAGCATCTTTTTATGAAATACTTGAAGTCCCTTAAGTCAATGGTCATATCACAAACATGATTTAAATGCCATACTTCATCAGGACTTGTGTAGCGTAGTGGTTAGCGTGCTAGTCTCATAAGAGAATGCATATGGCAAGCCCTTTTACTATTTATTCGAAAAATAATTATTTCTTTCAATTTGAGAGATATCTCTCTAGCATAGAGAGATATCTCTTTAGCCTATAGAGATATCTCTTTCACTAATAGAGATATCTCTTTAAACAAAAGAGATATCTCTTTTTGAAAGAGAGATATCTCTTTTTGTAAGAGAGATATCTTTATAAGCTAGAGAGATATCTCTTTCAGCGAGAGAGATATCTCTTAAAGTTAGAGAGATATCTCTTTAACAAGTTTAAAAGAGATATCTCTCATAGTTAGAGAGATATCTCTATAGATTTTCAAAAAGAGATATCTTTCTAAGCTAAAGAGATATCTCTTTTAATGAAAGAGATATCTCTTTTCAAATCACCCTTAAAATAACATAATTAATTCTCCCGTTGAAAACGAAAGCGAAACAGGAAGTAATGTTTGTTAAGTCGTTCGTTTTTGATTATTGAATAGAAGAGGAGAAAATGGATTGATTGATACAGGTACTAAACAACGTGTAATCGCTTTATTGATTTAGTAAATGACGTACATACAGTACATACAAGCTATTCCAACTGGGTCACGAGCATTTTAAAGCATAAAAGTAAGTGTTTTCAAACTAAAACGTTCCCTTAAGATTGGTCCCATACATATATGATTTCAGGCAAATAGCATCGTTTTTGAAAGTGGGGGGGGGGGCAACCAGAGAGATTTGTTTTTTAAAATTACAAATAAAAGTTGACCAAACTCGATAATCCTATTTCGGGAGGGGGGGGGGGGGGGGGGGGGGTTAGTGGCCAATTTTTTTCAAGACCAAATATTCCTTTCACTTCCAATTTTTATTGCATAAAATACTACATTTCCATGATATCACTATACTGTTATTCTATACTGTGGTAAGAAGTGGGGTGGGGGCCAACAAACTATTCAATGCACATCCTCAATAGCACAGGTACTTGGGTCGTGGTTTATAAATATTTATAATGTACCTTATTGATGTGTAAAAGTACTTTTTTTTACCTATCAATAAGGTACATTATAAATATTTATAAACCACGACCCAAGTACCTGTGCTCAATAGTAGAGGTATTGTTTGGAAAAAAGGGGGGGCTAGTAGCGATCAAACTGGAGCGGATCAAAGATCTAATTTTAATTAGATTAGGGCAAGCCGCCCTTCCCTCCCCCGCAACCCCAACCCAACCCCCCCCCCCCCCCCCTTTGTTGCTTTGTGCCTGGATTTAGCTCACGGGACAGCTGATCATGAGGTCGACATATAGTCTTAGAATGCAAAGTCAATAAAACAAATAGGAAATGCATATGTTACCAAATTCATCAATCACGGGAATACAGGGTTGATTACTGCGTCGATTAAACATAATCCTGATAGAATGTTCTTCTTTAATTTGTTAAATAATAATCCAGAAATAAAGACGCCCAACATTACTTCTTTCATATACACAGGGATGTATATACTCATTTTCAATTTTAACTGTGGGATGTTAAACAACACACATGTACGATCAATATATTAACTGTAAAGCCTTATGACCCCCTTCCCAAATACTAGTTCTCTTACAATTAAGAGACAGACACATTGCTAGAACAATCAAATGGTGTCTCCCAACAGGCCTGCACTGGGTCCATAGGGCATTCATCATTCAATGATGGAACATTTTATCTACTTTTGTCATCATATATTTTACAGGGATCCAGGAGGTACTGAAAAAGGGACAATGCTTCGACTGAATGTGTCATTCATTTACATGTACCAGTATAGATCTGTTACTGAGGCATATCCAATAATTCTTATACTCATGAAGAGTGTGGCAACTTCCAAGTAGTTGATGCTGGGACTCATTTTAAATCAGGTACAGGAAAAATTTTCTTTTCTTTACTTCAATATTTCAAACTTACTAGTTCAGTATCAAGTTCACAAAAGCTCACACACCATGGCGTTAAAATCAATGGACCATAATGCTAGTTAAATTTATCATATTGCTTTCTTATTAAATTATCAATTTGAAATTTGATCGGTAAAAGTTATTTGTTAACAAGTATAATTCTCCTACTCTCTGCCTAATATTACATCCCAACGATTGAAAATATATGTTGATAGGTTCTCCACAAAAATTGCTAACTGTGCAGAATGTAACTTGTTTGCACATTTGTTTCAACAAACGACATTTTCTTAACAATCCTTCAGTATTAAACAAGACAAATATTGGATGCTTATTTTAATACACTATAAATAAACATCAAGAACAAATTTAAGGAAGTTTAATTTTTGTGTATTTGGTTGTTACATGTGTAATTTTTGTATATATATAGGATGTACACAAGCATTTTATAACATTGTTAACATTCAAGAAAGCATTCACTTAATTTCTTGTAGATGCTCACTTCCAGGATGTTTCCAGGTTCTTGTTAAAAGTGTTTTATATGGCACCATTCAGCTACAAATACTTTGCCGGTGGAACTGTGACATCAATCAGCTGCTCATGGCACAGCTAATTGGCAGAGAATTTCCTTTGGGACAAGCAAACTGTTTCGAACATTTTACACCTGCAAGTAAGTACTTAATTATGCAATTTTGTTTGAAGGAAGCTAAAGGCTAATGATTACTGAAAATACAAGCCAGATGAAGTACAAAAGTGTTGATACAAGTCATTTGAATTTTTATTTCTTTGCAGGTAGTGATGAATGTACTGGAAGGTTTTTCAGGATCTCTCCCAACATCATAGGTACAACTGGTCACTGTGCTTGGTTGGTTATATAAGCCGGCATATTATTAAGGCGGTGACATAGCTCCAAATGATGCTTGACTATTTTTCTTCAAATTATAAGTAAACCTGGATTGATCTCTGATGCAGTAATATAGAGCCATGTCCATTTTTTAAATTCTATCTTCCCACTGTCACAAAGTACTGAAATAAAAATGATTTGATTTTAAATATATTTTTTTGGCTTTTCTATGTAACATAAAATTCTACAAAAATTCAAATATTAAAACTACTTCAAAACAAGATTTGTTTGTGAAACACTTTGCGCCCGGTGACAACAAATTCGAAAAAGTTATTTTTAGCATGTAGGTCACAGTCAAGGTCACAAGGTCATTGAAATTGGTGTCATTTGCAAGAGCTTAATTTGTGGAGTATGCATATCAAATATGAAGTCTTTATCTTTAATGGTTCAAAATGTATGGGGAAAGATCAAAATGGTATTTATAGCATTTAAGTCACAGTAAAGGTCACAAGGTCATTGATCTTGGTGTCATTCAAAAGAGCTTAATTAGTGGAGAAGGCATCCAAAATATGATGTCTCTATCTTTAATGATTTAAAAGGTAAAGCGAAAGTTCAACTACTGTATACAGGGTTATTTTCGCCCTTACACAACTGAAAACAAGTTTGGCCCATTTTAAATTCGCCCAAAAATATTTATGTTTAAGATATACAGTTTACTCTGAATTTGCCCTGTTTTAAATTCGCCCACGCAAGACTGGGGCGAAAGGGGCGAAACTTAAACGGGGGAAAATTTCCCTGTATACAGTTAGCTATTTTAGCATATAGGTCACAGTCAAGGTCATAAGTCATTGACATTTGTGTCTTTTGAAAGAAGTTAATTAGTGGAGTATGCATATTAAGTATGAAGTCTCTCTCATGGTTCAAAAGTTAAGGCAGAGGTTAAAGTTGCCAACAGACAGGACAAAAGCAATATACACCTCGGATCTGGGCACATAAAAAGAAAAGTGGGAAACTTTACTAGATGAGTCAATCTCGGAAAAAGAATGGAAATTCTTCTTTGTAAATGCATCATCGTTCACAAAAGAGACAACTAGAAATATGTCCATAGGACATGAATGCCCCGCCAAGGGTATATCAGTACTGCAAGATGAAAATTTGAATTTGTGTAACTGTTTGAAATTTCAGAATATCTTGAAAAGTGATGCAGTTGAACTGGTTACATCAGTATGCATCAGCATATGAAGTTTTAACACCAATTGAAGAAAAATGAGGTCTTAGGTCAAAGGAAAGACCAATGTCAAAGATGTCAATGCAGTTGAAAGCTCTCATCATTATGTATCAGCATATGAAACTTGAAAAATAATATAATGAATGGTTTCTTTAAAACTAACTTAATCACAATTTGTTAAAAGTGAGGCCAAGGTCAAATGAAAGATCAAGATCAAAATGTTGATGCAAATGAATAGCTATCATCAGTATCTATTAGCATATAAAGTTTGAAACTAATTTAGGAAGAGTGAGGTCAAAGGAAAGGTCAAGGTAAAAAATATTGATGCAATTGAATAGCTCTCATCAGTATGTACACTGTATCAACATATGAAGTTTGATAAAAATATCTTGAATCAATGGTATCTTTAAAACTGAGTTTAACACTATGACTAATTTAAGAAAAGTGAGGTCAAGGTCAAAGGAAAGGTCAAAGTCAAAGAATGTTGATGCAGTTGCTCAGCTCTCATCAATATCTATCAGCCTATGAAGTTTGATGAAAATATCTTGGACAGTTTCTTTGAAACTGAGCTTTGAACAGAGCTAAATGCAAAGTGTGACGGAAGGACGGAAAGACGGACATGACAAACACTATATGCTCCAGCCATATTCATGGCGGGGCATAAAAATAATTTATTTTCAATATCGATTACTGATGAATTATATTGCAACCAACTCCTTTCTCCATAAAATCAAGCTGTCAGAAAATAGTGTATGTACATTCTGTAATATTGAAAGAGAGACAATAATTCACTTATTTTATGATTGTGTATATAAAGTTGACAGAATTTTGGAATGAATTTGTACAATGGTTTAGTGTCATTGAAATTAATTAAAAAATATGCAAAAGAACTGTTTTACTTGGTAATATTCCCAGTAGAAGGAAGTTGTTTAGAAAATTTTCTTTTATTAGTTGCAAAACAGTTCATTTAATATTCTAGATAGTAAGCCATTATTTATTGATGCAATAAAGTTATTTAAGTATTACAGAAACATAGAAAATTATTGTGAAAATTTTTTTCGATGTAAGGACAAAATACTCAGTAAATGGGCCCTGTGTGATAATGTGTACAACAAGTGATGAAAAAATCAAAATTGTATTTTTTTGTTAATTTATATCTATATATTTTGGTACATCTGTTTTGTTTTTGGATAAATCATATGTTTAACTGTCATATGTTTACATATATGTACATTTATTATGCCACCCTTCAAAGAAGAGAAGGCATATTGCTTTGCTGCTGTCTGTCGGTCCATTTAGTTTCCGTTTATTTTCTTCACAACCATTGCACATACTGAAATGAAATTTGGTATACGGGTATATCAGAGGTCAAGTTTGACAGAGTTATGCCCTCGGACTTAGAAAAATTCCAATGTGGGGGGAGGGGGGCATAAGTGTTTAACAAACATCTAACATCTCTTGTCATTTTGAAGTTTAGAAAGTGCAATGTATGAGTGTGTGTAATTGTGGTGGTGAGTGGGTGAAAATTGTTTGGTATGCGTTTGTATATATACTGAAAGGAAAAAGAAACGCATAAAAAACTTTTGAATAAAATTAAAACTTTTATTTTCAACATGTTTTCCAGTATTGTTATCAAACATTTTAATTGATTTTTAAACAACAAGTAACCGAAATATTGTGTGACTTTGACTGATAATCCCTGAGTTATTGAAATTGATATGTCGATACCCCCCAAAATCAAAATAAAAATTCTCATCATCTCCCTTGCGCATCAGTAACAGCCTTGATTTTTTTGTTCATTGAGTTCACCAGAGCATTTACCTTTCTCAAGGATTATCATTAAAGCCTTCCGACGGTAGTCTTAATGGTTGAGAGTAGCTGTATCATTCCCAAAGCCAACAAATCCCCCCGCCCAGTGAATCCCACGAATTTTGATTTAGGATAGAATTTACAGAATCTAGCTGATTTGGTACACTTGAATGTTTGTAAGGAAGCATCGACAAACACTGGCTACATTTTCTCAGCGTGAACATGCTAAAAACAATACGCATACAGCACGTGTGAGAGTAAAATCGACGTGAAGTTGTCAAGCTCGTGGACCAAATTAGAGCAGAGAGTTTCTGTCAGTTTTAGGCTGAAAAGTGAGTATGATTGTCTGCTGCATAAATTACGGTTTCAGTGATAATGCCCTGGCAATAACCGAGGTAGCATGATGACAAGCCCTATCTTGATGTAACGTTGCTACTCGTCAACGTCACCGTCATGGTTGGATGGAAACCTTTTAACCTAACTCTCTGACAACCGAAAAAACTTTTTTAATTGAAAAGTCAAAATCAAACTGCGCAGCAACATGGTGTTGCCTTTTTATTCACTTACGCAATTCAGATACTGGAACCAGTGTAACTTCCGTCAGCCATACCATGATTGCAAGAAATTTATACTGATTGCAAATGCGGAAAAAGATTTCTATAACTCTAATGCATCTCTTGGCACACAAAATGTGATCACAAAATTGTCATCATCAACATGCACGTGTATTTGGCTTTTTATTACTTCCCCTACGTTACACCATACATTTCATGGTTGAGTAATTTTGACCAGCGATTTTAGTGCACAGTAACCAAAATACACATCTGACCAATTTTCATAATTTTCGGCCACATAGTTGAATATTTTTCGCTTTTATGCTATTATGCGTTTCTTTTTCCTTTCAGTATATGGATATAGGAAAAGCTTCAGAATAAAGCATTTAAAAAAAAGTTTTGGAAAGTATGGCAATCATATACCAGTACTCAGAAATGCTAAATAAAAGGCTTCCTAAGAGAAAAAAAAATCAAAACTACCAATCAAATAAGTATTAAATGTAAATCTTTTAAGATGAAGGGTTTGCTTTGTCAGATTCTTTGCTTCAAAGGACACTTACCTAAATAATGTCATGACAGGTGAGGCACATGGCTGGTCTTCAAGCTGGATCAGTTCTTAATCAAAACCATCCAGTATTGTCTTAGGATTGCAGGATGTGCAGACACCTGTAATTTAGCAAGCTTCTGTAACATGTCATTTGAATTATTGCATACTTGTATGTGCAACTGATAATACAGTAAAACTCGGTTTTAACGAAGTCACTGGGACCTATGAAATTACTTTGCTACATGTATATCCATAATTTGTTATATCCATATAAGATTTTTTTTAAATTTATATAACTGGGGATCCAAGATAACTTAGCTATATCTGTGAATTCACAATATCTGTGTTTGTACTAACCAAGTTTTACTGTAATTTAGGACTAAGGTGCCTGACAAATATTGAGTTATACATCTTGCAAATATCCATTCATTTGATACAAATCTTAACTTTCTTCGTTAAATTTCATCAAAGATTTTACAAGAAAATGAGAATAAAAAAATATTGTCGTTCACAAACACAGAAAAAATATTTTTATTTAAATTTTTTATTTAACAATAGATGTTTGTAACACTTACGCCCCCCTCCCCCCCAAAAATTAGAATTTTTCTGAGTCCAAAAGTGCATTACTCTGTCAATTATGGTGCGATCATACCCAAAACAAAACTTGACTTCGATATTCATCTGACTAATCTGTGTACTAAATTCCATTTCAATATGTGCAACCTCTATAAAGAAAATAAAAAGAAGCTGCAAATAATTTGAATTTTTCTAAGTCCAAGGGGCATAACTCTGTCAAAAATGGTACAATCATACCCAAAACAAAACTTGACCTAGATATTCGTCTGATATACCTGTATACCAAATTTCATTTCAGTATGTGCAATGGTTGTGAAGAAAATGAACAGAAACTAAATATACCTACAGACCGACCGACAGACAGCAGCAAAGCAATATGCCCTCCCTTCTTCTAAGGAGGCACAAAAATATTTGTTGCAATTTCATATCTAGGGTGCCCCTCCAAGGCCAACATTAAAAAAACAGATTTGTTTGATGTACTCTGACCGACCTGTTAAAATGGCCCCTACCCATTAGCAATCATTTTTTGGGCACTTCAAATTTTTTTATTTTTCCACCTTAATTTTCATAGATGTTTTAAAGATAAGGTATCAATTTTTTTTAAAATGCTTTTCAATTTATAAATATAAAGTCTTTCTAGCTAGTAATGAAAACATCAACAGATTTCTGAGTATGTGCATGGTTTTAATTATGACAGTTATCAATTTGTTCAATACTGTAAGGCAAAAGAAAAAAAACCCTACCAATACCTACCTACTAATCTTGATAAAAGTGGGTAGGAGTACATCAAACAAACATTTTTAAAGATGGTCAATGTTGACTAGTATATTAGTCATCTTGTAAAAAAAAATCCATACATGTATATATAATAATTATACATTTAATCTGTAAACAAGAGTATTTTACCCCATTTTAATAGTGAGGTGAGATGACAGTAAAGTTGAATAAAGGGGTCTATGTCTAAACCTTAAGGTGGGGTGGGGGTAAAGCATCCCTGGACATCTCAGACTTTTTTGTCATTTTTTGATATGCTATGTCTTACAAAAAATTAATTTTATATTTGTCCTAGAACTTTTTTTGTTGTATCAATTTCATACCTGTATTTGATTTGCATTGTTTTGGATGCTGATAATTCAAAGTCAGTATAGCCTTAGGTGCCGCTGACTTTGGATCTCTTAGCAACTGCATCTTTTATCTGTGTTACTGGTTCTTTTGTACCTCTGCTATAAAATAAGTTTTAGTGTATACAATTGTGTAATATCAATGACTAAATTCAACAGACAGATTTGTTTAACATCCCTCTCAAGAATTTTTCACTCATATGGAAACACCGGTGGAGAGCTGCAAATTTTGTCCTATGCTCGGCACTCAGGGCCATTGAGCAGGGAGGGATCTTTTTAGTGCCAATACCTACTGTGAGGTTGGGCCATGGTTCATACTGTATCATCCCAAGGACAAGTCTCCACATCCCACAGTGGGATTCAAACCCACGATGTAAGGATCAACTCCTTACTTTGCGACTCTAGAGCAGATGCTCTAACCACTGCGCCATGCGGGTGAATTTGAACAGACAAAAATTTAACCAAAATCCCTAAACCATGTTCTATAAATAGGGAACATACTCTCAGTCTCTGAAGTGAGAAATATGGTCATGTTAATGTAGTGATCTGAAGTTTGTTTAATGCAGCTTCTGTAAGAAATTTTTGACCTAAAGTGTAATAATAATAACACAAGGTATCTAACTCCGAATTACACGGAGCACCCCCCTCCCTTAAAATCGTGCTCCTTTAAGAGGAAATGCACGGGTAAACTGTTTATACCTATTTCTTCTACAATAATTCATCTACACAACCGTATCTAGCAAGCTTGTCTTTATTTTCTTTTATCTCTGTAATCAGCGTCAAAACTCTGCTCGGCGGGTGGAAAGTCTAACTCAACCATAGAATGGTATGTTCTAGTCTCGGGCAAAGAGCAAAATTTAAAAATCAGTGGTTTTAAAAATTTAATTCCATTGTTTAAATATTGCAGTGAGTAAACAGAACTTGTTTACGTCTAATTTTCCTTGAAAAGATTTCGATGTTTATCTGATGTAATGTTAGAAACAGATTTTTATCCAATCAAAATCTCTGTGCGGGATCAGCACATACCGTTCCATGGTTGAGTCGACTTTTCCACTCAGCAAGCAGAGTTTTGTCTCTGTTTATGGAGATAAACAAAAAGACAGACATGGATGCTATGTATGGTTATGTAGATAATTTATCGTAGAAGACAATCGAATTAAAGAGTTTGACAGCTAGTGCATTTCGTCTGAAAGTGTATATAAATGAATGCGTTTCTGAGGGAGGGGGTAAGATGTGTAATTTGGAGTAAGATACCTTGTGTTATTACATGTATACTGTGGGTTAAAAATTTAGTACTGAAACAAGCCCCTTTGGGCAAAAAATATGAACAGAACATCTTGTAAATACTCAAATAGATCTAAATTGCTACAAACACTTAATACACAAAAAGTTAATCCACAGACATACGAAAGGTAAAACTTTACTGAAAAATATGTATATCAAATAAATATTTACCCAAACAAAAGTGATGCAGCCACAATATGACGTTAGTAGTAGTACCCATCGAACACTGCCAAAACTCCTCCTCTACAATCAGCTGATGAAAACATTATTGTCCTCGGATTCGAGAAAATTCTGTTAACAAATTAAGGCAAAAGATGATTACAAAACTATTCATTCGGTTGAGAATAAAACACCTAATTTACCCTCAAAATAAACAAGAAACGGATGACACTCTGATTTGTTTACCTGTACTTCGATTGAAATTTTCCTGGTGGACAAGTTTTTATTACATCGTAAGTCGATAAACCATTCCGCTTTGTAAAACTATTTTACTTTCCCCCGAAACCTTTGCGTAAACCAAAACATGCTGAACTCAATGACACAACTCCACGTGTTAGGTACCCCGGAAGTGAGGTACCCCGCGAGTTACGTGACAAGCACTTTCAGACCCTGGACCGAATTTTCTCAGCTTTTGAAATACTTCCGGTAAAGGGAGAAGTAATGAAATGGAATTTAAATAAAAATAATGAAGAGAGATATCTCTTTGCAATAAAGAGATATCTCTTTTTGCTTGAGAGATATCTCTTGTAGACACTTTTGAGAGATATCTCTTTCACTTTGAGAGATATCTCTTAAGATAAACTTAGAGAGATATCTCTTTTACTTTAAGAGATATCTCTCAAAGTGAAAGAGATATCTCTCTAGGTGAAAGAGATATCTCTTTAGGTGAAAGAGATATCTCTTTAACGTTCAGAGATATCTCTTTTCACGAAAGAGATATCTCTCAAGGAGAAAGAGATATCTCTCAAAGTAAAAGAGATATCTCTCTAAGTATAAGAGATATCTCTCTAAGTCTAAGAAATATCTCTTTCTCATAGAGATATTTCTTAAGGATGAGAGATATCACTTTAAGTTGGGAGATATCTCTATTTTTAAGAGATATTTCTTTAAGTTGGGAGATCTCTCTGTAATTTTAAGATAATTTTTATTTTCCGAATAAATAGTAAAAGGGCTTGCCATAATATGGCAAGCCAGGATTTTTATTGCCAGGGTTCGAACCCAATGGATATCACATTATTTTTACTAATAAAAGAATAAATTTTAACAAAAAATTTTCCCAAAAACTTTTTGTTTATCGTGATTTTACAAAAATCAATGATGAGAATTTTAATCTAAATACTAAAATAACAATTTGAATATGATTTTTATATATCTGAACCTTGTGGGTTTTTTACACGCCAAGTTCACCCATCTCCTAGCTTTAGTTGGTAAAGATAAACCCCGCATATATGCAGGTGATAAGGGCATATTATTTGCTACATCAACTTGTAAGAAATTGATTGAAAAAGTTGAAGTCACCATAGCCACGTTTAATAATTAAAACATTGTTGTTAGATAACAATTTATGCCCTTTTCTAGTAAAATGTCCAAATATGAAATATTTTGATAGACTTTTTGGTACTAGTATTTTTGTTTGAAGCCCACTGAGATGTATCGAGTTGACATATGAATTGAAAAAAAAAACTTTTATTATTGTTAATTGATAAATTGGTCTCCTAGATATATCTGAATATCGAGTTGAAGGCCACATGAAGTATTTTCTTTTCCTCTTCTTTAAACGATTTTTTAATGCTGCCTTCTATACATCATAAGAATATTAAACAAACTGGTCAATAAATGAGCACAAGTGGTTCCCATGGGAATTCCAACTAACCCGATCTCAGACTTCTACATGTTCTATCTTTATTGAAATCAAAAAGCTTATAGCCAGGGTAGTGGTTTCTTTTATCGCGAAAAATGATTGTTTTCTTTAAAAAATTTAGTGATTTTGAATTTTTTAGAAGTTATTTGGGAGTTTTTGAATCCATATCTGATTTATGCCACTTCTAGAATATGCTGCAACGTACAGTATGACAGATGTTTCTCTCTTAATATTATACTATGTACCGCGGTTAACATTTTTGTAATGAAAAGAATTCAACGCTTTTTACTGCTATTTCAAGTAAAGAATCAATCAATTTCTTGACTTAAACAAATAAATAAATAAATTAGGCCTAATTTATTGATTAATTATCATTTATATATTAATTTATAAGAGGTGCGTACTTATATACGTCCCTAAAAAAAACAAGATGTGTTTGTGAAACACTATGCGCCCGGCAGCAACAAAGTTCGAAAAAAGCTATTTTTAACATTTAGGTCAATGTCACAAGGTCATTGACCTTGGTGTCATTTCAAAGAACTTGATTAGTAGAATATGCATACCAAATATGAAGTCTCTATCTTCCATGGTTCAAAAGTTATGGCGAAAGTTAAATTTTGCAGAAAAAAACTATTTTTAGCATATAGGCCACAGATAAGGCCACAAGGTCATTGACCTTGTTGTCATTTGAAAGAGCTTAATTAGTGGAGTGTGCATATTAAATTTTAAGTCTCTCTCTTTCATGATTCATAAGTTATGGCGAAGGTTAAAGTTTGGGGACAAAAAAAAACCAGACAGACAGACAGGACAAAAACAATAAACGCCTCGGATCTATTGATCTAGGCGCAAAAAAATGAAAATTAAATTAGCAATTCTCTACAACATGTACAAAATCCTCATTGACCATGTTGACTAAATGAGTACAAAAAAATAGACATTCTTCGAACAAAGCAAATGACTTGGAATTGATTCCAGACATAATTACATTTATTATTTTAGTATTTACATGAAAATTCAAAGTAAAATTGATGAAAATGACTAAAAATGAAACTATCCCCTGCTCCTTGAATGAACTAACAACCAATAGACTGTTGTATATCCGACACATCGATGTACAACTTGACAATATTGGTAAGGGGGGGGTGACTGGAAATTCCAGAAGCCCCCCGTTTTTTGGAGAATACCCATACAGAAGGGTAGAAGCCCCAATAAAGTGGTAGAAGCCCCATAAAATTGAATGATTTAGGGTACATAAAACCCTATGGTGATGTTTAAATGACTTATATTGATATCCGTAAACTTTTATAGCCAATCTTACCTCAGAGTCGACAGAAATCGGGCGCTATTACTGGTTTACCGTACACCACGCCCGATCTAAATTCGAAGCGAGCTGCTGTTTATCATCGTACAGATAAAGTTAAAATAATTTATTTTAATTTTAAAATGTTTTTTATGCAAGATATGTAGAAAATATTATGTAATACACATTTTAAAAAAACATTAAGGACGTTAGCCATTAAGATAATATGAATTTGTGTATTTTAATTCATATTATCCCAATGTTACCAGCTCTAGCCACGTGGAGGCCTCCTTTTTTGTAGAGCAATAATTTAAGTTTTTAAGATTTTAGAGAAATTCTGAATTTAGAGTTAAAAACATATCCAAAAGCTTCACAGCAACAATAATAATTTGTATCTGGCAGGTGGGCTTCAGCCCCCTTGTAAGTCCCTGTCTTGTATCTGGCAGGTTGGCTTCAGCTCCCTTATGTGTTCCTGGTATGCGCCCAGGTCATCCCCGCAAGTCCTTGGCATGTCCATGGCATGACACTAACTTACCCGTATTTCTGATATATATAGAGTTGCATTTTTGAATTGTATCACACAGGTTTTTCTCCTCTGAATGGTCTCCATTTGGGTAAGATAGTTTAATCTGACTTAAGACTAGTGCTCCTCAGTGCTGTTACATTTGAACTAAATAGAATAGTGCTTTTGTTCAATTATTACTACAAAATTCCAGTAGGCTTTAAAAATTGTTGCAATAGTTTTGATTTCAATAGTTCCTAAAGAGTTTCTAAGGCTCAAAATAGTTAGATAATGTCTGCAGCTGTCTGTGACTATCCTTGTGGCATTTGCCACGATAACTGTGATGGTTATAAAGATGTAGGTTGTGACAATTGTGAAAGATGGTTTCACCAAAGTTGTGAGGGATTGTCTAAATCTGATTTTATTTATTTGCAAAAATGCACCTTGCCCTACATTTGTTCTAAATGTTGTGTAAATGAATGGGGGTTTTTTGACTATGATGAGTCTCTTAATCGGTTAGAATCTGCCATTCGATCTGGCTGCTTTGAGATGGGGGTTAGGATGGAAACAATCTTTATGCGTGCACAACCGAAACGTTTGCCATCTGCGCAAGCTACAAAATTTGATAAATCTATGAGGGTAGATCATGTGGCCAATCATTTGTTAGGGAAGTCAGATTATGTGCCTGTGTCAGTTAGGGGAAATGGTAATTGTTTATTTAATGCTATTTCCATGGCTATTCAGGGGGATGAAAATCTTGCATCCGAAATCAGGGTTAGGACTTGTCTAGAAATGTTTTACCATAGAGATTATTATATAAGCATTCACAAGAGTGATAAGTTGTCAGATGTAGCTAGAACTTAGCATAGGGTTAGTATCAGGCAGTATTCCTCCCCCGCCAGACGGGTGCTGACCAGTGAATACTGTTTGGTGTTGTGTTAGGTTAAGTTAGGTTAGGAACATAATTTTTTTTAAATGTTGCTAATTGAATTATAAATTCCTTTCTATTAATTTTTTTATAATTATTAATTTATTGTCAATTACTTTCATTTGGCTGTAATATGTTTTTACATGAACAAAAGATTGACTAGGAATAATGATAAAGTCTGTTTTTTTTTAAAGATTTTTATTTTCTTTTTATCTTTCGGTCATCTTTCGGTCCTTTGGTTTTAATATTTTTCTGTTTCAAAATTCAAATCATGGCTCTACAATTAAGGAGGCCTCCACGTGGCTAGAGCTGGGAACATAGGGAAACTATGAATATTATTCAGGTATTACTAATTTAAAAGGTCTTTATTAATTTATCATTATTATTAGTATCAAAATTATCAAAATTCATATTTTCCTTATGTGTGTGCTAACGTCCTTAAAATGAAATTTGTATTTAAAACATATTACAAGTTCATATCACCAGTATGTAAAAAGAAGATCATATAATTACAAAATCATTTATTTTACTATTCAATAATGAAAGTCAAGAACAATTGAACATAGTTAATGATCAGTGTATATACACACGCCCTGCCTGAGGGGGGTTGGTCAGACTAGCTGAGAACATGTGTTTGAACAAAAGGAGTTTATTGTCAACTTGACCAAGTGTCAACAGCTGTGTATGTACACACACACAGGGGTGCCTCTCTATCCCAGTACAAAACAACACAGCTAGCTGATGTGTAAATAATATTCTCACCATATTCTCATAATACCCACTTTACAAGTGTTTGCATATGCAATTATGCACATTTTATTAATTTTTATGAAACTTTTTTATTTCATAAACCTGGATTCTAATAATTTCATTCTAATGGATACATATTGCTTTCTAATATCAATGAATATAATTTTTTCTATTACATGCACACAAAAAATTAATTAAAAAAATACCTCCCCAAATAAAACAGAACCACAAAAAAACAAAACAAAACCAAAAAAATACAGCAAATCTAAGTAACTGGAAAATAATAATGAATGCATGAATACTGAATTTCAAATTTAAATAAACATAGAAAGAAAAAAATAAATAAATACCTTAGAAATTAAATAAATTAACTACTTGATTAATTACTTAAGTTATATATTATAAAGGATTGGAATTTAAACTAAGGAAATTTATTAATTGATTAATTGACTAGTTAAATTAATTTAAAAAAACACAAAACAACAATCAATTAGTATTTTCACTGTAATGTATATCAACAGGTTATATCTCAATGTTTTTATGACTATTTTACAGTACACTTCAGCTATACAAATATTTTCATATTTTCCATGATGATTTTTGATATAAAATTCTTTTTAGTAGGTACAAACCAGTGTGGATAAAAGTATTCAAGTAGACAATGAAATATGTTCATAATTTATATTTTATTTCATCTAGGAAATATGTAAATATTTAATGCTTCCTTTATATTCTTAACTTTCCTTTCATATATTTTTTTTTTTTTTGAAAATAAAAATCATATATTATATTATTCACTTTTGATCAAGATTACGCTAATGATTTACTCGAAACGACTTCAGCGATCGCGATTTTAGATCGGGCGTGGTGTACAGTATATGAAGAAAAGAAGAAATGCCGCCCGATTTCTATCGACTCTGAGGTAAGATTGGCTATAAAAGTTTACGGATATCAATATCATTCATTTAAACATCACCTTAGGGTTTTATGTACCCTAAATCAATCAATTTTATGGGGCTTCTACCACTTTATTGGGGCTTCTACCCTTCTGTATGGGTATTCTCCAAAAAACGGGGGGCTTCTGGAATTTCCAGTTACCGGTAAGGGGGAGATAAATCGGGAATCCACCCGGCCTCTGAATCTGAAAGTAATATTCGCATCCCTGGTTCTCTGTATGATTAATTCATCATGTGGTTCATGTACCTATTGAGCTGGGTCGCATTAGTTATACAAATATGTGTAATAACTTTATCCGTGGGTATGTAGGCCAGATTTTGATTCACGATAAATTCTTTATACGTTCGAATTTCCTCGAAGAAAAAATACATAAGTAACGTTAACTGATTTTGTTATAGCCTAACTATAAAAGAAATTGCTTTTCTTGAATCTGTTTTTAAAATCATTGATATTTTAATTTCTTTATCTATCTCCATTAAATTGATTGAATTAATTAATTAAACTTGAAATTTTGCAGCGGCTGGTTTGTTTTATCTGGCAGAAATTGTAGAAGAATACACTGTACTCACAGCAAAGATAATAAAATATATGTTGATAGTAAGTGATTATTGTGAATGCTTATATGATGAGATTTATAAACTTAGAACATGTGGGCATATTATTTACAGGCACCGTTTCAGTTTAGGTAGATAGAATGTTCTATCGTTAAAATGATAAATGTCCTACGGACCCGGACACAGTTAGATTATTCTAACTACAGTTTAGGATAAACTATAGAGTCTTCCGTTGTGCAGAATGGTCATTGCAGGATTAAAACTTTGATGGGTTACATGAACATGATTAAGCTGAGACTTAAAGAAGATTTGATTTTAGTTCATTTGGCTAGTTAATTAAATTTTTGATGAAATATTTATATATCATGCAACTTATATAAATTCAACTTAAGGGTTATTCTAATTTATTTAAAATATTTTACTTTTACAAAAAACTTTAAGATATTAAAGTCAGTAAATAGGTCCTTGCCGAGGAATATTATGCATATCCTTTACAGTTGTGATCATGGTGATATGAAACCATTTTAGAAATTAAATTAGAGGGCAAATTTGAAGCAACACTTCGTTTATCAGACACACCTTTTTAATCTGTTGCAGGGCACGACTGTGATATTTCTTGGCCTTCTCTTGTTTGAGGATCTACCCCTGTACATGACTGTGTTAGGTTTAGTGGGTAACATTGCCTACTTCTTTGTTCTACAAACTTTCCCATACTTTGAACTCATGTCTCCATCATTTCTGTTCTCCATAGGTGAGTAACTGAAACAAGTAAATGTCTTTCTTCATGTACATACTAGTAAACTGTTGGAAATTACAGATAAAATACATTTGCAGTAAAACCATTTAATGCAAATTTTCTTTGGACTGAGTGACTGACACAACTGTGTATTTATCTAATTAAAAAAAAGGATACTAGAATATTTATATTTATTCTGTGAGACTTATTCATATGTAAGCATGATAGATTTGTCAAAATTGCATACACTAACATTGCATTTCTGGAAGAATCAAGAAGGTTCACCATTATCATTTTTTTTACCATTCATAGTTTTTATTTTTGGGGGGAGTGAGCTAGTAGTAAAGAATTTTACTGTACATCTATTGACTGGTCAAAACTTTCGGTTTTATAAGATAAACTTCAAGCAAGATATCTATGTGATCTGTTGCATGTATTAATGATTTTCTTTTTCAGCCTTGGTGGTCGTCAATCATTATTTTGCATTTTCATACTTCTCCACAGTGTGGCATCCATTCTCAGATGTAAGTACACATGTACTAAAAAACAAGGGGTTTTCAAACAGTTCGTGAACTGATGTGATCACCTGAGTTGTAGATCCTCACATGAGACCTTAGATTTGAGAGATTGTCACTTGGTTTTAATAAGCAAATTTAAATTTGATGCTTTATTTTTATGAATATATGAATTTTTTTATAACCCTCATGTCATTTTTTTCTCAATTCAATTCACTTTATTTTTAGATATATTCTAAAATGGACTGTCTTTGATGTGTTTTGAGTAGCTTATCACAAAAAACTTCTTAATGTTAATTAAAAACAAGCAGTGAGCTGCTATTTAATTCTGTCATATGTTAATTTTTGTCTTTTGGTTTATAGTATTAATATGAACTTTGAACCCTTCCAGGTTCTGGCGTACTTTACTATTTGCCTGTGGCTTGTTCCATTTGCCTTCTTTATTTCCCTCTCAGCCAATGAGAATGTGTTACCAATGACGACAGGGACGAGAGTGAGTACGTCAGAAGAGAGCGACGTTGTCAGTAATTACTTCAAGAGGAAGGGGAAAAAATATGGACTTCTGTCATTCTTTAAATACGCACAGGAAGGAATTCTACCACAGCGGACTAGGAAGCAATATTAAATGTGACACATCCACGACGGAATGTTCAGAACCTTTTTTGTGTTATATCAGACAACAGTTGTGTTTAACACAATGAATGGAAAAGCTTAAGCTTGCTTTGGGAGCATGCATCTACAACACATGCAAAAGATCAATTTGTGATCAAAAATAGCTGTTTGATACACCGTACACTAACATCTAAAATTTCCCATGTAATCTGAGGTCAATATTGCCCAACCGCTCTAGACTTACATTGTATTCACGTCAACAATATTCGATGATTATGCAGGTGACAGTTTGATTGGTTGATAGAATTTGACCTAAGGAACTCAATGGGATGTTGTTAGATGTTAGTGTAGTGTATAATTTATACATCTAATTTTAATTAGATTGGCAAAAGATGTACAAGCATTTTTAAAGCTGAACACTTCTCATAAATAGACACTGTCAGACGTGTATATAAACCGTTCTATTTCGTTACAGCTGATTGCACACTTGGAACTCGTGACCAACATGTAGTACTCCTATCGTGGTGTTAGATTTTTTGCGTTTATTTCTTGTTTTTATGTGCATTTTCTGTTTGTAAATAATGTATTGACCTACATATTTCATGATACTTTTGTCCTGTTTCGGAAAAAATGCGTAAAATTTGATAATTTCATAGATATTGAGTAGCACGCTTTGTAAGATATACGTCTACACTCGTCGGATCTCTATAGTGAAATACATTGTTCTGACTAGCGATCTGCTCCTTATATAAAGTTTTAGGGAGAGCGTTCAAGAACGGGAAATATGGCAAACTATGCCTATTTATGAGTGTGTTCAGCTTTAAGTGATCAAAAATATATTTGTTTGATACACCATGTGCAATTAGAAAATGCTTATGTAATCTGAGTATTATGTATTCTTAAATATTGCCCGAGAAACTTTTAGTCCCTTGCAATACATCAAGTTGTTACATACCGGTAAGTTGTAAAATCATATCAACAATGTTGCTGGGAAATTCCAAAGCAATTAGTGATATTCTAATTTGACAAGTTTAGTGTTTATTTTATACTATTTACACATCCTTGTTTGTTTATTTCCCCCCAAAACAAATACAATTTAGCTTATTTATCGTTGAAAGGGAGCATGTATTACAGTTTTGTAAAATATTCAACAATACAATCTTTTACTTCAAAATATCTCTGAAATAATGTGATTTTATAATTATGTTTGGGAGTTGAAATTCTCCCTTACACAACATCAACAAATATTATAAGTGATGTCTTGTTATAATGATATATGAGCGGCTTGTCTAATAGAAGACATGAGCAAGGTGCCATTTGGAATTGAGTAAGTAGTTGTAGTTTTCTTGGCTGGATGCATGTTAGTGTTTGCTTCAGTAAATTATGTTGTGCATGATTGCGTTTTGCATTTTTTATCAATAAATCCATGAATGGAATAAAATTATGAAATATTGTTTCTTTATGATCTTTTTAGAGAAATTAATAGTAAGTATTGCTCTGTTTATATCCATATGAATTTAAACTAGATGAACCTGCACCTAAACCCACATAAAAACCTACTTAACACCTGTTTAAATGAGATCACAAAATACTCTTAATTCCTCCTGGTCACAAATCTGACTGGAATAGTAAACATTGAATTGCTTGTATGTGTTTAAGGTTATTAATCAGAAGAATATAACTTATCAGTGAAATTTGTACTGATCCTTGTTATGTAGCTTCACATTGATCTTGAGGGATTCAACTTTCATGATTGAGTTATTCCCCTTAGATTGAGAAAAGATATCCCTTTTGTTTATTATTTTTTCTAATGAACGTGTTCATTGTTGCTCTACCACAATATTTACTCCAATAAAGAATACGCTGTTTAAGGCCAAATAAAATTATATCAATAGTCTTTCTATTTAAAATTCAAAGTTGAAAAAGAAAATAGAGTTATTCCCCTTTTCATAAATGCTAAGATAGACGTAGAAAAACAATACATTTCTTCTAAATTTTCAGTATTTTATTAATTAACTTTTAAATAAATGTTTGGAGTAACATTATTTAAAGTTGAATACATGTTACAACCAATTTCAGAGAACAAAAATTAAGAATTGGTAGATATTATCATTTTATTGAACAAATGGCTTTAAAAAGTATTAAACCTGCTTCAAAAAAAAAAAGCCTGCCTGCCGCATTGAATTCTGATTTTTTTTTTGCCTGAGGAACTATTGATTAAGTTTTTTTGGCCTAAAACTTTCCCTAATGAATGTGTTCATTTTTGCTTGATCACAATATTTACTCCAGTAAAGGCTGGTATTATCAGCCAATACCAGAAAACATGAGCATTCTAATTTTGTCTTGTTTCTACCCTATTTCACATACAGAATGTACATGCAATTTCAAATATTCTACAGTTGTTTATCTGAATACAGATAGTGAGAGCCTTTTTATGTTCATATCACACTGACACATTTGGTTTCTACAATCTTGAATTCCCCCATATCAAGTGCCAAACAGAGAGCTTAGTTGGTAGCACACCTGTCTCAATTTCACTAGACTTAACATGGTGTCTAATCATATGTTGATATTAAAAATAAAATTAATAAATAAGACTTTAACACGACCATGACTTTAGAGTAACAATACTGATGCAGAATGACACAAGTACATGTAGGGAAAACACGATTAAAAAGAGTCTTTTCATAATTTAATATCACATAATTATATTTACATGTATACATGCAGTTCCTACACAGAATATGAAATAAAATAACTATGAACAAAAACAAACATGACATGATTCTTGAAGTTAAAATGTTGAAGCACAATATCCTAACAAATGTCAAAGCTGGATCGAATGCCATCAATTTAGGTTTCAAAAAAAAATTAGTCAAAATTCTGATCGTTGAATTTTGTCTCTAGCTCCTATACTTTTCACGATTGGCTACAAAATCATAACCAATCAGATTTTGGAAGTTTGTTATTGGCATCCATTTTATTTCTATGATGACTTGACGAGAGATCGGTGAGCGAGAGAGATGAATGCACTTGATTGTTACTCTGGGAGCAATGAGAAGTTGATCCCCCCGCTGGGGGTGGGCCTGATTGGGGTGGTGACCCCCCACACTGGCCCCCTGTCACAGTCTAACTTTCACTCCACACATTCACACACACAGTCAGTTTGTTCCATCAGTTCTTTTCTTCCTTCTTTTCTTGGTCGTCTGTGGATTCTAAAGAACTACTGTCGGAAGACGACGAACTGCCCTCTCTATCAGCGGACATCTGTAGGACAAACACATTTCATGACATTATTTCAAAATATAAAGATTTTGCAGGACATTTTAAAATAACTTGCGAACCCTTTCTATCCCAATGCAAAACGTTTTTGGACATTAAGAAAATTATATTGATAAGAAGGTGTAAATATTGAACTTAAAATTTATATTTTCAATATATGGTACGTGGCATTTACCCCCAGCATAAATGTTCAATAACTCTAATTTCAGAAAGATGCTGTAAACAAACTATTATTCGTGTCATCTATTATTCATGATTCTTCACTTTTGAATCAATATGCCATAAGGCTTAAAAAAAAAAAAAGTTTGTTTCCTGTAACATTCCCAAAAAATCAAGGGTCGGATTAGGTTACCAAATTCTTTTTTTTTTTTTTTTTTTTTTTTGCTTATGAATGGTCAAACATCCCCGAGAAAATACCAGGTGTTATATTTGCAGTGGACACCCAATATGGCATCCAAAATGGTTGCCAAGCGGCAGAAAACAAACTTCAGAAAGTTGTAGGGGGAAACTGTTGTTACAATAATGATTACTCTTTATATTTAAGGTAAATGTACACAAGTCGACATATTTTATGTCTCAAATTAAGCTACAAGCTATTTAAATGGAATCAGCTGATTGATCAAACGAAGTTTTCCATTTGTCAGAAAAAAAAAAAACCCGAGGATAATTTGAATGGGTCGGTCGGGTTACAGGAAACAAACATATTTTTTTTTAGGCCTAATTAATTTTAATGACCGAGGAACCATCCTCTTCTTATACAAAGCAAAATAAATGCTTTGTGATGATTAGTATTCACGAATGAAAGTAGGTGGTGAAACTCACCTATATTTCTCGCTCACGATTAAAAGTTGATTTACAGTACAGTGAACTCTGAAGTGTGCAAGATAGAGAAGGTTCTTCAGTTTTGCAATTACTATGAACATATTACCCACCTTTTTGTAGGCCATCTCGAAAAGTTTGAGTGAGGCCTGCTGCATGCTAGATGTGGCTTGTTTTAATTCCTCAATTTCTACTTGGTCTTTCTTAGCGATTAACTCCTTCACTCCGGTAATCTGTTCCTTTAGCTTATTGGCCTGTTTAAAAAAGAGCGGGAAATTCAAACTTCCTCGGACATCAAAAATGCATAAAAAAATATTGTGATTCAACAGCATACAAGGTTAAAAGTGTTTGTGGATTTAACTTTTGAGAGCTGTTTACAGTCAGCCTTGAGATACAGGTAAGAATTATCGCCAACTTCAAATTGATGTATGAAATGTTGATGATTTGAGAAATGACTTTATGCAAGCCTTGCATTATATAATAATGTACATGACTTGATGTGAGTTTTATTTCCACTTACATCTTCCTCGGGGAGCTGACTCTTGAATTCCTCTAACTTGGCCTCTGTGTCGTGTATGATGGCGTCTGCCTGATTCACCGCCTCAACTCTCTCCTGTTGACAAAATCAACGACAAAATGTTAATACTGTACTCTCACACCCAACAACTATCACTTACATGCCTATGAAAATAAAATTCAGCTTATGGTGTTTAAGATTCCTTCCTTCACAGCTATACTAAAGAGTATTTTTGTGAACTGAAATTTCGAAATCTGTTTACAAATGCAGTCAGTGTTGAGATAAAGGTAAGAATAACTTTTATTGTGAACAAAGAATCCCTGTAGTTGGTGCGTGAAACACTCACCTTTCTGACGTGATCCTCAGCCGCGTATTTCTCTGCGTTCTTCACCATGTTCTCTATCTCCTCCTTACTTAATCCGCCTGAACTCTGGATCACAACTGCAAATACAAAGTACCAAATATATTGTCCAGTTTCAAAGTGCCCTGAAGTATGATTACTAGAGATTGGGTATATAAAAATTTTACAATATTTTTCATCATAGATAAGTAACAAATTTTAATGTCATAGGTTTATACCTACAAACTTGTGTTAGAGGCATATCTAAATCAATCAATGCTATAACTTACTCTGCTGTTCTTTTCCTGTTCCCTTGTCCCTGGCCGATACGTTTACGATGCCGTTAGCATCAATGTCAAAGGTCACTTCCACCTGAGGCACACCTCGCGGCGCTGGGGGAATTCCAACCTGAAGTTAAAAATAGACAAATCATAATCCTCTACATTTCACGGTCAAGACTCTATTCAATTGGCACTTTACTCAAGTACACAACATCCACATTATTAAAGGATCACATCCAGGTTAAATCAAGAAAATAAATCTAGAAACATGATTTCAAATAGAATTTTTGAGACTGTGACCATTATCTACCTACCAACATGAACTGTCCTAGAAGTTTGTTGTCAGCGGCCATTTCTCTTTCTCCCTGACAGACCTTGATCTCCACACTAGTCTGACCATCAGCTGCTGTGGAGAACACCTGAAAGTAGCAAACATTACGCATCTCTCAAACTACATGTATGATTGAAATAAGAATCTACCAATGAATATATCTCCCAATGTTCCACAGTCTATCAGGTGGAATACTGTATAATTTTTTTAGTTGAAATTCCTGCTCTGAAAACAAGTAAATTTTACATTCTAATGTTTTACAGATATTTTTTTCTATACCTGTGATTTCTTTGTTGGAATAGTAGTGTTTCTGTCAATCAGTTTAGTGAACACGCCTCCCAGGGTCTCGATACCCAATGAGAGTGGAGTTACGTCCAGCAACAGAACATCTGTAACATCCCCGGCTAACACGCCTCCCTGTAAAATTAAACACCACAAGATCAGAACCATCACAATTTTCATACCAGGAATTAGTTTTGAATTCCTGAATGCAGTTCACATCGAAGATTTGAGCTCCTTCATACCTGAATGGCTGCTCCCATGGCAACAGCCTCATCAGGGTTCACGGACTTTCCTGGCGTTCTGCCAAATACCTCCTGTACCAAGGATTGTACCTGAGGAAGGAAAAATTTGAAACAATTGAAAAGAAATTAAATGAAATTATCACTAAAGGTACTGAATATTGATTAAATAAATCAATTTTTGGTAAATGTTAAACTCGTCTTTTCCTTATGTATGGAAGATATTTACCCTGGGCATTCGAGTCATTCCTCCGACCAGGATGACATCACCAATATCCGATTTCTTGACTTCTGCGTCACTCAACGCTTTTTGACAAGGTCCCACGGTCCTCTTGACTAGACTCTCGACGATGCCCTCGAACTTGGCTCGGGTCAGCTTCATGTTCATGTGTTTAGGTCCGCTGGCATCCATCGTCAGGTAGGGCAGGTTTATGTCAGTCTACAAAGGGAAATACTAACTTACTCATGGAAAAAAAAAATGGATTTCAGGAATATTATTAAGTTATTTTTAGTGTTCAGATTAAAACTTGTCCCTTTTCTCATAAACAGAAAGGGCTGTTTATAGTTTTTATCTTATTTTCTGTCCCAAAGATTTGGCCCCAGAAGCTAGGGAGGAGCAGCTGGGAATTTGACTGACTTTGGATTAAAACTTTAGATACATTATGTAGGGAGAGTTAACCTGGTTCTAGCTATCTTACCTGCATACTGGAGGAGAGTTCTATCTTGGCTTTCTCGGCTGCCTCTCTTAATCTCTGCATGGCCATGTTGTCCTTGGTTACATCAATACCTTGCTACAAGAATCAATAAAACGCAACATATTAATTAATAATTTTCTTCTGTTCAACTTAGACCCACTTAAATCATTTGTGTGATAAAGGCAACTTATTTTACAGAATTACATTCTAATTTTTTTTTTAATTTGAGCATAAAATACCATGCATGAGAACTTACTTTGAGATAAAATTTACTATGCATGAGAACTTACTTTGAGATAAAATTTACTTACATCTCGTTTAAATTCGCTGGCTAAGAAAGTGACCAAGGCATTGTCGAAATCTTCTCCTCCAAGGAAAGTATCTCCATTGGTGGATTTCACTTCAAACACTCCCCTCTGCATTTCCAGAATAGAGATATCAAAAGTTCCACCTCCTAAGTCATACACCGCAATACTGAAACATAGGAAAAGATTTTATATGAGGCCCTGAATAGTATTCATATATAAAATAAAACAATTTATGATGAGAAAAGTATCAAAAAGTTTCATTATCATTAATAACATCTTTTATGAGAAACTAAATAGTATATATTAGACAGTAGTACTTATTATGTCAAGCTCATTAAAAATTTAAAATATGTTATGTAAATATTTAATTCCCATATTGATTCATACTTCTCGTTTATCTTAAATTATCGACATTGACCCTTGTAGAATGTCACTCACATTTTATCGTCGCTTTTGTCCATGCCGTATGCCAGGGCAGCGGCGGTTGGTTCATTGATAACTCGCAGCACGTTCAGTCCCGCAATCTGTCCAGCATCCTTAGTGGCCTGAAATTAAAACAAGAAAGAAAATCCTTCAAAATCTGGCCTTGTGTATTCCTTAGCATGAATGTTTGTTTTATGACCAATTTTGCGAAACAATTCGATTCAAACTGATAGTATTAACTATACCTGTCTCTGGGAGTCATTGAAATAGGCGGGGACGGTGATGACAGCGTTCTTCACCTTCTGACCCAGGTAATTATCTACAATAAAGGTAATCACAGTTATTATATAAATATCAAGGTGATATCATATAAAAGGTACACAATGCAGGCTGTCTATAGACTGCCGACTAATCATGACTTTTGACATCTGTGATATGACAGAATAAAGGTGATATTATACAGATATAGAAGTATCAGTGATATGACATTGGAAACCACAGGTGAGATCTCAGTCTCCATGGTGATGTTTTTACATCAGTTTCACATCAAGAGTAGCAAATGGTCATCACAGAACTCACTCTAACCACTTATTTATACTGGTACATTACTATGTACTACTATTTTTTACTATATTTAAATTCTATTAACAATTTTAATGGTATTGATATCAATATTGAATACAAGTTGATTAAGGTAGGACTAAACACAACAAGCAGCATGTATATGACCTAGTTTCAATATTGACATATGTGTGGGAAAATGTCGTTAATTAAATACCAATTACATTGGTAAAGTTAATCCAATACAATTAAACAGATTATAAAATGGGTTATTTTTAACTCTTTTCCCCCTAATGCATTACATCCTTTACCCCCTTTGCCACCATTTGACGCTATGCCCCATTTCCCTGATGCCACCATTTGACGCATACACACAACAACCCTAAATTAGCTCTGTGATTTCCCCTGTTTCTAAATAAATTCAGCTCTAAATGATAGCCAATCATGTGTATTACACATTAGGTAATGTTACTATAATAAGTGAAGTCACAGCTTGGTGTGAATTCACTTGAGATTTACCTGTGTGAAAACAATGGCACCCAGTCTGTTTAAAGGAAGAAATTGGGCCTTGTCACAAGCAAAATTCAGCCCTAATATTGCATTTTATGTAACATACCTTGGATTGTATTGGCATTCACAATGTTTTTACATCAGTTCTAAAGTTGAATTTAATAGAAATAAAATTTTACAATGAAAATTAGAGGAAGAACATCATAGACTTTTTAACAAGAACAACAATGGCGGCCACAGATTTCCCATGCGTTTTATGTGTACTAAATAATCTACTTTCAGCATTTTTTTCATCAGGGCATTGATTTAGATAAAAACATGTATTAATTTATTTTCCCCAAGTTTTGCAAGAAATGGTTTATATAAATTATTTATAAACATGCCTGCTTGAACATGATTGTGAAGTCTAGTTGGCTCAAGTCTAAGACAATTACCTATCATTATTAATCTATCTTAATTAATATTAATTAAACAAAAAATAATGAGCCTTTTAATTGGTTTGGTATTATATTTTAAGTTTACTGGTATATTTTATAGAAACTTTCTCTCATATAAAGGATAATATGAAGATTACTTGTGAAAAATTCATTTTACCTGGTTTCACCTATATATTGTTAATTGTAATTAATTATTCTAAAAAATTATATGACAATACTAAAGTTCAAACCATTCCCTAAACATTGATATATAATATGTGTACACTTTGATGATGTTTAGGTACTTAATTAGCACGTTCTAAATGTAATGGTCAGTTATTTCAAGTCAGTCAAAATGGCTTCAGGGGGCAGCCAGATAAACACTATAGGGAAATCGCAAGTGCGTCAAATGGTGGCAACAGGGGGAAAAGAGTTAAATCATCACTACTATGTACTTTAAATGTTTTTCTCAAGTTTTGTCAGGGCTAGTGGTTAAAGGGTCATGATTAGTAAAAATTTGCCAGGGTAGCCAGACTGGTCTAGTATTCAAAAGCTTAATGTCAAACTTTTTATGATATACTTTAGTAGCACTGAGGTTTATAAAACATACACCCTACTCAATAGGTGTCTCTATAAAATGAGAGAATTTGGTAATCAATAATGGAAAATTTTCAAATTTGCACAAGACTCTTTATTTTGTTCACTGTTCAGGAGTTTCAGAGTTAATTGGTGATAAGTATTCATCATCCACGCTGTCAAGAGTAGCAAATAAAAGTCATCATCAACTCCTGTGATCAGTGAAAACCAGGGTATTACACATAAGCTTGCTCCCATGGCTTGTAATAATTATTTGTTAAAGTCATAGAAAATACTAAAACAACACAGACCCCTTCCATGCTTCAACCTCTGTTTTCATTACATTTTCCACTATTTTACCAACTAACCACCTAAGGCCTTTTTAGCAATGATTCTCCTAAGATAAATTGCTTAAATTATCTTCTTGGAGCCTCATAATTACATAACTAAGGCCAATAATTATCCAAATACACTCTTTAGGACATTTGTCAAAACTTATTTGGACACAAGAAAAAACAACAGCAGGGTTGTTCCCAAGAATTGAAATAACAAGGGACATTTAAAGAAAGTAGATGGAGAGTTATTATAATAGTTCTTCCCCTTTTAGGGAGGAAAGGGGATACCAAGATAATCAAGGGATTATAACAAGACGTAAGTCTTACGGACAACCCTGAATAGACAAGAAATGCCACCCCATAATATGCCTGTCGAAAGAGGTAACTTCCAACTATCAAAAACATTAGCCAGCAATGAAAGAACAGACATAAACCACATTCAAAAGATTCGTGCTGAAATCTAGGCAAGCAACAAGTGACAATATCCACATTTACAAAACACATTATTTTGTTCACTGTTCAGGAGTTTCAGAGTTAATTGGTGATAAGTATTCATCATCCAGGCTGTCAAGAGTAGCAAATAATAGTCATCATCAACTCCTGTGTTCAGCGAAAATTAGCTCATTCAAAGACCGAGAGGCATAAAACCTTGTCGTAATTTACCTCCCTACAATGGACAGAGCTAGGTTTACCATCGGTTACCATCAAAGTACTAGCTACCCATAGAAGAAAAGTTACAATTTACTCTCTGGATAAACCTTCTAGCATAAAACATTAGTCAGTCACCACCGTAACTTACCCGCAGTTTCCTTCATTTTCATCAGAACGAAGGCTCCAATCTGACTCGGAGAGTACATCTTCCCATGAGCCTCTACCCAGGCATCACCGTTAGTTGCCTTCACAATCTTAAAGGACGCTGTCTTCCTAAAACATAGAAATTATCATTCACAAACACATTGTCTTGTCATTTTATATCTCACCATATACAAGCGATGAAGAGAATCGGGGCTTCATAATTAAAGAAAATTGTGCAATAAATATTAAAATAATTAAAATACAAGGCTTACATGTCTTTCTGGACCTCTGGGTCTTCGAATCGTCGCCCGATTAGTCGTTTGGTGGCGGAGAATGTGTTATCAGCATTAGTGACGGCCTGACGTTTGGCAGGCATCCCTACGAGTCGCTCTCCATCTTTAGTGAAGGCCACGACAGATGGAGTGGTCCTGGATCCCTCAGAATTCTCCAAAACTTTGGGGGTCTTTCCTTCCATGACGGCTACACAGGAGTTTGTTGTTCCCAGATCTATTCCTATGACCTGACCCTTCACCTTTCCAGAACTATTAGCAAAATGAAATTATATGATTTTAGTTTCATTGGATCAATTATCGTTAACAACAGATTAATTACATTTGGAGACATTTACTTTTTCTGTCACTGAGTAGCACAGATGTGTACTTTGTCTCTATATAATTGACATATTGAATATTTTTTACCATCTTCGACTCAATTTTTCTTTTGGTTTAACATGTTAAAAGTGTGTACTCACTTGTTCCTTTTTTGCAGTGCCTGATTTCCATTTAGGGCAAGCAATGGTATCTACAAGATCAAATCAATATAAATATATTTTCATAAGGACACTGAGCGAATTGAAATTTAGAGATGATCAACATGAAAGAAATTTAATAACCAAAAAAGTTCCTAATCATGTTAATTGTTCCCATTTTTACAAAAAACTGGAATGAGATAGGTTTAAGCGTAAGAGAGCCTTCTTCTCAAAGGTAAATCTCAAAGATGAGTTTATATCTAAACTTCTGCTCTTATGTAAGGTATAGTTAGGTTGCATAATTCTCAGAGAAACTTAGAACAATATCAAGCTTTTGCAACATGATGCAATAAGACATAAAAACACAAGATCAGTATTTTGACAGCTTAAAATACAGGGATCAATAGTTCTTTTTGATTGTAAAAGGAAAAGTAACTGTGAATGATGTTCACAGTGGCAATTAACAATATGAAAGTAGGGCTAATTAGATCCTGTGAAACATCATTTGAAACAAACAACCTTAAATATATCAATGATATTTCAAATTATCGTAAAGAATTTTTAATTTATCACATATATAAGTTTCATATAAGGCTAAAATTTACGAAACAAAATATCAAGGTTTAACACAAATCTTGTGCCGACCATGTGAAGTCCCAATTACGCAACTTAATAAACGCCAAGGTTACCTGGTTTTTGAATGTCTTTGTATGCAGATGTCGCATTTTCTGCATTTTACATCCCTGCTCCAAACATCTGAAAGTAATTCTTGGTGATAGCAACATGATTGCTTCTTTCTTTGCCTTCAACTTCTCTTTGCCCTTGCCAGCACGTGTGTGATGTAAGTTTGACAACGCTGTGTCTCAAATACGCATGCGCTGAAGTTCCAGTAAAGTTTAAAGTTTTACGGATAAAAACGGTCATTTGATAGCTCTCAAATCGTGCAATATAATGTATAAATGGTCAGAATAAAGATATATTTTCTTGTGCAGTTGTTTACTATATATTTAAAAACAACGTAAATAATAAAATCTAGTAAATTCTGGCAAAATCTTTTTCATGATGTAATGCATTAGAACGTTCTAGGCATTCAAAATCAAAGTACTGAAAGTACTGCATCTATGTGTACAACTCGAGGCTTTCTGGCGTTCGATTCATTGCAGCCCGGAGGACCGGGCTGCTATGTACATTTAAGTTAAGTGTTCGTATTTGGTGATGGAGGTGGGAGAAGTTATTCAGAATTAAAGGTTTTCTAAACATTGAAAAGAATGTTATTCAGAATATTCTTTCCCTTTACAAATTAAGAGATAAGCAATATTTACTTTCATAAAGTGAATCTGTAAAAAAATGTATGTTTTTAATATTTGAAATATAAAAATTGCTCATCATTTACTATCGAAAAACGACAGGTCTTTTTTTTTTTTTTAGAACATCGAATTTTACTTATCGCACAAAAACGTACGTAACACGGTTCGTGTTTTACATTCTTAAAGTGGAATGCATTTTTGAAAATAGGTGATGCATTCGTCTGGTTTTTATTTATATTTTATGCAGCCAAAATATACTTGAGGAATTGTTAAAAAAGGTATCGTTTTTGTTAGATTTTCATCCGACTATAAGTTTTCTACAGGTCCCCCTTTTTTTAGAACACCGAATTTTATTTATCGCATAAAAAGGTACTTTACACAGTTCGTGTTTTATATTCTTAACATGAAATATATTTTTGAAACAGGTGGTACTGATATGTGTTTAAATTAAATGCAACCAACAGTAACTTGAGAAATTGATAAAGTTTAAAAGGGTATCGTTTTTGTTCGATTTTCATTCGACCATAAGTTTTCAAAATATTCTCGACTATTGCATCCATCATTTAGTTTCATTTCCATTGTTTTCTTTGATCATTTCCCTGGTGACAATTGATGGTCACTTCAATGTTTTCTTGTTCCATAAAAGATTTAACACAGCCACTCTACAATAATGTAATTAACAATTTTTGTTTGACTGCGGAACCTTATTATAATGACGTAACTCACGATGTTGGTGTCATTTCACAATTTTAGTCATCGGCTCGGCGATTTAAAAAAAAATACTCGCGATGTGGGAGATTTGGATAAGAATGGACAGGTTATTAATAGAACTTCCCGATTCCGGTCAGAAAATAAAGTTTAACTAGATTTCACGGGGAAAATAGATTTTTACAACGCAAATAAAAGGTATGTAACACAACTGAAGATAATACAGCTAGCGTTTATGTCCAACTCTGCTTCAACCTTAGGCCAGTCACAAAATAATGTGGATTCTGCGTTATCCGCAATACATGCGTAGGATTAGAGACTCTTATAGATCAATGAGAACAACACTTTGCTTTTGTAGAACGAATTGTATTATGGAAATTTACATCAACATGACATCGTGTTAAAACAAAGAAGGATATGGAGATAACTAACAGTATTCAATCTCAAAGTCCATAAAAAAATACAAAATAAGAGCAGAGCAAACACGGACCCCCGAAACAACAGAAGTGGGATCAGGTGCCATGGAGGAGTGAGCATCCCTTGCCGACCGGTCACACCCGCCGTGTGTTCCTTGTCATGATCAGGAAATAACGGAAAAAATCCGTCGTCAATTCAGTGTATAAATAATGGACTAGCAATTGGAAAAAAAAACCTCAGTCAGCATTTGACTCAATGATAAATTGTATTTGCTGACAAGGTCATTGTATCGACCATAGAACTTACGAAACGAGACTGCTGATATTCTTGTTTCATCAACTTGCTTGTCAATAATTTACCTCGTTTCAGAAATTGTTCATACGTAGAGCATGCTCTTGCGTATCGAATCAACTGAGATATACAACTTCCGTATGCAGGTGGTGAAGGTATATTGCTGCATAGGTCAGGGAAATTGACGATAGAAACGTTAAAGTCATCACGTTTATCATATAGTTTGGTTGTTAGATTACCATTCGCGTCTTTTTCAAGTAAAATATCCAAGTATGAAACAGAAGTGTCAGACTCTGTGGTATCTTTTATCTTAAGCTCACCAGGATACAAGTATATCATATCGACATAGGAATGGAAATTACCATTGTTGGTTGACAATACGTCGTCAATATATCTCAATGTCGAGTTGAAGACAACAGGAAGTGTTTTCTTCTTTTCACGCATAAGATTTTGTATAAATTCTGCTTCATATGAATATAAAAATAAGTCTGCTAATAACGGAGCGCAATTTGTACCCATATGAATTCCAATAGATTGTTGGAATACCTGGTCTCCAAAAACCACATAGATATTGTCAATCAGAGACTCAAGCATCTTCTTGATGTCAACTTCAGAGTACTTATGTGTGCAATCAGAGTCTGTTTAAACAAAATAATTTTGCAAATGACCAATGAAGAAGTAAGTAAATTTACGAGTTCCATTTTTATTGAAGAAGCAGCTGTCAATGATATCAGAAAGCTTGGATTTTAATTTGTCGTGGGGAATTGTTGTGTATAAAGTTGAAAAGTCGTAAGTTTTTAAGCTGTTGATTTTTGTAAAGTCTTGTGATTTCAAATTGTCGAAGAGTTCTTTAGAATTTTTAAGCATCCACATCTGATTCACACCACTTCATAAATATATAGTTGAACAGTACTCTTGAAGTTTTCCTTCACTACTGTCAATATCTTAGTGAAGAGTAATTAAAGAGGCTTGGTTGAACATTTACTGGAACCTGCAATGTATCTTTGTTTGTAAGGATTCTTATGGAGTTTGGGAATCCAATATATATAAGGTAGTTCAAATTCATTTTGGCTCTGTGGAATATTAAAAGTATTCAAAACTGACACTTGATTTTGAAGAATTGCTTTCTTAGAAAGGGAAGTATGAAAATAAGTAGAATTACCATTTGTAGAATTAAATCCAAGTTCTTCTAGAATGCAATTAACGAAATGAACCTTACAGACGAAGACAATGTTGTTACCTGCTTTGTCGACAGGAACCAGTACATACTGATCATGTAATCTATCTAATTCTTTTTTCACTTCTGGTTTATTGAACACAGAAGGATAGATGGTTTTCATTTTGCCCCTCAATCTCCTAATACGCGACTTCAACATAGATCTAATACATTTTATCCATTCTGACAAGGTGTCAACGTCTTCTTTTTCATATCTGGCCCATCGATTCAACAGAATACATAATTTTTATGAAATTCCGACGCCAGTTGAAGGATCGGGGTTCCCTATATTTAGGACCTTTTAAAATAAGTGATCTAAGGTCCTCATTACTAACTATATTTATGTCACCTGTAATAACGTGTCCAGCAGGACTATAGTTATAGAAGAACATGAACATGAAGGAGGATTATGTTTTAGATAGTCGGTATTCAGGCCATGTAAAGTGTTTTTTAATTGAAAAGTTTGGAAGCGATGGTCGATGTATATTTGTAGGAAATACAAGGTGTAGTCTTTAACTTGAAATATGGTGGAATACAAGACTGGACCCTTTTGTGATTAAGAATATTACTTATATTGACCGCGAATAAGAAATAAGAGAGAAGTACCTTAAAAATGCATTTTCTCACCTTATATAAATATACTTGCTGGTAGTCCAATACAGCTAGGCTCCTATATTAGGCATCCATTAGGCCTCTTAAGGCTTCTATTAGGCACCTAAATGATAGGGTCTCCTGCTACCTAACATGATTATGCCACAGTTAGGTGTTCGGTACCAAGTAATAGGGCCTCATACCACCTAACATGATAAGGCCTCTAAGACACCCAAGGTTTTTAGGATGCCATTAGGCTACCTATAGCTAGTGATAAGAAAATTTACTACAAGTATAAAAGTTCAACTACTCAAATTTCATATACTCATAACTGTATATTACGAAATAAAAACACTACAAAAAACACTACAGGTATATTAAGCGTGTAATTCGTTAGATCTTTTAACAGGGATCGTGCATTTGTGTGTAGCCTTCAATGCAGAAACTTTAGCCATTATCACGTGAAAAAGATCCAGATAGGATATCAACTAGCTCGTAATTCATCTTGAGAGCTAGTCCGACATATTCAATTTGATGATAATAGATTGAAGATAACGAACAGTATTCAAGCTGAAAAGTCCATTAATCAATTCAAAACAGCAGCAGAGCAAACACGGACCTCCAAAACATCAGAGGTGGGATATGGTGCCATGGAGGATCGAGTGACCAGAGTGAGCATCCCCTGCCGACCGGTCATGCATGCCGTGTACTCCTTGTCATGATCGGGAAATAACGGGAAAATCCACAGACAATTCAATGTGTAAAAAATATATCTAACAATAAGTATGACAAACTTCAGTCGGCATTTGAGTAATTGATTAATTGTATTTGCCGAAAAGATCATAAAAATTTGACGAAGACTTTAAACGAGACTGTTGATTATGATATTCTAAAGCTTGTTTCATCAGCTTGTTTGTTAACATTTTCCTTGTTTTAGAAATTGTTCATACGTAGTACATTTCAATCCTTAAAGAAGTATAATTTTGCATGTATGCAAAAGTGTCCGAGTTATATTCATTAAATTATTACTTTGTATCCATGTAATTCAATTCATATCAATTAAATCAGAAATAATAACTTCTTCTGTTCTTACTAAGCTCAATAGACTAAAAAAATATAGAGTACAAAAAATAATAATAAGCGTTTGATACTTCTCATTTAAACAAAATTTATTCTTTCATGTTTTTCTTATTTTTTTTCTTTTGGATATGAAAATAATATAATTTCATTTTTCACAAAAATGACATTACTTATTACCATGAATATGGTTTTATACCTCTCAAAAGATTTGATATGTAAAGGCAATAATGCTCTGCGTATGAGCAATTTCTTTTAAACGAAAGAGTTTATTGACAAACGATGATAAAACAAAAATTTTATTATGTGATTTTAATCCATAATTTCTTAAGTTCTTTGGTCGACACCGAGATCATGTCAGCAAATGCAATCCATCATCAGTCCATTGCTGAATGACATTTTTTCGTACTTAGTGTTAGACCATGTCTTACACATAAAAATTCGACGAATTTTCCCGTTATTTTGCGATCATGACAAGAAGCATACGGTGGCTGTGACTGGTCGTCAAAGGATGCTTACTCCTCCATGACACCTGATCCCACTATTGTTGTATGCTCTGCTCCTAATTTATATTGTTTGAATATTAATTTTTGAACTTGTTACTGTTTGTTATCTTCATCAAAATATATATACACTGTACTACGACTTCTCGTTTTGATTTGCTGAGAAACTTATAAAAATTGCTAGAGAAAGCGTTCGATCCTGAAAAAGCTCGAACATAATTAATAGCGAACTAAACACTACACATGAAAACTGATACATTAATTTGATACAAAATCCTATCAATTTAATTCAGTCAATTCTTGAATAAAACTGCACTGAACTCCCCATAAGTACTAGTATTCCCAATTGTATACGAACACGATCGATCGAAGCTCTGATGAAGTCACTTTGTAAATTCCTTCTTTTAATGATTGTATTTTTTTTTATAAATACCAGTATCTATTTTCTTAATATTTGTGATTCAATATTTTATCAGTAGTTAAATTTAAAGTTAGTGGTTATCCATTGTCCACTCATCCATAGTACCTACTCCCACCTCCAACGTTTTAGAGATCCGAGTTCGCTCTGCTCTGTTTTGTAATACATGTATAGCATGGACTTTTGAGCTTGATTTATACTGTTTGTAATCTCCATATTTAACTGCAATTTAGCCTAATTATTGAACGTCATCAAAAAGATCTACACACCGATGAGGTTTTTAAAAATAAGAAAGACATTGGCGTTCGATCACTGCAGGACCTTTATTTACAAAAATCGATATGAGAACTCATTCAAGGCGCAGCGTTGGTTTACACACATACATAATTTGCATTGCCTATTGTTAGATGTTCCCCTCTTTAAAATACTCTGCAATTTAACGTTTTGTTTGTAGATAATTACGTACGAAAAAATCCAGCATTTAAATGCTATGTCCCTATTCATACTTTAGTTCCACAATGATTTCTACCGGAATGAATTCAAAACTCTTCATGTTCACACATTTCTGTCTTTAAGAGAATCTCATATTACATTTATTTTATGGATGAAAAGGAACTGTGCTTGAAACAATGCAAGGAGAGAACAAAAAAGTTAAAGAAGACTACAATCATCGATTAATTTCTGCTTTCTGAAACTTATGTAATTGGTATCTCTATTTTTCACAATGGAGGGGAGGTATTATAGAAAACATTGGCCTGAGTACGAGGACCTCGGATGGAACTATTATGGGGTAAATCTATTATTTTTTTTAGAAAAAATCTTATTCTTTAAATGTAAAGTTAGGTTTAAGATGTTTATTTAGTTTCAATTGAAATATTTGAATTTAAAATTAAAAAGATATTGTGCCACGAAATATGTTTTTTTTTTCTCCTCGCGTATAACTTAAAAGAGATTAAAAAAGCTTTGAAATGGGTTTACTTAAAATTTTAAAACCCTCTCTGACCAGTGCAAAATGTGTTTTTGGACTTTGAGAAAATTATATTAAATAAAGGTGGAAATATTGAGCTTATCTATTTAATTTTCAATATATAATATACATACTAGTATTTCTTTAATAAACTTTGAATTCGTAGTTTTAATTATGGATTTTTTTACATTAAAAAAAGTTAAGTTCAAGTTGACTGATATAAAATTTGATAAAAACTAAACTGTACTAATTGTAAACATTATGGTTCCGTTTACGTCTTATAAGGTTTCTAAAAATAACTGCATACACATGTTTAATTCACAAGTCGATCTATTCATTTTGATTGATATGTTTTTTTGTAAATAGATAGATGATTATACCGAGTTGTTATTAAATACGAAAATAACATTTAGGTACATGTATATACTATACGATCAATAAAGCAATTATCGATATTTTCCAGATTTCAGATTTTGTTAAAACCAAGAGACACACATCTCATATAAGCTTTCTACGTTTGCTTTTGTATTCTTAAACAAACACATTCAAACTGAATTCTTTGATATTGAAAAGTGAATTACTTTATATTCATGCTTTCTTACAAAGTGAAATATGAAGGTAACAAACACGTAAAATTGCTCAGAAGTCCGTTGAATCATTATAAATCAAGAGCAGAGCGAACACGACCAATTAAAAAAATCTTGACGTTTCAAACAATTGAAAATACAAAAGTTTAATCAACGACACATATGCGCCAAATCGACTAAACATGACTGATCCAGTTTTATTTCTCTTTGAATTTTTCAAGAGCAAGTGTTTAAATACCTTTGAATTTTAAAATGATTTTTGCCTCTTTTGAGAACGAAATATTATATTTTATTTATTGAGAATTTTTAATTTCTTAAACGAGGTAATTTATTTACAATCGAGTTGGACACGATTTTTTTTACCGTTATTTCCCAATCATGATAAGTAGCATACGGCGGGTGTGACTAGTCGTCGGCAGGGGATTCTCACTCCAGGCACCTGATCTTACCTCTGACGTGCCCTGCCTGTATTTTGTATTTTTTCATGAACTTTTGAGCTTAAATATTATTGGTTATTTCCATATATTTCACTCCAAATATTTTATTGGTCATAATGTTGTAAGTTTTATGCATTCAACGACCCTGTCAGGAAATAAAATTTACCATTAAATCAAAAGCTGACTGAGGGGTTTCCTACTTATTAATAGGCAACAATTTATACTGAATTGTAGAAGTTTTTTTCCCTTTCTTTCCCTATCAAGACAAAAAGCACATGGCGGCGTGACCGACAGGCAGGGGATGCTCAATTCTCCATGACACATGATCCCAACTCTAATATCTAAGAGCCTTGTGTTTGCTCAGTTCCTAATTTGCATTTTTGAACAACATTTGAGCTTGTAAATTGATTATTCTTTCCATGCTCGCTCTTCCATGGCACCTGATTCCACTTCTGGTGTTTTAGAGGTCCGTGTTTTTACTTTGATATTGAATACTGTTCGTTATCTCCATATCCTTCATTCAATGTATTTCATTTGTAAATGACAGTTTCAGAACTTAAGTTTTTTTTTTAAAAAGTGTCCTACAGCAATCGACACTCAATCTAACTGGCGGAAGGAGAGTTCCTCAAGTGGTCCGACTGATTCAGTCCTGGAGAGGAAATGGAGGTGTTCATCTCCAGTCAAGTTGGTGTCCCTCTGTCTGAGTATCATCTTGTTAGGTCTTATTTGTGGAATCATTTACTTATCTCATCTCAAAGGTATCTTAATTCTCTTTATTAATTCCAACATAAAAATAGTTCGGCTTTGTTTTGTGTTTTCTATGAATATTATTTAAAAAAATGAAGAAAAAAAAAATGAAAAAATGATGACTTATATTTTTTTTCCAGATCAGAACATACGTTACTGTGAGTAATACACATTTTGTTTTAATTAAAAATATTTTCGAACTAAAAATGTATAGGTGTTTTGATAATTAATTTTAGTTTTGAACAGAAACACTTTTATATATTTAAAGGTAATGAAACAAAAATAATACATTCTAAATAAGATAAATTAAAAAAAAATCTTTAATGAGGCTTGGTGGTTGTGGCCATTTTTAGACTATATTGACCTCCTTTAAAAGAATTTAAGAGTTCCATATAAAGATATAACAAAATGATCAAATTTCAAAACTAAAATTTATGAAAGTTTTCTTTGCCAAATGATAATAAACAGCTTAAGATATCATATCCCAAAATTTAAGTTATATCTGGTGGTTAATACAAAAATAATTTGTTGACCGCCTAGCCTCCGTAATTGTTGTTATATACATGAACATGTATTTATTTTTACAATACGGTCCTATATTATAGCTTAGAGCTATGTATGACGTATACGAGCTAAAATAAGTATAGATTCACATGATATTTTGTATTTACGTTTGAATTAAATATTTCACCGATTTTGAACTTAAATACCCCACTATTGTTATACTGACGTTAAACTATGTCTGATAAGTAGGTGAATAACTCGGTCATTGTTTTAAATCTCAAATATCTATAAATAAATTGTGTAATTAAAAATCCTATCTTGAAATAAAGTAACAAAACAAATAGAACGACCTTTTTAATTTTAGTTAGTCTGAACTTATCAAAAATACGCAATATATGACGTTTACCATACAGAACAATTTATTTTATTTCATGAATTCTTAACATGATGAGTTTAAATTCAATTAATGTGTTTAATTTAATCTCGTTTTTGTATTGCAGATACATCCGAAGGAAAGTTGACGATTAATCAAGCTTACACATCAAACCTAAAAAATACAAATTCGGAGGAATACTCATTATTTACGTATAAATTTTGTGTTCAGGTAGAGATTTGTTATAAGTTTGCATTAAATTCCAGATGAAGTAATGATCATTTACTCATTTTTAAATTCTAAGTTTTCACTAAGTGTGAATTGTATGTTAATTTAAGTGAACATGATTGTTAAAACGCATTTTCAGAAACTGTCACAATACTTTTTTCAAACAACCATTAGTTTTTAAACAGATTGTCTAGAGCAGGTTGAGATTTGTTATTAGTTTATATTAAATTCCAAATAAAATACGGGTACCTGTAAAGTGCGAAACGAAATAGAAACGAAACGAAACGAACTGAAACGAAACGAAATCTGCCGAAACGAAACGAAATCTACCGAAACGAAACGAAACCTACCGAAACGAAACGAAATCAAGAAGAAACGAAACGAAATCAAAACGAAACCTGCCGAAACGAAACAAAACAAAACATTTATATAGTTCAAGCACCACAGGCAATTGTTTCGCTTCAAGCTCATACATAGGCGTCGGAAGAAAATTGAAAGGGGGGGGGGGCTTAACTAACAAAAAAGGCAAACTCCAATTTTCAATGCCTATATAATATATATCTTTGCAAAAAGTAGGGGGACCAACACCTAAAACTAGGACCGTATGCATGTACGTAGAAAGGATACACAAGATTACTGTTGGAGTTACATATGGGGCGCCGTTTAGATATTTACTGGCAAAAAGTGATATCACCTATTCAAATAGGTGATATCACCTTTGTTACATGTATATAATTGAATGATAAAACCGGACACTTCGGAATGGAATACTAAATACTCTAAGTCTCTGGTATATCGTATGTTTTAAGACATTTGCAATACAACAGCATAGGCGTCGAAACCGGGCTAAGCCCCCTAACCCCCCCCCCCCGCCTTTTTTTTCCAAAGATACATGTAGACCTAGTATAGATATTAAACATCATTGCGTAGGTTTAGTCCCCCCCCCCCCACTTTCCACAGACACGTTGTAGTTTAGGTTAAAATAATGAGGAAAGTGGTGTTGTTTGGAAAAAATTTGCTAATGAAGTTCAACCCCCGTCCCCAACACGAAATAAGCTTTTCATGTTTGGACGGACATTTCTTTTTTTTTTTTGCTTGTCAGGTGTTTTTTTTTAAGGTATAAATTTTTTTTCTTACACTTAAACCCTCCACTTTCAATTTGCTTTCGACGAAAATGAACAGTACAGTGACTTTACTTCGACCTGTACATAAACGAGCCTTTACATGTAACACATCAATTTTAATAGATATGGTGTATCTAGATAAATAAGGACTGAAAAGAAGAGTAAGGTATAAAAATTTGAAAATACTGCACATATTGAAACTATACATGCGTAGTACGCTAGTGCATATTTGCAGCTGGCAAACATGTAAATACACCATTAGACTGAAAAGGGAGCATAATTTATCGGTAATTAAATTTTATATTAATAAGTGCTTGAACTTTATATATTTTTTTTTATATGTAAAAAAAAAATGTCCATATGCAGTTACACATATATAATAATATACATACCTTGATTAAAAAAAATGATAGTTTTGTTTCGTTTCGTTTCGGCAGGTTTCGTTTGAATTCGTTTCGTTTCGTCTTGATTTCGTTTCGTTTCGGTAGGTTTCGTTTCTTTTCGGTAGATTTCGTTTCGTTTCGGCAGATTTCGTTTCGTTTCAGTTCGTTTCGTTTCGTTTCGTTTCTATTTCGTTTCTATTTCGTTTCGCACTTTACAGGTACCCACAAAATACTTCTCATTTATTCATTTTTAAATTCTTAGTTTTAACTAAATGTGAATTTGATTTGAATCCATTGTTACAACGCACTTTGAAAAATTACGCACTTTGAAAAAATTTTTCAAAGTGCGTTAATTTTTGGGACCAGGTTAACGCACTTTGAAAAATTTTTTCAAAGTGCGTTGAATTTGGGACCAAATCAACGCACTTTGAAAAAATTTTTTAAAGTGCGTTAAGACTGTACATCATAATTTTACACCATGTAAACATTTAACGCACTTTGAAAAAATTTTCATGAAACAAAAGGAATTAGACTTATATTTTAGAAATAGACAACAGTATTACCCCCTCGCAACGTATGATGGGATATAGTGATGCGATTACGTGTGTTATTACTTTATGTGTATGTTATTTTTTTTGTGTGGAATTGATGTAATTTGTATCGCGATCGATGTCAAATGCTGCCTTGATTTACTGAACATGCTTTTTGGGAAGGAATGCTCCGCTTTGCGGTGCCCTTACCTTTTATGTGTTTCTTTCTAAAAACTGATGGATTGAAGAACCTAGAAACGGACAACGAAAAAAAAGACTGGCTAAATTAAGGTCTATCAGCTCAACTCTTTATCATTCCCACCCAGATGTATCTATTTCTATAACTCGTAAACTTAAGTGTCAATGATATTTGAAAAAAAGAGCATTCTAAATACAGTATAAGCACTGTACAAGGAAGTTTGTAGTAAATCGAAATTTTGTTCTTTTAAATCTCAAAGTATATTTATGTTCATTTTCAGGAAAATAAGAATATTAATTACATTAATTACATTAATTACATTTAATTATATTAAGTACCTGTCTGCTTTTCGATGTTAATTTGATACCATATCTGATAATCTCTCTGTTAACCTCCAGGTATTTAACTTACATGATATTTTCATAGGAATTGTTCATTTAACATGTATCTAATATCTTTTCTCATGTTTTACGCAAATAAATAAAGCATATATAAATTAATAAAATACAATTATTTAGTTTTAAATAGCTTTAAAATTTGTGAAAAATAAGCATTTTTTTTCGTTTTTTGTCTATAAACATATGCCCCCTCCCCCCCGTGAAACACAAAAAGCTTTGGCAGAAATTTGTAAAATTACAGTCCATATTATCTGTAAAAAGGAATTTTTGTTTCACGGGGGGGGGGGGGGGGGGGGGGAGTTGTTTTAAAAATATTTTCAGTTTTCCGTTGATTTCTATAGTGGAAAGCACAAGTTTTTCCATAATTATAGAGTTATTTCTCTTTGGTATCCAAAAAAAGTAAGGTTTTATAAAAATTCATATAAATATGTATAAAAATTTTGAGAATCATTCCAAGATGTTAACTTTTGAGAATTGACTTAGAGATAGGCGGAAGAATAATACTATCGTTCGTAGTTCTTTACGACCTTGAATGTTGACCTTTTGACCCCAAATTCAAAAGGGGTCTTCCTAAGGCCACAGGGATTCTGTTATGTTAAATTTCATTGCAAAAGCCCAAAGGTTGTCGAGATATCGTGTGGAAACGAAAGCGTTACAGAAAGACGGATGGACGGACAGCTAGACGGACGGACGGACAGGTAGACCCAAATTTATATTCCCCACTTTTCAAGCGGGGGACAAAAAGTATCAAATCAGGTTCAAATGATAAGTTATCATACTTAAGATTTGTAGGAATACTGACTAAGCCATCCAGAATTTTTTTTCAAAGTGCGTTAATATGGTCCATATTAACGCACTTTGAAAAAAAATTTTTTTTTTCAAAGTGCGTTAACCTGGTCCCAAAAATTAACGCACTTTGAAAAAATTTTTCAAAGTGCGTAATTTTTTCAAAGTGCGTTGCCACAATCCATACCTTTCTGCTTTAGAAACAAATAGTGTCTACTATTTTGACATATGTTCAGAACAAAAGAAAAACAATGGCCAAAGAAAGGCTTTGTAAACAATTAAGTCTAGCACTATTTATGAAATTTATGTTAATTAAAGTGAACATGGCTGTTGAAAGGCATTTGTAGGAACTGCTACAAAACTTTTGTCAAAGAACCATCAGTTTGAAACAGATTGTCAAGAGTAAAAACAGGGAGTAACATTTTTATAGTTAGTTAAACTTACTTTTGACGCCAAGTTAAAAATAGAGTACCTTTTGGAAAGTAATCCAGAGATACCGAAAACATTTTCACGTTGTGCATTTGACATTGATTTATGTTATTCTAAAAAACACCTATTCTTAGTTTATCTTAGAATTGTCTTTTTTAGATGGAAAGAACTTTTAAATCAAACAACAGTCCTTATGGCAGCACCTACCAGTCCTGTGACGTACAGAGTCTAACGTTTGTTTAAATTTACTTTCATTAATGTTTCTCTTTCAAAGTCTTATGCACCTCTCTTGTATTAACGACTTTTGTATCTTAATGAAATATTTATGTATTGATTTCAGGCCTGGAAGTATAATTGTGACCTTTACTTTGTACTTCCTGGATATAGTTACTGTGACAAATGAAGAAGTTATCAGTGTTATTACAAGTTCTGTTAGAGTTGTTAATTCTAACACTGTGTTCGGGGACTATATTGTTGACACGTCGACTCTCTCAGTAACAACGACTTTACAAGTATATGAACAAGATCCCTTACCTGAAATCAAGTCCATCAATCTACCATCTACCTCAACAACGTCAACCACATCTCCTTCTACAGAAATGGTCACAACATCATCCACAAAAACAACAGAAGCATCAACCACACAAACGACGTCAACCGCATCTCCTTCTACAGAAATGGTCACAACATCATCCACAAAAACAACAGAAGCATCAACCACACAAACGACGTCAACCGCATCTCCTTCTACAGAAATGGTCACAACATCATCCACAAAAACAACAGAAGCATCAACCACACAAACGACGTCAACCGCATCTCCTTCTACAGAAATGGTCACAACATCATCCACAAAAACAACAGAAGCATCAACCACACAAACGACGTCAACCGCATCTACTTCTACAGAAATGGTCACAACATCATCCACAAAAACAACAGAAGCATCAACCAGACAAACTACGTCAACCGCATCTCCTTCTACAGAAATGGTCACAACGTCGTCCACAAAAACAGAGGTGTCAACCACACAAAAGACTTCAACAACAGATGCACCAACTTCAACGCAATCAACCATAGTTCAGACTACAGCGTCAGTATTAACAACAGATAAAATGACGGCAAATCCAGCGACAACAATTTCAACAACAGATGAACCAACATCAATGCAATCAACTGCATTTCAGACTACATCATCAGCATCAACAACAGACAAAATGACGTCAAATCCATTGTCAACAATTACATCACCAACACAATCTTTAAAGAATGAAACTACAACAGCAGTATCAAAAGCAGTTGAAAACATTACAAAAATATCAACATCAGAAGAATCTATGTCCACACAATTACCGACAGTTGAATCTACGCAAACATTATCAAAATCATCAACAACAATTGAAAGTACGACTACAGATTTAACAAGTAAAGCAACATCAACAATGTCAAATACCGTTCAAAGCACACTAGAATCCTCAACAACACACAAAAGTACGTCAGCGCATTTACCAACGGTTGAATCAACAGTCGAAAGCACATCAAAACCCCTAACAACAGTTGAAATTACAACGACACATTTGCCAGAGGTTGAATCCACGTCAACAATACCAACAACAACTGAAACAACACCAGAACAATCAACATCATCGAAGACCACCTTAGCACCCTTAATTACTGTTGAAGCCATATCCACAAATTCAACGATGGTTACACCTACCTCATCAGGATCAAACTCCACTGAAAGCACGACTATGGAATCAACAGAACAGAATTCAACAGCATCAACTAAAGTAATAACTACTCCAGAGACATTAAAAACAGTTGAAGCCACATCGGTAACACCATTAACAGTAAAAACAGCATCGGATTCTTTACAAACCGTGGGGATTTCGACAGCATCTTCAACAACAGATATAGATACATCCTTCGTATCAACAGCACCAAAAACCACAGCTTCACAAACAACAACGATTGGTGCATCCACAGAAGACAGTGCCACTGTAATATCAGAGAATACTAGCTATTCTCTTTCAGCAGTGCAAACCACAACTGAGATTTTAACAACAGCGACAGTTGGAAGTACACCAAAATTACAATCAACTTCCCAAATTTCAATGTCTTCTTCTACAGGTAAAATGAAAAGAGAGAAAATAACGAAAGGTGATCAGTCTTAAAAAAACTTTAAGCAATATGTAAAAAGGACTTAATCATGGACATCTGGAAATTCCAGAGGTGGATTAGGTGCTGGGGAGAAGTAAGCATCCCCTGTCGAACCTTTACTACCGTATAAAACTATGACAGGGTACTGACATGGAAGTTGATGTTTAAGAGATTTCAACAATGTTGTTTAAAGTAGATATTTTATAATTCTACGCTTGTTAAAATGACCTTATTAGCAAAGACGACCTTTCGTTGAATCGTATTTTGACTGACTTGTTTCATGTCAATTCGAAGACTACATAGGGTGTACTGTGTGTGGGGCCGGTCAACGGGTGATGTTTACTCTTCTGAGGCACCTGATCCTACCTCTGGAATTTCCTAGAGTGCATGTTTATGCTTAGTTCACATACCTACATATAGATTGTAGTTTACATGAAATCGACCACTATTAGTTCTCTACACTTTTTTCATTCATTCCAAGAAGCAAATCTTATGGTTAGGGAAGAGAATATGTATAAAACGTCTTATTAAGTGCTGTAAAGAATCTTAATATATATTGTTATTTGGTTTCCTATAGCTCTATCTTCAAAACAATGACTTAAGCATCAAGAACACCACAATCAATATTGCTTGCATTTATACTATACCTAAAAATATTCAAACAAAATCAGAAAATATTTACTTCTTTCTCATTGAAAATTTGATATATTTAAGGACAGAAAACCTTTGAATTAATATTTTACGAACACATTGCTGATATTATCAGAATTTTCCAAACCTTAATACAACTTACTCGATTGAAAGAAGTGATTGTGTTTCATAAAAAAAAGATAAGAAAATAGAATTCAAATAAAAGAAGAAAATATTAACTGACAGTTGCTATATAATTAAGTGCATGTTATAATTGTGTTTTATTTCTTAACACAATCACATCATATTCAACTTTATGAGTTGAGTATTTACTAGGGTAATCCAAAATAAAATACAAAGTCTTTGAAAACAGAAGAAATGCATATGTTATATAAACATAAAATATTGATAATGATTTTCAATTTTTCATACCCTGAAGCAAATGATAAAGGATTGATTGATTGATTGTATATTGTTTAACGTCCCTCTCGAAAAATGATACAGGACGTAACCATTTTATTTTGTACATTTGTAGAGACCATAACAACAGAGTTATCTTCAACAGGAAATTCAATCTCACCATCAACCGATACAACCGTGGGAATGAAATTTACATCAACAACAGAGACCTCGATTATGACAACACCAACTTCAGATAAAACGACAGAAAACCTTACATCCACCCAGAATGTATCGACCACAGAATCCTCAAACACTGATATCCACAATACCACTTTCACTTCAACTTCCTCAACGTATGGTAATACAACCATGTACGATACTACTTCTGTACCAGTCTCCCCAACGTATGTAGATACTACCATCTACAATACCACTACCACGCTAGATTCTTCAACGTATGTAAATACTACCATGGACAATACCACTTCTACACCAGTCTCCACAACGTTTTTAGATACTACCATCTACAATACCACTACCATTCAAGATTCTTCAACGTATGTAAATATTACCATGTACAATACCAATTCAACGACCGAGTCCTCATTCTATTTAAACACTACAATCCACAATGCTACTTCCACATCAGTTTCCCCAACATATGAAAACACCACTATCTACAATATTACGTCCACATCAGACTTCACAGCGTATGAAAATACTACCATCTATAATACCACCTCCACAACAGACTCTTCAACGTATGTAAACCCTACCATTTACAATATCACTTCCACGACCGAGTCCTCAACTTTTGAAAACACTACCAACTACAATATCACTTCTTCTACAATGCTGCCTTCCACTGACATGTCTCTGGATTATACATCCCTCTCAACCACGGACCATACACAGACGACAACAATTTCTTATTTAAGTACAGCAGGTGGGTATTTCCCCATTTATTCTGATAAATTGTTTATCAAGGCTGTTTAAATATTCATAAATTCTTTGTAAGATTTTACAAGAGAATTTTGTTTGTAAACTGAAATATAGTTAGTACACGATTTGTCTAAGCGTGCTTTGTTATTTGCTTTAACGAGTTATGGGTCCTTTACTTCAGATGTGTCCTTCCCTAGTGCAACTGTCTTAGCCAAAGTAGATATTACACTGGTATGCACAATCAAAGTGGAAGACGATTGGAGTATCATAACAGCTGGCCAGGAACTGGACTCTGATATCTCTGTCCTTGCAGAGTACTTCATAAATGGAACTGTGTCTGAGAAAACAGTAAACGATCTAACTACGGTCACTTTTACAGGCGATAACGAGACGATAATAGTAGCATTCAACATTCATCTAAGCTCTGTGGCTGTGTGTCCTTCACTACTTCGTCTAACATGTGGAATCAAGATGATGGACATTGCGGAATCGTCTATAACAAATGTCAGCGTCGTACATATTACCGGTAAGCTTATAGTTGATATAGATTAATGTACCTGGACGGTGAAAAGTTAAGGTTTTATGACGTTTCATCTATTGGCTACATTCTTTATAAAAAATCGCGCCTTAAAAGGATGTTTTGGTATTTGAAAATGACACTAAGCATATTTCATAGCTATTTTCATATTTTCAGCACCTGTCAGTAACGTCACTCTTGACATGAGCCCATCATTTTACACTGGAGAAAGATTAGAATTGACCTGCCGCACAAAAACCGACTTTGAGTATGGCGACGTCGCCTTAGAGGTTCAATTTCCAGATGGATCCAGATTACAAGAACCTGCTATGCGGAGCAAGTATTCAACAACCAGGAACGGTGATTGTACTGTGGATTTTGAATGGATATTCAAAAGCGAATTTTCTTTCGAGCAAAACATGAACGGTTCCATAATACACTGTGTAGCTTCCAACAGGTTACTAAACCACACTGTTATTACATCGAGAGTTGTTATCCTTTTGACCTCTGGTATGTTGTCATTACATTACATTGTAAAGAATTAGCAATTTCGCCTTATATTGTATATTCCAGTTGATGTAATTTTTGATGGATGATAATATTTTCATTCATAGGAATGAAACTGATTGGATAAGTGCAAAAAACAAGGAATACTTTTTGTATCATTAAATCATATAACCGCATATGAGATTTTATGCTCATTTATATCTTGCTAAGTTTATACTACGAATTTATGATAAAAATATAACACTGGATTTTTCTGTCTTGAATATTTCCATTGCAATAACTCATATATATATTTAACGTTTTTAAAATTTTGATTTAAAAACTAACGGGTTTTTCTTCGTTTCTTCGTAAAATTTCAGACGTGTCTTTTGCCCAGTACTATGTTTCCGGTAAGCCCGGTGATGAGGTGAGCATCGCTTGCAAGACAAATATAGCAGCGACATCTATACAGAACATTTCAATTTACAAAATATCCAACAACACGAACGTTACCATAACGACCTACTCCAATGGCATGGTTACGAACAGTCCGGGAACTTCAGGACTCGGAAACTTTCAGAACGGAACCTTGACGGTGGTATTTACAAGCTTACAGTGTAGTGACGAGGCACAGTACTTTTGTACAGTAACGTACGGCAGTACTCAGATTACGTCCCCACTCTTTTTGACTCTACAGCCAACAAGTAAGTCTGTAGCTTATATCTAAAAACTTGTAAACAAAAACCTTTTCCTAAATATATAGTGAAATATGATAAAAAAGAGTATATCAAAGTTATTTTGGGAATACCTAATCATTAATCGCTTATTTTATTACTATCCCTGGAAAGTCAAATCGCGAGAATAATAATTCGCGAATTGACGTTTCAAGTATTTCTAGATTTAAACATATACTTGTCACCTTAAGCATTGCTATTCAACGCACAGTATTCAATTTGTCGGCATGTGTTAAAAGGAATAATGTATTACATGTATTTTTTCTCTTCATTATTGTTTATTTTGTACAAAATTTAGCACCCTCAAATCAAGTCCTGTGACATAAAGTTAAATAACGCACATTGTGAGGAAAAAAGTGACAAATTGATTTTAAATGCACAATTCTTGTATTATTACGTTAATTCAACAGGTTTCATTTTTTAAAATTAAATTGTGTCAAACTGTAGATTTTGGTGTTCATAAAGTTTGAAAATGCATACAGTTTCTACTGTGTATTCTAACGCGCGATGACAAGGTTTCGCGTTTGTTATTGAGATTTGAACGTCATGTATTTCTAATGGATTTCATATAGAAAATTACACTAAATGTAATTATTTGCCAACACATTTTTATAGCATTTATAGTATGCAGATGAATGTCTCACTATGTAATCAATTAGCATGAGATATAGGGTCATTATTTTTCAATTAAGCTTCATATTAATCAATGATCCATGCTGCTTTATATACAAAAAAGATCTATAATTTGCAGTTTTTGTATCAGCACAAGGTGGAGTCATCGGCGTCTGCACACAAAGGAAAAATTTTCTAGAGGGGCTTCAAACAATGAACAAAAAAAAACTAAAACCGTCTGAATCAAATCAATAATATTTCTAGCTAACAAATGCCTTAAAAGTTGCAAAAATAATTATGGTTTTCAAATATTCAAATATTTGACAATGAATTTACTCAATTTGAAGCCACCTATGCTTCCCTGACATGACACTTAACTGTAAAGTTCAACTATTTAATAATTTTTACAACGATTGGAAGTTGCAAAATCTATTTCAGATAAATGAATGCCTAAATACCCAAGTAATGAAAACTAAAATGAATTTTCAAAATCAAAAAAATTATTCTTTAAAAATTACTTGTTTCTTTTAATTTGTAATTTAGAGAAGTGGCAAGATGACCATGTTTACATATTAATATATTTCACCTAAATTCCAGCGTTTTAATTATAACAGCTACAGCAGGGTCAACACCTGTGTCTCTGTCTCTCAGTGTGGACATTGTGGAGAAAAGTTTCCTTCATTTGTCAGCACACTACTGCTCCGGTGAAATCGGGTATCCGGAAGTCAACGGATTTCTCTCCCTTACATTTACCAATCCCAAGACCAAGGAAGCAGTTATATACAACGAGAAAATGCTTTTGAATTCCACCAAAATAATCGTTACAACGATATCTCTCAACAAAGTCATCCTTGCTGATGGTTTGATATTGCTGATAAGAGAAGACGTTAAACTAAGTGAAAATTGTTCAACTATTCAAAGAATGAAATTTTATCTGAATGTTTCTAATCAGTGGAACCATGGTCAAATCAAATGTGAGATTCAGACAGAAGATGGACCGGTTCTCGCAAGTGAAAAGGAAGAGGTCTATTTTGTCATTCCAGGTAAGGTCCCTTACTTTCAAGGATTTCTGTAAATTCACTTTGTACTTTCATGGCTTATTTGCAATTTTTTACGGTTGAAATGTATTTGTTAACAACTAAAAATCTTGACATTTCAGCTAATGCATGTGGAGACTTCAATGGGACTGGTACTGTATTTATCGATCATGAAAAAGTTGACCACTGCAAAACATACATTCAATGTGAAAAGAATCAGCCTCCTACTGGATCAAGGTGCCCAAATATTGACCAATGTGCTTACATTGGGAAAAATTACTGTGAGGATTGCAATAATGCAGTATGCAGTGAGAATCCAATAACGACAGGTAAAATGCAAAATGGCATAGAATCTACTTATAACTTTGAGTTGGGTGTAATAAGTAAAATTTATTCTGTTAATTTTAAATCTGCTTCATACTTGGATATTTTACTTGAAAAAGACACTAATGGTAATCTAACAACCAGGCTATATGATAAACGTGATGACTTTAACTTTTCTATCGTCAACTTCCCTTATTTATGCAGCAGTATACCTTCATCACCTGCATACGGAGTATATATATCTCAGTTGATTCGATACGCAAGAGCATGCTCTACGTATGAACAATTTCTTAAACGAGGTAAATTATTGACAAGCAGGTTGATGAAACAAGAATATCAACAGTCTCGTTCAAAGTCATCATTTCGTAAATTCTATGGTCGATACAATGACCTTGTCAGCTAATACAATTTATCATTGAATGAAATGCTGACTGACTTTTTTCATACCAATTGTTAGTCCATTATTTATACACTGAATTGACGACGGATTTTTTCCGTTATTTCCTGATTATGACAACGAGCACACGGCGGGTGTGACCGATCGGCAGGGGATGCTCACTCCTCCATGGCACCTGAAACCCACCTCTGATGTTTCGGAGGTCCGTGTTTGCTCTGCTCTTATTTTGTATATTGTTTAATGGACGTTGAGATTGAATACTGTTCGTTATTTCCATATCCTTCTTTCTCTCCTGATTTAATATAATTATCGGCATTTCAATAACAAGTAAATTTCAGGCGCATAAAGTTTTGTTACAAATGACTATAAAAATACTAGCCTCTAAGCAAAACAATATGGTGTTGGTTTTCAAAACACCTTTTAAGCAATATGAGTTGCATTTTTGAAAATTCTGTTTTACTGTTCAAGTGTGTATATATGATAAATTTGTATGTAACTTAAACCTTTAGGATTAATTAGACTAAAACAGAAAGACTTCTATATATTAGTAAACAATCCAATATGTTTTATATATGAAATCATTAGTGTACAGGACGACAATAATGTAATTTTAATTCAATCAAAGCTTATGAATATATCTTCCTTCTCAAATACGAACAACAGAAGTTTATTAACGTCATTATTATCTCTCATTGAAAAAGTTATTTACAATTTTGTTACAAAAAATCCTACATCAAATTTGCAGCTCATATTGCTTTAACATTTAAATTGTTAGAATCATCTTACAGCATATCTACATGCACTAGTATAAATGTAATTTTGACGCAGAGATTAAATAGTTCTTTTTAGCTTACGTCCCTCTTTTCGTATTTCAGCTTTGACTACACCATCCTTTACTTTTCCAACAACTGCTGGTTCGACAGGAAACAAGTGTAAGGACATTGATTATTTCTTGCTTGTAGTTATGCCATGTTCATAAATTTTCTCGATGGAATGAAAGTACTTATGTATTGAACATAAACTAATCTATTGTACAATCTGTGTATGTGAAAGGACAAAAAAAATCTATGAATATTAAAAAACAAATCTCATTCAGAGGGAAAATTGAGCGCAATTTTTTTCCTAAGTATTCAGGAATACATGTATTTATAGCTTAATCATTTTATAAATTGCATATAAATGTATTTTAGATTTGGAATGTACATCGGTGTCAGTCTTCCTGAAAGAATCAGCACATATCAGTTGCAACTTAAATATTTCAAACCTCCTATCCTTAAATATATCAAAATCAAACTCAAGCATACTATCCGTCCAGTCTGGCGGTACAGTGATAGTTTCCTCTTCTTATTCTGGAAGACTTAGTGCTGTCTTTTCACTCTCCTCCTTGACTTTGGACATCACTTTCCAGACCACCTCTTGTGAAGATGATGGTATATATTCGGTAATGATGCAATTCGATCGGGTAGAATCATATCTGACAACCTTTACTGTTACGTTGAAAGGTGATTTTTATTTACATTCATTTCCTTTTTCATCAGCGAAATACATAAAGCAAATAATCTAAGAAAATATTTAATACAATTAAAAAATTCAGTTGTTTTGAAAATACCATACTTAATTTGAAACAACTCATTACAATTGTAACTAGTATTAATGGAAAAAAGACCATTTTTTACAAGGAAAGGTTATTTATAAATTAAAATAATATTTCTTTGACATTTAACTTTTCTCTTGCATTGTAGTGAAGCCAGGTATACCTCAGTTAACACTACATCCTAACTTGATAGACGGGGAAAATCTCATGAGTCATGTATGTACTGGAGACGTTGGTCATCCACCAGGAAAACTTGAGATTCAGATCAAGCGTCCTGGTGACACAGACTTCAGTATCTACCAATCAGCTGGTCAGACTAGGATGAATTCTGAGGTTGCTGGGAACTGCAGCAGTACACAAACGTTGGATTTTTCAATTGACCTTTCGTCTGATAGTTGGCGCAATGTGACTATACGATGCTTAGCCTTAAATTCTGTGGCTTTAAACAGTACTGGTAAACCTCCAAGTTCCAGAGAATATACTTTGTCAAGCATACCAGGTAAGGACTTGTAGACGTACACTCTAAAAATACGAGGTTTGTCCATAAGGTTTGTGAACAAACAATCATCTTCATGTTCATATGGATGGCCCTAAAAAACATTTTATACCAAATATTTTTTTACATGAAGAAATATTTAGAAGAAAGATAACTCCTCATCACAGATATATTTTTTTTCTTACAACCACATACAACATTGTGATTTTCTGAAAGCATCGCGCCATGATGTTTTCTAACATGATTTATATAGGTATAATAGTAAGTATTATTTTCATTTGCACCTCATATATTAAATTTAATGTTGTGATAATAAATCGTTACTCTCTCTATTCTCTGTGTTCAATTTCTCCTTATCATGATCTGCACATGAAAAACATTTCTAAAAAAAAAGCAGCGCTTTATACTTCAAACTATTTTCCATTTGGGTCTAATGTTATTGTTGTTTATGAAAATCAATATTACGAATTTAAAACTTTCTAAGGTGAAATTTATATCAGAGGGTCGGGACCCCTTAAAGCAAAACATACGGTATATTTAAGGAATAACTGTCTTATTTTTCGATTTCATGATGTAATCAATCGATTGGCTTGCGTGATAATTTGCATAAACGCCAAAGGCATTTATGCATAAAATTATCACGCAAGCCAATCGATTGATCATCGTCATGAAATCGAAAAATAAAAACAGTTATTCCTTATATTTCCATGCTTTGATTCCGCCAATCCACGTGCTCTAAGCCTTGCTTCTGTCTAGCTGTTTGTCCCGCCCTGCACGTGGTTTTTTTGGAACCGCACCAATACATTGATAGGAAAATAATTACCTTTACAATTTGTAATTTTATCTCGGACAAAGACATTTGAAATGTAGATATCACTATATGAAAAAAAAAATTAATGTTTAATTTCCTATTAATAGTTAATTGTGTTACAATAATTTTTACCAAAATACATTTTGTATTTTCACTTGTGGTCATGAAATAGTCCAGAACATGAAACCATTCCAAGGTAAGATGTAAATCTTATACGGTACAACTTTTGATGCACCAGATATCATTTCTACAAATTATGTCTCTTCAATGATACTCTGACATGCCGAAATGCTTTCTTTAAAGAGTATCTTTTTAATTAAATCTTGGTGCTAAAGATCTCCTGATTATAGTATTCTCTAATGGATTGTGTTGGTCTTCTGAGTGGACAGAGTCCTGTGGTGCAGCTTTTAGTTGATTACTCCTATAATGTACAATGAAATTGGCGTCAGTTGGAATTCAAAAACATCCATAATCACGATCAATTAAGGTTGATAACAAATCAAGTTTTAATTCTTAAAACCTAACCACAGCTGTATATATAAAATCATTCTCAAAACTTAACAGTAACTGTTTTGCTGTCTTTTTGAATATTATCCGGCAAATTCGTACTGAATTCATATTTGTCATTGACTGTGTAAAATTCCTATATTTGCCATCCTTGTTAGTTATAATAGTTAGTAGTGATATACGGTAGTGCGACTTTATCATGACCGACCTCGTTATGGTCCAACAGTGTTATAGTCCGACACAATTATAGTCCAAATTATCTATCAGCCAAAAGTATAATTGGACTGCTCAGATCTGACGTTGAATCGATGTTGTCAATTCAATAAAATTTGAATTCAATGTTGATTCAACTTTACATTTTCAACGTTGAAAAATCAACGTTGAATCAATATTGTATCTAGATTTAACAACATATAAACCCAACTTCAACTAATATTCAACATTTGAACAACGTTGTGAGCCTGCTGGGAAGTACATGTATTTATATTCTTCAATATCGTCAAGTAGTGTGTGCATGACCTTCATTTTTGTTAACATTATCGTACACAATTGACAATGTTGCATTAAAAATCAAGATGTTTGTTAAACACTGATGCCCATGTATGGCAGCTATGGCGGAGTAAAAATATTTGAGAAATCAAATTCTAAGGTCAACTCAAGAAATCAAAAACTGTTCCATCAAAGAAAGGGCTCGTCTAAACTATGAAAGCCCAAGCACCAATCTTTCAAAAGTTATAGCCAAGACTAAAGTTTTCTTAACGTAAGTCAAACGTCAATGTTAAGGCCATAAGGTCAAACTTTATGGTACCCAAGGGAAAGCCTTTCAAAAGTTCGTCAAATTCTAAAGTCTAGAATAAAATTATTGCTATCCAAAATGGTCTTGTAACAAGAAATACATCCGTGAAAAATAAAGGTCTAGTTTTAACCGTTCAAAATAAAGATATGGTTCAAACTCTGAAGTCAAAAGGTAGAAAAGATGCATACAATGAAAAGGTTTAGTCACAATACGTTAATACACATTTGAAGTATGGAAGTCCTAGCACGATCTGTACCAATTCTAAAGGAGAGGTTTAGTTTGATAAACTGTGAAAGTTGTCGAGAATTATGATCAAATTCAAATACAAAATATATAATACTAAGTAATGAAGGTAGGTTGAATAAATGAAAAATATTCAAATAATATATTTTATAACATAGATAGGCAATGCTTAAAAATATTGCAATAATGCCTTTTTTCCTTACAGGTAACTACTGCACTAATAAAACATCAGATTACTATGAGGAACACCCAATGGGATGTCCATATTTTGTTCGATGTGTTAATGGAAGACCATATGGACAGAAATGTCCAGGACAGAATTTGTGCTTCGATGTAGAAAAGAAATCTTGTTTGACCAATTGATTGAAAGCCACTGTGCAAGAGTCATAACAATGCAATCAGAATAAATGAATTAGTCAGTAATTGACAAATGAAACATTCGTTTTTTTTGTGTAATATTTTCAAACAGGGATGTAATCTGTATCCAATATATGAAAAATATCAATGATAACAAATTATTACATTTTACACAATTTTCAAAATTTTCAATATTTAAAACTGTGTCTGCTGTAAAAAAAACTCTTTGTAAACAATGTATTGTATGATATTTATATAAATAAATAAAGAAAAAAAATACATTTTACTAGTGTTGGCAACGAGTACCTGGTTAACCGGTTAACCGTCGAACGATACGAGTATCGGTTAGTAAAACTGCTATTCGGTTACTCGCATGAAAAAAATCTACATAGTAAATGCATATAAAATGATTGTTTTATAATTTATAAATGTATATACTTACACATTTCCCTAGATTTAGGTACCGATAGACTTGAAGTGGATCAAATTGTTCTGATTAGCTATAGTTTTCACAGTTTATATAATTAATAGCTTTGCTAGCTTGGGCGTATACAACTTTTGAAGGTCTGAGTTATGATAAACTCATTTGATAATTTAACGAGATGCCGCCACAGACAAATTAAGCTTGGAGTTGTAAGAAAGAACAGTTTAATCAAAATCTCAACAAATAAACTATTAATTACGGAGTATGTAGATGATTATTATTCTCCTTGATAGCGACATATTTCGGGGGCTGAAAAGAAAAGCATGAGGAAAGCAATTGTAGGACGGTTATTGACGATATCTTTATTTGTGTTCTGCGTGTGTCACATTCCTTATTTTCTTTAATCTAAAATCAATATTCGTTGACAATATCGCATGCGTGTATTGTAAATACAATGTCCATATACAGTATATTTGTGTATTACTACTACCGATAAGTAAACAATAAGATATGTAAAAGATGTGGATACTTTAACGTTAAATCATCCTAGTAACCGGGTACTCGATCGGAAGATGAAGCGAGTAACTGGTAACTAAAAAACGTCCGATTTGCCAACACTACATTTTACACAATTCATTAGAATGATCAAATATTTTTTTCATAGATAAGAGGTCTGCTACAAGTGAATGAAGTGGTGGATGCATGTAAACAAAATTATATCCGGGAAAATCAATTTAATTTTGTCATTAGCGTAGCATATATTTCACTTAAGGTAATTCCACCATCCTATGATGTCATTGATTTCTGCAAAAAACTGTAATTAATTTAAATTCATACCTAATAGAACAATATCTTTTGGAAGAATGCTTTACAATAGGTGTAATGATAAATATTGTCAAGTAAAAGAATTTTAAAAATGCATATTTTCTTTATTTAATCAATTATTCAATCTATAACACTGTTTACATAAAATGTGCGATTTTTTATGCTGACATACATTTCTGTTTATTATGTTTTGCATCTTAAATAATATGGTGACCTATACATTTTTTGCAACAACTTGAACATTTGAAGTATATTAAATGAAAATAAATCCATTTTTATACTTTGAACCATTAAAATTGTGAGGGTGGAATCACCTTAAATATAAAATAAAAAACCATGCACATCATTATTGGTAGTTTTGCATAAACTCAAGCATTATAACTTCGAATCAAACAATGAGTGATGAATTGTCTTGCTTTTTTGTGCATTTTTTGTTGATTTTATTGATACCTGAATTTACTTTCGAAAACTGTGTTCAGCTTATCTCGCGCTTATTTAATTCGATATATAAAAAGTCTTGTTGAAGTTCAAGAGGTGTGCTTTTTCCCATTGTATAATTAGAACATGTCTTATCAAAGATACAAGGACTTTTGACTTCCAAAACATAAAACGTTTTATCGATTCAATAATATTTCTTAAAGCATCATTTTAAAATAAACCGGCAAATCTGCGGGTATTTCCATATATTTTAGAACTTTCATTTTTCTGTGGGTTACCAATTTTTGTGCTCTTAAAGAATCAACCTTATAAATGAGTGTATATACCTTTTTTGATACCTGTGTTATACAATCTACTCACGAAAAAATAAAATTTCAATTGTTTATTTTAAAACCATAACGAATTGGTACATGTGTGGGAAAATATTAGACAGGATATACGTCACTGTTATTCAGTTCAAACATATAATTTCATATCGGAATAATGTTAGATTGTCTTGGGTATACCGGTAATAATCCGAAAAATTCTAAGACGTGTCTTAAATTGCTAATTTTGTTAAATTAATTAAATGGCTAGGTAAGGTTTATGATTGCCAATATTTGATATGGATGCCAACTCGATAAATCCTAATGAACTTGAAATAAACGATGACTTTGATACATCTGCTTTAAGATGTGTTTTTAACTGATTATAGCGGATATGGAGATAACGAACAGTATCCAATATCAAAGTCCATAAACAATATAAAACAGGAGCAAAGCAAATACGGACCCCCGAAACATCAGAGGTGGGATCAGGTGCCTCAGAGGAGTGAGCTTCCCCTGTTGATCTGTCACACCTGACCTGTCACGTGTGCTCTTTGTCATGATAGGAAAATACTCAGTAACGAAAAAATACGGCGTCAATTCAGTGTATAAATAATGAACTGATAATGAGTATGAAAAACGTCAGTCAGCATTTGACTCAATGATAAATTGTATTTGCTGACAAGGCCATTGTATCGACCACAGAACTAACGAAATGATGACTTTAATCGAGACCGCTGATAGTCCTGTTTCATCAACTTTTTGTTAATGATTTACCTCGTTTTAGAAACGGAGATATATACACTCCGTATGCAGGTGATGAAGGTATATTGCTGCATAAGTAAGGGAAGTTGACGATAGATAAGTTAAAGTTTTCACATTTATCATATAGCTTGGTTGTTAGATTACCATTAAAATCTTTTTCAAGTAAAATATCCAAGATTGAAACAGATGTGTCAGACTCTGTGATATCTTTTATCTCAATCTACCCAGGATATATCGTATCGACGTAGGAAAGGAAATTACCATTGTTAATTGACAATACGTCGTCGAAATATCTAAATGTCGATTTGAAAATCACAGCAATTGTTTTCTTCTTTTCACGCATAAGATTTTCCACAAATTCTGCTGCCTAATAAGACCAAGGAATAAATAAATTGTATAAAAAACGAGATGTTTCATTGTCAATTTCCCTCGTTTATGTAGTTATATACCACTTACCTGCTTATGGCCTTTATGTTTTGCACATTCTCTACTCGAGAGTTTCCTCTATGTACGATCCAATTTTAAAGCACTGTATGCTACTCACTGATCCGTTGATATTACAGAGATTAAAAAAAAAACTCCTTTAAAATCGGCATTTCAAAAATCTTATGCTTCATTTATTGACCTGGGGCCTCTTTTACAAAAGAACTTACGATAAGACCAAGATTTCATTCTGATTTACATTAAATTGAAAACGGTTTTAGTTGGTTTAAAGAAATATAAAAATATAGTTTTACACTGGCAGTTTTACATATAATCATCAACTTCGAGGTATATCACAATCAACTTAAGTTTTTGGCCTTAGTCGTAAATTCTTTTGTCATCATCACGTGGACAGAACTTTCAGGTCCCTGGTTCGCGATTAAGACTTATCAATGGGTCTTTTTTTTTGGTTGAATTGATTACAGAATGTTCTATCCACGCGATCAGGCACCTTTAAAACACAAGGGATGGAACAGGCTCATAGAGAAGTGAGCAATCCTTGTCGCCCGCCCACGTGTGCACCTGTCTACAGCAAAAGATATATAAAATGAATAGATGACTGATAATTATCTTTACTAAACTAATTAAATCTTATTCTTATTCATGAACTGTACTAAAGCGCTCATTTGAAAGGTTTATTTCTCGACTCTTCAGATAACCTGGTATTTTTTTAAATTTATTATTTATATACTTATTAACTTTATTGTGTTAAATGTATCTTTATTGAAATGAAACTAAGGATTGTCTTGCATAGTTTTGTAGACTATATCCCATTGTATGAAAACAAGAGATTTGAAAGTCAGGTTTCGGGTATATACCTTACCATTTTAGGATTTTTATGCCTGGGTTGAACGATTTAAAAGAAATCCCGTATATATGCTAATATGAAAGTAATAACAGAATATCTAGACTTAAAACTGGTATACCTGCTATACAATCTCTAAAAAGAGTGGGGTAATACGATGTAAAAATATTTTATTCATTCATTTAAAATAATATAAAGCATGTCTGACTTACGAAACTGAAGGAGTAAGATAAAAAAAACCCCACAAAACCTGTAAACCATTATAGGAACTAACACATCAAAAGTATCAGATAACAGAATAAAGACAAGGGTCGTTTGGTTTTTAAACGAACTCAATAAAGAGATAGAAATAAGAGAGGTAACATTCTTCAAGGCAAGGTCATTAAATAATTGAAAGGTATTTTTATATAATCTCGCTGTCCACTGTCTGTTTGCAAGAACATATTCGGTCATTACGTTTTCTGGAAATTTATACTGTAATTAAAAGTTGTTTAGCAAGTTTTAGTTGCTCATTGAATGGTTTTAGGAGTGGTCAAGAACAAATTTATGTTTTTTAAAAATAAATATTCTTTTTTAAAAAAAAATAATGTGCAAATTCTAAAATAAATCATTTGCAGTTCTTTCATTTTATTTGAACATATAAATCGTTAGAAAATGATTTATGTAATGAAGGATATTGAGATAACGAACAGTATTCAATCTCAAAGTCCATTAAACAATATACGAAATAAGAGCAGAGCAAACACGGACCTCCGAAACATCAGAGGTGGGATCAGGTGCCATGGAGGAGTGAGCATCCCCTGCCAACCGGTCACACCCGCCGTGTGCTCGTTGTCGTGATCAGGAAATAACGGAAAAAATCCGTCGTCAATTCAGTGTATAAATAATGGACTAACAATTGGTATGAAAAACGTCAGTCAGCATTTGACTCAATGATAAATTGTATTTGCTGACAAGGTCATTGTATCGACCATAGAACTTACGAAATGATGACTTTAAACGAGACTGTTGATATTCTTGATTCATCAACTAGCTTGTCAATAATTTACCTCGTTTAAGAAATTGTTCATACGTAGAGCATGCTCTTGCATATCGAATCAACTGAGATATATATACTCCGTATGCAGGTGATGAAGGTATATTGCTGCATAAGTAAGGGAAGTTGACGATAGAAAAGTTATCACGTTTATCATATAGCTTGGTTGTTAGATTACCATTAGTGTCTTTTTCAAGTAAAATATCCAAGTATGAAGCAGAAGTATCGGACTCTGTGGTATCTTTTATCTCAAGCTCACCAGGATATATCGTATCGACGTAGGAATGGAAATTATCATTATTAATTGACAATACGTCGTCGATATATCTAAATGTCGAGTTGAAGGCCACAGCAAGTGTTTTCTTCTTTTCACTTCAGAGTACTTATTTGTGCAATCAAAATCTGTTTTAACAAAATAATTTGGCAAATGTCCAATGACGAGGTAAGTAAATTTACGAGTTCCATTTGTATTGAAGAAGCAGCTGTCATTGATATCAAAAAGCCTGGATTTTAATTTGTGGGGAATTGAATGTGATTTTGTCAAGATAATCTGGTCATCCTTAGAAGATTGGATTTATTTTAAATCTGGTAGAACGTTGCAATTTAATATACAAAATGTAATCCTCTGTACTGCAGAGATTGATGTGGGTTTGAATATTATTATTGTATTAGTAAATAAATATATCTTTCAGACATCAAGAAAAAAGTGTACCATTTTATTTATTGATTTATTATTGTACCTGAGAAACTAGTTTGTTATAGAGAAAAAGTATATGATGTTGAAAAATTCGAAAAAAGATGGTCTAATTGGAAATGTCTTTTTCAAAGTAATGACTAAGCATAGGAGTTTTATACTATAGTTATATTGACTGATATTCATTTCATCCCCCTTCCACATGTAATATTGTAGGTGTGAGTCTCACTCTGTATGTAAGTGTGTGTATGTCTGTTTGTGAGTGTGTCATTAACTATATTTAAATGTTTGCTTCCGAACATATATGTAATGTGTTGTTTCTGTAAATAAAAAAAATGGTCATTTAAAAAAAATATATATATAGATCAGTGTAGAGGAGTGAAAGAAATAAATAGGTTACTGGATTACATGTTAACCCAAATAATAAAATACTGCAGTTAACTTTAAATTATTAAACAGTTTATACAAAATTATAAATAGACATAAATACGAATAACTGTAAATCTGCTACAAAATATTCTTAAAATTCTTTGGAATTTTGAGTATCCACATCTTATTAACATCACTTCTCAAATATACTGTTTCCAAATATATCTATCATGTATTGACTGATGGTTGTCTTTGCTTCACTATTTTAATTTCCATGGTCTAATTTATAAATTCTAAAATATGTAAGTTCATTTAGAGGTTTGTCTGTTGTTCAAATCTTCAAATCACTTTTGGTATTTAAAAAAAATCTATTTATATAACTTCATCATTTAGAGTGTATCAGTGCATATATCTTTATTGAAATGAAACTAAGGATTGTCTTGCATAGTTTTGTAGACTATATCCCATTGTATGAAATAAGGTGCGACAATGCATTCCCAGAACCACGTACATTCTTAGAAAAGAGGGATGAGAACAAAGTATTCAAAAGTCAGGTTTGGGGTATATAAAGTAGCACATTTTAAATGTATCTTCAAAGTTTGACATGGAGAGTCTGCAAAGCCTCGTTTTGTTTTTTATCGTTGCAAGTCATTTTCCTGCAATTTCTGCACTTGTAGAACCTCATTTAAGGGTTGAGGTTTTGACGGATACAGATCCCTTCTTCTGCAACGAAACCTTGTTTGACCTGGGCACCTGTCAAAATGTAACATACGATTATTTCTGCACGCTTAACAAGCCTACCCAGGACTGGTTTTATGAGCTTTACAGAGAATCAATGTCGGACACACAACATACGCGGAAGGAGATCAGGACGCTGAGTGAGACGGAGAAGCAAGAATACATTGATGCTGTACTGGCCCTCAAAAATGATACGGTAAGGATATACCAGGGTGTATGTTTAAAATATCATTTGACGCGTTTAGCTTGCAGATTTGATTTAATATTTCCAGAAGAATGAGGTTACGAAAAGATGTTTTCTGCGGTATATAGTAACAGATCAGGTATTTATGTAAATCTCAGTCCGTTCATAGAGGCGCTAAAAATCATAAAATGTATTCATCTTTTGAATATTTTTTCCTACTCTCAAAAATCATTTGCCTTGGATTGAAGAAAAATTCAGATTTTTCGAAGTTGTTTGATTTTCTTAATCAAAAACACAAATATGTTTTCTATTAATGCACTAATATAAAAATGACATAATGAGAATTCTTTTTTTGAGTCAGTGAAGTGAAACTTCTGTAGATTTTAACATCGAGTATAAAATTTTATTTCTAAAATTTCGTTCTAGACCATATGGCCCAACAAATATGACGCAATTGCAATGATACACACCAACCAGACCATTTGTTCCATTCATAGAGGGACTAACTTTTTAGGATGGCACCGAGTGTATCTTCTGATGTGAGATTTTTTTTATCTATTACCATTCCATTTTGATAATTTACATATTACATATTATGCAATCATTTCAACACATTTGTTCAATTTTTTTTTCGTAAGTGGAAATGAAGCGGCAAAGTTATTTTATTCATTTTAGTTAAAACAGCAACCTTAATTGAATTAAAGCTTTGGCAATTTTGTCTTGATCTAATTATATCGAATTTAATCATCAATTATGCGCTATTTTCAATAGATTTGAGGCAGCTCTTCGTCAGAAAAATAAAAAGGTGGCTCTACCGTATTGGGATTCCCTACTAGACAACTACATGGACAACGACCCAACACCTTCAAAGTCTGTTGTTTTTACAGAGGAATTTCTGGGAAATGGTAATGGTAATGTGAGTACAGGTCCATTCAAATTCTGGAGAGACGTTGATAATTGTACTCTGCAGAGAAGTGTGAATTTTAATAATTCCGGCACGTTAATGACACATAGCACAATCGATATGATACAGAATGATCCGTCCGTGCATCACATGAAACAAATAATATACAACCAGAAAAACAATACTCACACCTTGGAAGGGCAACACAATGTTGTTCACGATTGGGTGGGTGGTATGATGTCCATTTTGGACGATTCTCCCCGTGACCCCGTATTTTTTCTCCACCATGCTTACATCGACTATATATGGACCAAATTTATTCAGAAACAATCGGCTATGAACGTTGAAGAAGAATATGAAATTGTTGGGAATGACATTAAACGTCACCATCCAAACCGAACGATGGATTGCTTCTATTGGATGAGAAATGAGGACGGACTTAAACCAGATCTTGCAGCGAATGTTCGTTACGAAGATTCACCTGCATGTCCGGACTGTGGTCAGTCTAAATACCTGAAATGTGATACGAATCTGAAAAGATGCGTTCCAAGTAATAAGTTTACAACCGCTGGAAAAGATAGTGTTCGCATGACATTTTTCACACCAATTTGTTTTCTTTATTTCATTTCACTTCTACTATAACATCATTCTAAAAATTTTTTTTACAAATAAACTCCTTTCCAAAATCGAAATGCCAAATATAATCTAAAAATCAGAAGACATGTTTTTCAAAATATGCTTTTGCATTTTTACAAATTTTATCAATAGATTCTTTATAAATATAAATATCTTTTAATTTTTGAGACTTTGAAAAAGTCCAAAAATTATATAAATCGAAAATCCCTATATGACCAAACGAGGTAAATTATTGACAAACAAGATGATGAAACAAGAATATCAGCAGTTTTGTTTAAAATTATCATTTCGTAAGTTCTATGGTCGATACGATATGACCTTGTTGGTATATACAATTTTTATCATTGAGTCATATGCTGACTGACGTTTTTCATACTCATTGTTAGGTCTATCGATAGACTAACGGGAGTTGACTTTTTCTGTCGTTAGAAATTGACCTCCCCCTGTGTTTTCAGGTATCAGTGTTGTATTCTTTCTCCTAGTCTGTCTAATTCAGGGATTGATCACGGGTCTTCATTTCATTTTAAAGCAAAAATAGGATTAAGAATCTAATTAGATTGTACAAATCATGAACATTCAAATATCTAGCATATCTATTGTTTTCGTTGAAATTGAAGCAAATGCTGCAATTGAGTAAAAAAGATTGTATTGTTCCATGTCAGCTCTTTATTTGTTATACAGCAGTCAGTGAGAGAAAAATAACAACAAAACTCCTGCATTTTTCTATGACATAAAACTAAAAAAATATCTATAACTACAACTCAATTACACATGTACATAAACTTTTCTAAGAAAGTGAACACCTAGTTTCGATTACCTAGAATTATTTCTTTTGCCCAAAATACACGCATACTAATCGTCTTTCATTCTATATTTCCTGTCATTCTAAATACCACGAAAACTATATTACCTTTAAATATATATATATATACACGTATTGCCTATTTCAAAATATGGGTCACCCATGTTAATGTGTATCGGAGTGTAAAATGTTTTTATTTCAGCAAGCCTGAACTGAATCTATATCATTTATATAATTCGATATCCAACTATCATAATAAAAGAAAGCTAAATTGTAATCGCTATATACTCTTTCTTATGATGTCATACATGTTAAATCTGTTATTGTTATGTAGTGGGATAGATTAGTCCCTTAAGGGGATATACGTATTGTATGATTTTAATTTAAGAACAGATGATAAAACAAACTGTAATCAGAAAGTCTGATAGTAACAACTTTCACGCTTATATATAAATAAAATGAATGTTTCACCGCCTAGATTTTATCTTTGAGTAACAAGAATGCTATACATTAGTTTGAAGAGTTGCGGGAAGGTAGAATTTTCAACACCATAGGAGTTTACAAATTCCTATTATTAAAGATATTTATCATTTGCATGATTTACAATAAACAGGTAACAAAATATATGTAGCAATTCAGGCATCCTTTTTTTGTAAATATTGCCAGCATTAACTTGTTTGTTTAATGAATACACACAATTACTGAAATAATACTTACTTCTTGTTATATAATATGACAGCTCCTGTATGATGAAACATAAGGAGATAACCAACAGCGTTCAAGCTCATTAGTCCATTAAACAATACAAAATTAGAACAGTGCAAACATGGACCTAGAAAAAACATTTAGAGGTGGGATCAAGTGCCATGGAAATGAGCATTCCTCTGCCGACCGGTTAAATATACACTACTAATAAAATTGTATTAAAACTTGCTTTTTCAGTCAGTTGATAGAAGAAAGATATATCAATAGAAATCCTTTATCATTTTTAAAGCTGAACACGATTCTTAATTCGAATTCGGCTGTCATATCTGAGGGCCCCTATAGAAACCGTTCAATAATCAGTGTTAAGTGTAATGAGTCGTTATCGGTGTAGACGTATGTAACGTAGGACCGGGTGGCGACAAAAATAACTGTGTACCTCTTCCACGTTAGAAGATATAGACAGTAAATAAACATAATAGTTCAGAAGTCAGTGCAGTATACAAACACAAATACATGTAATTGCAATAAAATCTATTCAAAGGCAATGTAAAATGACCAGCATAAACACTTGTCGCCATTCCACGCTTATAGACAGCAAAACAGTCAGGTGTGACGAATGCGAAATGTGTACCCAAGTTCTTATATCGTAGGCAGTAAAATCTGTCGTATGTCGCTTGCCTATTAAAGAGTCGAGTTCATATTTCAAGTTGAAAATTTTCTAAAAATATTTTACAATTTATTCCGTTGTAATATTCCTAGAAAAGATTTATTAATATTTAGGAAGTTTTGATTATCTAGAAATTTGTTTTGTCCAAACACACGTTTAGAAAGTCTCTTCAATAATCTATTTTTTCTGGTCTTCTAATTCATGCTTAAAATTAAAGATACCACTGGGGCTGATATCTCTGTTTCTTATTTGGATATCTTACTAGAAAAAGACGTTGATGGTAATGTAACAACAATGTTATATGATAAATGTGATGACTTTAACTTTTCAATCGTCAACCTCCCATTAAAACATTCACTTATCACCTACATATGGGTGTCTCAGTTGATGCTCTACATTTGAACAATTTTCTTAAACGAGATAACTTATTATTATTCCATTATATGTATATGCATTATAAAAAAAATGTTGTAATCGAAAAAAAAAACAGCGAATTTACTTATTATTTTAGTAATAACTTGACATAAATATGTAAAGAATTGATGTATTCAACATATAATCATGTTTCTCTATTATTATTTTTGTAATGTTTATGTATTGTTGTTATCAGGGACCTATATAGTATATAGGTCCCTGTTGTTATGTATAAAAGTGCTGAATAAAATCTTATTACAAAAAAAAAACTTATTGACAAGTTGATGAGATAACATTCTCGTTTTAAGTCATGATTTCAAAAATAATATAATCGATACAATGACCTTGTCATAAAATAAATCTATCATTCAGTAAATTGCTGACTCACGTTTTTCATACTTATTGTACGTCCATTATTTATATACTGAACTGTTGACGGAATTTCCCGTTATTTTCCGATCATGACTCGGCGAGTGTGAAAGGTCGACAGGTGATGATAATTTATCCATGGCATCAAATACAACCTCTTTAGAGTTAAATATTTGTATTTGCTTAATTTGTATTGTTTGATGGATTTCTTGAATGCGGTTTGTTATCTCTGCATATCATATAATTTAAATAAAGAACCATGCAATCAAGGGCAACGATGTTGGTTCCATCGTTCTATTTAACAGCCTGTCTCCGAGAAAAGCATGCAAATTAGTCCAAAAGCAGGTTTCTCCGATTGCCTTCAAATTTTATGAACTAAATTTACTATGCATAAAATGAAATCACACAAATTTTAATTGAGCTAATCCACCCCACATACGTTTTATGGCCTGTTACTAAAAATAGCTCTTATGCAACAGAATTTGAGGTAATTTTTTAACATTTTAGACATATTTTGAGGAGAGAAAAAATTGCAACTTTAAAAATTATTCAAATATTCTGTTTTGTTGTAAAAGAATAAAGATTAGTTCTTCTTAAATGCATAGTCAGAATGATTAACATTCATTTTGTTTTAGTGCAAATAGGTCATGAAATTGGCACTGTTCAAAAATTTGGAAAAGTGACAATTTTTAGTGGAATTGAAACTATTCTAGTAATAAGGAGGTATGTTTTAATCCAGTAAATTTTATTGCTTATTCTTAAGAATGCCTATGTGAACAAAATATATAAAAATTGCCCTTGGCCAATGCACACTTTAGAAAATATTGAAAGTCAAAATTTGTGAAATTTTCACATAAAAAATTTCAAGGATACAGTTCAAGCTACTCAAAAAATGGCTCAAAACATGTCCAAAACTAAAAAAAAAGTTAATTTCAATAGTTCTTCCTATCTGTATTACAGAATTTAAACAAACATAGCTCTAAATCTAATACTTAATGACTTGAAATAAAAAAAAATACATAGAAAAAGAGGCAGGGAGGGGGGGGGGGGGGGGGTGGGGCTGGCTATGAATTCATTATACTTCCACTTCTAATTTTGTTCTCTGTGATAACTCTTTGAAAGTAAGGAGGCCAAATATGCATGTAAATCTTGTGTGGCTGCCTTTGTGTTTGAAGTTTGAAGTCAGTGGGCGAGGACTGTTTAAATTGGCATGGGAGTCCTTGTATAATTTAAATCTATGTCTACATTTTTTAAAGTCTAAATCTAAAATTTCATTTCACAATGAAATGGAAATATAAGGGATCACTGTCTAATTAGTATAGTATGCCAGGGACATCAACACTAGTGGGAAACATGGGATAATTTACGCATAACGGGCGAACATAACGGGCTTCGCCCGTTATACAAATTATCCCATGTTTCCCTCTTAGTAGTGTTGATGCCATGACATATTATCCTAACTAGACAGTGATTCCTTAAATAAACCAGTAAATGGATAAACCTAAATATAAACCTTTATTTACATTTAATGCATGTATACAAACTTGCTCAATATTTACAAGAGTGAACCAAGTGAACACATTATTCATCATACTAGTCATTTGATCAACATATTCATTTGAGTGTTACATGTACAGTGTAAGTAGAAAAAAAGTCTGCAAATTTTCAACATCATCGATACAAACATTGAGAAATTTCAGATAAGTTCTTTTTACAGGGGGAAGGTGAATTGATTTGAAATTTTTTTTGGATGAATGCGACACAATATATCCTCCTTTTTTGAGCTACTTAGCCATTTATTTTGTGTATAAAATTTCATCATTTTCACTCATTACTTTCTTCTTCTGCCATAAAAAAGTGGCTTAACACAATCTGGACAATTTACTGCTCTCTTACATTCTTCATATATCATAGACAAGTAATTGTTCACTTTCTGGGAGAATCATTTTATGGATTTTAAAGCCCAACAAATACATTTTCCTGTTGGTTCTTACTAAAGTCCACCAATGCCTGTTCCTTAATATAGGATACTTTGCAGTTTGTATCAGTAAATTTTGAAACTCTCTAATGCTTTGAAAATTTTAATAGCATACAAATTTGCTGTGATGCTCTTACTTGATATTGAATTTGTAAAATAAGTGAGATTTTCAATTGCCAATTTAAATATTTTTCAAATTTCCAAATTAAAAATTCTTTTTGGTCTGATGAATATTAACAGGAGTAATACATGTATTGATGATTACTACTCTCTTTGCTTGCTGTAGTGTTTCGACAACTTTCACAAATGGAATCATCTTTCACTTGATCAATCAGATCATGGTTCTATTGAAATAACACTTCAGTTCTGCTCCATTGTTTTGCTTTGTTGGAAAAACTGCATGTAATACCTATAAAACAAAATGCACCATGAAATGAAAAGAAATGTGTCCTCCTTCTTTGAGTATATATCAGTGAAATATGAAGACAGAAAGAATAATTTTTTGTACATGCATAAGTACTAGTAACTGCTAAATGGAGGAAAAGGGAAGTTAGGTTATTGGAAAGGTCTAAGTAAGAAAATAATGGCAAAATGATTGCTGTCACCAATACTGATTTTAAGAATATTAAGTTTATAATTACAAAAATCATAATTGCAGGTCAAAGTTGAAACATTCATTAGAACACTCAAGGTAAAAAAGGACATAGTCAAATTGCTCTTACCATTATATCTAATTTTATTATAAAGATTTATCTTGAAAAATGAAATAAATGTCATTGGAGAGATCAAGGTTGAAAAAATTGTGATACCATGTTCAGGTATCTTAAAAACATATTTTATTAAAAATATAATATACCCGGTGGGTAAAACTGGTACAAGTGTATTCATGTGCACCACTTTCTACTGACAAAAAAGTGAAAGTACCTGGTGTCTGTCTAAAAATTGTAGAAGAATGTCAAAAAGCTGACCAAAGCTAGATGTGACATTGTGACATAAATTCCCCATGAAGAAAAAAAAACATGATACCATCTATCATTTTTTGGAGGTCCATGTTTGCTCTACACAAAATTTGTATTGTTGGACTTTTGAGCTGGAATATACCATTAGTTTTCCAGGTTCAATCAAGGGTGTACGGGGATTTACCCCGGGTTGTATTCCATACACCCTGAGGCCTTCGGCCTCAGGGTGTATGGAATACAACCCGGGGTAAATCCCCGTACGATTGCCTCAGGGTGTATGGAATACAACCCGGGGTAAATCCCCGTACACCCTTGATTGAATCTGGATAACGAATTTATTAATTTATTTCCTTTGTACCTATAAAAATGCTTTGTAAACATCAAAGTGTTTCTCAATCTATCGATTTAGATAACTACATACTACAATGCATCGTGACATCACGTTATTTGGTTTTTATCATATAGAGAATGTATGCATTGTGACGTCACGTTTTATTTACATCCGGCTCAAGTCGGGTGCACCGATATTTACACCCTACTTTGTAACCCATCA